AGAACATGGGAAAGTGTGGGTCTGCAATTTTCTGGAAATAGGAATACAATGAAACAATACTGCCCCCTTGTGGATCCCTTTTGAATAGCAATTTATTGTTATTGTATTGTATTCAACTCTTAGGTACCGTACCTCAGGATATTTTACCACTACATCTATTTGGCACATCTAGTACAAGATACACAGAAGAAGACCTGGAATGTAGGTCACCGCTGGATATTGTCACAAGCAGAATATGCAATCTATTATGTGTCATACGTCATTACTAAAACAATGCTCCCTGCTGTGTGGCAACAAACTATGATACAGTGAAACAGAAGTGATGTACTCAGTAAGGTACATTACTTACCTTACATAGGACCATGGTACATAGGACCATACATTCCAATGAGGAGCAGCTGAAAGAGCTGGGTAAGGAGAGAAGGTTGAGAGGAGACATGATCACCATGTTGAAATGTTTGAAACGATATTATATGAAGAGGGAACAGGTTTGTTTTCTGCTGCCCCAGAGACTAGGACCTGGAGCAATGGGTTAAAGTTACAGGAAAGGAGATTCCACCTGAACATGAGGAAGAAATTCCTGACTGCAAGAGCTGTTCAGCAGTGAAACTCACTGCCTCAGAGTGTGGTGGAATCTCCTTCTTTGGAGGCTTTTAAATAGAGGCTGGATGGCCATCAATCAGGGGTACTTTGATTGTGCTTTTCCTGCATGGCACGTGGTCTCTTCCAACTCTATGTTTCTATGATTCTACAAAGTGATCGCCTTTTGGAGGAAATCACAATATATCTCATGTGTGATGTCAGGAAATATCTTTCGGTACAAGAAATGTATGATTTGACTTGTGTGTCCAAGCTCCTTTTATTTTACCTGTATTCCACCTTGTGTTTTCTGACTCTGGATTGTTTTGGTGGAACATACTTAATTTTGCAAACTCCAATTGTTCTGTGTCTCCAAGTTTGGTGGCATGAGGAAATAAGTCTATCTTGAGACGATGTCCATGTATATATCCCTAATCTTGTCCCTACCTTGGCAATCATACTTGGCATGGAAATCTAGATCAAGCAGATCCCAAACTGTGTTCCATAGAAGCCTAGGGTTATGCAAAAGCAACGTAGGAGTTCCACCAAAAAGAAAAATCATTAAAATCAAATTTTAGAAGGTTCTTGTGGGTTTTTTCGGGCTATAGAGCCATGTTCTAGAGGCATTTCTCCTGACGTTTCGCCTGCATCTATGGCAAGCATCCTCAAAGGTGTGAGGTCTGTTGGAATTAGGACAATGGGTTTATATATCTGTGGAATGGCTGGGGTGGGGCAAGGAGATCTTCCCTGCTGCAGTTAGGTGTGAATGTTTAGCTGATCACCTTCATTAGCATTTGAAGGCCTGCCTGAGTCTGGGAAAATCTGTTGCTGGGAGGTGTTAATCTGTGCCTGGTTTTTTCCTCTCTGTTGTTTAGCTGTTATAATTTTAGAGTTTTTTAATACTGGTAGCCAGATTTTGTTCATTTTCATGGTCTCTTCCTTTCTGTTGAAATTGTCCACATGCTTGTGGATTTCAATGGCTTCTCTGTGTAGTCTGACATTGTTGGTGTGGTCCAGCATTTCTGTGTTCTCAAATAATATGCTGTGTCCAGGCTGGTTCATCAGGTGCTCTGCTATGGCTGACTTCTCTGGTTGAAGTAGTATGCAGTGCCTTTCATGTTCCTTGATGCGTGTCTGGGCGCTGCGTTTGGTGGTCCCTATGTAGACTTGGTATACGGTAGACTCCTGCAGAGGTGAGAGGATCCCTCTTGTCCTTTGCTGAACGTAGCATTTGTTGGATTTTCTTGGTGGGTCTGTAGATAGTTTGTATGTTGTGTTTCCTCATCAGCTTCCCTATGCGATCAGTGGTTCCCTTGATGTATGGCAGAAGTTTTCTTTAAAAGTTTTCTTTAAAAAATGAAACCACACAAGGCCAACTATTTGACTGTTTCTAAAGCAAAGGAAGGGGGAATGTAAGTTATCTCCAAATACCTACTCACCAATGGAAGTCATTTTATCATAGCCTGACATCTCTGACCTGTGTAACCTCACTAGGAAAAGTGAATGGAAAGTTCAGAGAATGTTCCTTACACTCACACTAGTTCACTCTTGGTTTTTCTACTAAAACACTGTCATCTGGACCTGATGAGATTCAAAACATACTTTTCATTGATATTTGGTAAGTAAAAATTAAAGGATATTAGAATGGCTTCTTTTTCTGTGCACATATTGATTCAGCCTGTAGTCTGACCTCTTTGTTGTATTATTTCAGGGCTCAACTGCAATGGAAGATGATTGATGGACTGATGGTCAAGACATACAAAAAGTGACAGGATCAAATGTGAAATTTTAAAATCTTTGGGAGGGGGGAAGGGAATACGATTAATTTTATCTGTTTTTAGGATTTATTTCTATTGGAAGTGCTAAGCACCCAGACAGGCAATGAATGCATAATTTGCAACAAAATCCTTCTTAACAGTTCCTTGGCAACCGCCAAGTTGAAATGACACTTGGAAATGAACCGTCTGCATCTGAAGTGAAATGATGTCAGTTTTTACACACACACACACACTCACACACACACACACACACACAACAAGGCAAACCACAAGGAAGGCTAAGATGCCATGGTGACTTGTTTAGAGAAAGATGCAAAGACCAATAATGAAAATAGAACTGAAAAAGTTCAGCAGTCCGGTGTTCTAAGAACATTGTTTTCAATTGTATTTATAAAATCCCAAACTATATTAAAGATATTTTTTTTCATGTCAGGAGCAAATTGAGAAACTGCAAGTCACGTCTGGTGTGACAGAATTGGCCGTTTGCAATAATGTTGCCAAGGGGACGCCCGGATGTTTGATGTTTTTACCATCCTTGTGGAAGGATTCTCTCATGTCCCTACATGAGGAGCTGGAGCTGACAAAAGGGAGCACAACTTGCTCCCTGGATTTGAACCACCGACCTTTCAGTCAGCAGTCCTGCTGGCACAAGGGTTTAACCTATTGCACCACCGGGGGCTTCTGATAAATTAATTGAGAGACTGAAAAATTGTAAAGCATTTTCAATGCAATTGGAAAAGAGGACAGATGTCGCCAAATTTGCGATATTGCTTAATTTCACGAGGAATTCGTTTGGCATATCATTTGAAGAAGATCTGGGGTTTTTGTGCTTTTGTATTTGTGTTTGTGCTTTTTGTATTTGTGTTTGTGCTGGAGACCAATGCAACTGGGAAAGGAGTTTGTTAAATCATTATTTTTTACATGCATAAATACAATCTTGATTGGAGTCAGGGTGTTAACCTTATGCAGTAATGGGACTGCAGCAACAGTGGGAACATTGAAAGAAATGGAATCAAGAATAAAAATGTAATGTCAAATTATACCAGTAATCATTTTATCTTGCATTGACATGTCCTTGCGGTAAATAACATTCCAGCCGACTTTAAAGTTTGTCATTCTATTTAAAATATTTTCTTTATTTCCAAACCTACTATATTATACAAAATACTCAGTCCATAGTGGTAGATGAAAGAAGGAAGAAGTTCATAGATTCACAATGCTTACTAAAAAGGGACAGGGTTCTGAGGGGGGGGGGGGGGGGGGGTTATTTCTTCTGACTGAAAAAGTTTGGGAGATGCTGATCTAAATGAATGTATCAAAACAGCCAGGCATTCAACTGTCTGTTGCACTTGTTACTTTTCAAAAGACTGGTACTGTAACATTTCCCAAAATAGAGCAATTCCAGCTCCAAGGACAAATGTATCCTGATCTCTCTTGGGTCATTCTGCAACATCCTAATACAATGTCTGTATCATTTGAGGGTGGTCTTTGCAAATAGTAAAGTCCGTTCTCTTGCAGCAGTCATGATAACAGAATGTTTGCAACATTAGGATCAATTGCTCATTTCTGTAAAGGAAAAAAAAAGATGTACTGTAATGCATATTGTTTGTCTAGACCAGTGGTTCCCAACCTTTTTTTGACCAGGGACCACTTCAACAAGGACCACTTTGACCAGGGACCACTCTCCAATATTAGTACCAAAAGGGTTACGCATCAGTTTTTATTCAACTTTAGATTTGGTTTGGTTATTTTGGGTGCTGATTCAGAAAATTACATTGGATAGAATCATAGAATCATAGAGTTGGAAGAGACCTCATGGGCCATCCAGTCCAACCCCCTGCCAAGAAGCAGGAATATTGCATGTGGATAGACCACATCAGCTCTAGTTTCTGATACAGAACATATGCCATCCAGTAGTTGCCATCTGCTCACCCACAGAAAACCATATTTAATAATTTAGATGTGATGTAGTAATAGTAATTTTTTGTGGGGAGTCAGCCTCACCTTTCCTGACATCCCCATTGCCTCAGCATGATAATGGTATTTTGTGAGACCAGTCACTCTCGTTGCCCCATGGTTTTGAGGCAATGGTGTAGCAATGGTGAGGCCACGGACCATATTTTCATTCTTGGGGACCAGTGGTGGTCCACAGACCACAGGTTAGGAACCACTGGTCTAGACAGATTTGCAGTTCTCATTTCTTTAAGAATAAAGCCTTAATTCATTCTAGACCACAGCCTTTAGGGCCTCATACCCTGGAACAACCATACTAATTTTGGTGGGATTACACCATAGCAAGAGATTGAAGGCCTTGGAACTACTACAGAAGCTGCCAAAACAACCCAAATAGCAGGTAGAAGCCATGCTACATCACTTCAGGTGTGCCTAAATGTCAGGTGGGTTCAAGGAGAGAAAATGGCCCAAGTCCTGCATAGTTGCTCACTCCTGATTTAAATATTCTTCTCCCGGTGTTCATTGAGATATTATTCAAAACACTACAATTCTATTCTGGACATCAGTATTAAATATAAAGTAATTGCAAAATCTGTACTGGGATAATAGAATTGCTTTTAAATATATACCAGCTATTAATGCAGGTTACAGAAAAGACAACAAAAATAGTTGTAGTTAATATTGGATTTATTTGTGAATTTGTTGGACAGCTGTGGTGATAAGTCATACCAAACTTTTAGGCAAAAGCCTGCAGTGGCACCTGCTCCAAGTGAAGTTTTTTTTCAAGTACTGTTTGAATTCTTCTTCAGCCGACCCGAAATAGCATCTTTCAGCATATTTTGTACTCTCTCGCTGTGAAAGATTTGCAAAGGAATACACTGCACTAGCCGTGCCTGTAAAAAGAGAAAAAAGAAAAAGGATTCTTTCAAATGTAGTGGAGTCAGGATTTAAAATGTGGAGGAAGTATGTCAGCTGGTCATCTATGTATATGCTTCTCTCAGGAATACTGGTTTTTAGTGCAAAATATTTGGCCGACGGAATGCCTCATCCCATGCTATTCAGATCTGATCAGGTTAAGATCAGAAGACTAGCTATCTGTTTTCTACCTATAGGCACATTTTATGGAAACATGATACAATGCTTTTTGGGTGGCCACTCCTAAGCTTCGGAATTCCCTCCTTGGGAATGCCAGATGGGCCTCCTCCTTGCTGTCCTTCTGCACCAAGCAAAAACTGTCTTCTAGCAGGCATTTAGGAATTCTAGATAAAAACAAAGGTCGATCTAGTCCAGGATTATGTTGCTGCTGTTGCTAACTAGATGCATATGGCCTACAAGCAAGACATGAGTGAAATAGTATCCCTCTTCCTTGGTTTGTTTCTGTTCTGCATTATTGAAAAACATAAAACAGTGGTTCTCAGATGTTTTGGCCTACAGACATCCCAACCAGTTTACATCTAGGGACCCACAGGCTGAGAACCACTGACATAAAACATTGCATTCAAAGGGCATCGGTGGCCCCTCAATGTTGGTTTTGGGAAGATTAATATCTCACGTCAGATTAAAGCATACATTTACCAATATTTCGTGGGCTAAGCATCCAAATGTTTCATCACCCAATGTGATGTACTCCAGAGATTCCCTAACAAAATCTTCTGCTGTCTTGTTGATTAGATTAGGCTTTGACCACATAGTCATTGGAGTTGAAACAGAATAAGGAGTCACTGCCTGAAGTAAAAGACAACAGAGCAACAAAAAAGGCATAAAGAACAATTTCACATTTCAGATAGTCAATGCAACATCAACAGAGCTGATGCGGACAGCATAGCCTAGGATAAAATGAACCCATAATGGATAGGGAAGGGGGAAATAGTCAAACGTCTCATCTATCTAGTCAGTAGAACTTTTTTGTTTATTCCAGTAGTTGATGGAAATATCTCACCTGTATGATAATTCCTTTTGTGTTATATTCTGCTTGAAGAGCTTTAGAAAATGTGCATCCAAAAGCCTACATAGACAAAATTTAAAGACAAGAAAGCTATAGTAATTGCATACTTTCGTTGATTATCGTGACATCATATTTATCCTAAGATCTCCAGTTATGTCTTTCCATCATTCTACCATTTTATTGTTGGATATTTTTCTTATTGGAAGTTGTATAAGAATGCATACATAGTAATCTACTTCATACTTTTAGTTTCCTAAAACCTAGAGTAATATAAAGGACATAATTCCATGAAACACAGCGTTCTTACTTTGGAGGCAGAATAGATGGCATATAAGGGACAGGGAAAAGTGCCAACAGCAGAGGATATATTCAGAATCAGTCCTCTTTGCCTAAAATAAATAAACAAACAAAACAGTATAAACATAATTTTATTATCTTACTTGCAGTATGACTCCGATACCTGCAGGATCAGCACCTGTGTTTTCACTGACTCATGCCAGAAAAAGATGTTCTTTTCAGGCATCTATTAGGTCCTCCAAGATGATTCTATAGTATGTTTCCACCATAGAATAGTGACCTAGAAATGCTAGAGATGTTCTCTCTAGGCACTTTTTTGGTCCGCTCTTCAAATTCTATGGTGTGCTTCTGCCAAAAGTGGTCACTTCGGTGATATTGATAGTTGCACATGTCCAGGAATTTATCCCACATGAATATGAGATTGCACTCTATATAAAAACACCAAAGACCTCCAATTCTGACAGAGTCAGACCATAAGTGATTCATAAGAAAACATGTCCATTTTCAAATAAAAATCAATAGCAGGTATAGTAGGACTTAAGAGCCAGTGTGGCACAGTGATTTTAAGACTAAACTATATATCTGAAGAAAAGTCATGAAAACCCACTGGATGATCTTGGATTTCAAGTCACACACTGTCATTCACAGTTTCAACTATCAATGGTGGGTCTTGGACTTTATCCCCCAAAGACATGGCGGGGAGGAGGTCATACTGTATTTGTATATGTTTTTGCATTACCTACCATTACGTTTTTGTTTCTTATAAACAGAGTTCAACATGGAAATTGTGAAAAAATTAACTACCAGCACCACGTCAAAATTATGTTTTAAAATAAAAATATAATAATATAAACAATATAAATACAAGTTGAGTATCCCTTATCTAAGATTCCAAAATGTGAAATATTGAAAAATAAAAAAAATAGTCCACATGGATAGTGAGACCTTTGCTTTCTGATGGTTCAATGCACAAGATCCGTGTTTCATGCACAAAATTAATGGAAATGTGGTGTATGAAATTACCAAGATCACCAAGATAATATGCAAGTATTTCAAAATCTTTGGGAGGGGAACCAAAATATGGGCAAACCTTTTGGATAAGGGATACTCAAGCTGTGTGAATATGTAGACCAGTGTTTCTCAACCTTCTTAATGTTGCAATCTCTTAATACAGTTCCTCATTATTTTTGTTGCTACTTCATAACTGCAATTTTGCTACTGTTATGAATTGTCATGTAAATATCAGCTATTCAGGATGTATTTTCATTCACTGGACCAAATCTGGCACAAATACTTGACATGCCCAAATCTGAATACTGATGGGGTGTTGATTTTGTTATTTGGGAGTTGTAGTTGCTGGGATTTATAGTTCACCTACAATCAAAGAGCATTCTGGATGCCAACAACAATGGAATTGAACCAAACTTGGCACACTGAACTCTCATGAACAAGTGAAAATACTGTGTTTTCTGATGGTCTTTGGCAACTCCTCTGACACCCCCCTTGTGACCCCCCCCCCAGGATCCTGACCCCCAGGTTGAGAAACACTGGTTCGGTGGGCATTGACCTTGAATTTTGGAGTTGTAATTCACCTACATCCAGAGAGCACTGTGTACTCAAACAATGATTGATCTGGTCCAAACTTGGCAAGAATACTCAATATGCCCAAATGTGAACACTGGTGGGGTTTGTGGAAAATAGACCTTGACATCTAGGAGTTGTTGTTTATAATTCACCTACAATCAAAGAACATTCTGAACCCCACCAACGATAGAATTGGGCAAACTTCCCACACAGAACCCCCATGACCAATGGAAAATACTTTGTTTTCTGGTGGTCTTTGGTGACCCCTCTGACTCCCCCTCGTGACTCCCAGGTTGAGAAATACTGATGTAGAAAAATATATTAATAAGGTCTGCAAATTCAAACAAACAATAACAAAATTAATAACATTCATATCACTGACCATACATTTTTCTCAAGACTGTACCTTTAATGCACCTTATCACAGCAAGCAAACTAATTCTATCAAACTCAAATCTGTTAGAGGTAGAAACCATCTTTAAACCCAAATTTTCATTCACTGGACACTCAATCTAAGAAAAGATATTTACCTTGGCACCATCTGTTTCAAAATTATCCGTGTCATCTAAACCAAAAATGAAATTCACAGATTGATAATAGCACTTGTGTACCTATTGAAGACAATATAGATAGCATGAACTATAGAGTAGGAGGAAATCTTGAAGGTCACCTACTCCAGATCCAATCTCTGCTTATATGCCTCTAGCAAAGAAGAGACTTCCTGTCAGCAGATGCTTTTTCAACATCAGAGAAGGAGGCAGCAGCATTTCCCATGCTAATTAGGGAAGGGGAGATTTACTTCTTCAGCAAAATTTCCTCAGTTTTCAGTGTTGCCCTTCAGGACATAACCAGAAAGGAGTAGAAGAGTCTTGCTTATCTAACATAAACGGACCAGCAGAACGTTGGATAAGCTAAAATGTTGGATTATAAGGAGGGATTAAGGAAAAGCCTATTAAATGTCAAATTATGTTATGATTTTACAAATTAAGCACCAAAACATCATGTTTTACAATAAAATCGACAGAAAAAGCAGTTCAATATGTGGTAACGTTATGTAGTAATTACTGTATTTACGAATATAGCACCAAAACATCGCAATGTATTGAAACAGCTGTGGATCCAGGCAGGAGGCAGACTGCATTGGATAATACAGAATGTTGGCTGAGTGAAGGTTGGATAAGCAAGACTCTACTGTATCTTGAAAAAAATGAAATTATAGAAGATCAGGATTCATAATCCAGAATTTGTTGAAGCCTACTATGTGGAAAGGGGAGGACCACCAAAGGAGAGGACCACCATTTACATATAGCTTTTATAAGAACTTAGAATAAGATAAGATGATGTGTGGTAATAAATGCCACTCAGTCATGATTAAAGGGAAATTAGTTTTGCTTACAATTAAGTAATAAATAGACTGGATCAATTCAGTTTAGTCTGCTGTTCCAAACTGCAATATGAATAATCTATTCCACCTCACTGGCCAGAGTTAAAACCAAATTAAGATGGAGTTATCTTAATTGCCTAGCAAAGGTTAGCATATATACATTTATATTGTCCTACCAAAAAACCCCAAAACCCAAAACCCAACAACAACAACAACAACAACAACAACAGGATTTTCAGCCACAGATAGTTGTTTCCTTGTTCTCTCTGATACAGCCATTCCTCCACATTTGCACTTTTGAATTTGTGGGTTTGATTATTCACAGATTTGATTAAATGCATTCTTTCTAGGAAATCATATGTCTTCCAATGTGATTCTGTGGTCAACTTCCTCCAGTCACGTTGGAGGATCTAGATCAGGCATGGGCAAACTTCAACACTCCAGGTGATTTGGACTTCAACTCCCACAATCCCTAACAGCCAGTAAGCTGGCTAGGATTTCTGGGAGTTGGTCCAAAACACCTGGAGGGCCAAAGTCTGCTCATGTTCAATCGAGACAGTTCCAGAGCAAACACATCCCTAGGAATTGTGATGTCCTCCAATATGGTTTTATGACCAGCTTCCAGTGGATGTAGGCCATAGATGTCCCGGAAGACCTAGAAATTACTAGAGAACTTTTCTCTCAGCTAAAAAAGAGCAATTTGTTTATTTATGGTTTTTTACTCTCATGGTGGTCCTGTGTCCATCACCCCAGTAAATATGGAGAGCTGATTGTACTTAAAAACACCTGTGGGATTTTGTCTCTCAAATAATATTTCACATAAAATTGAGCTGAGTTCATTGTTCTGGCAGTTTGGTCCCCAAAGGGGATCCTTACTGATAAAATCCAACATAAAAATAGAGAACAGAAGAACATGTTCTCTATTCCACTGCCTGGTTATTGCAAAGACAAACCCTCAAGGACAAGAGAACACCAACATATCTTTCCCAAAGTCTTTAAGAATGTAAAAAAAACCTGGCCCCAGTAACAATCCTACAGTATTTAGTGGCATTCCAGTTCTTAAAATGGGCTTCAGAATTAAGACAAAATGTTTAAGGAAGAAGAGGAGCAGATGTGCAGAGAGGTCCCAGGGCCATATAACCCAGAATATCAAGGTAGAATGACCCACAATATCTGCTTTGAACTGGAATATCAGAGTCCACATTGCCATATATCCCAGTTCAAAGCAGATAATGTGGGATTTTATTCAGCTGCGTGAAAGGGGCCCAAGAGTCTTTGCTCTGCTAGATTTAATACAGAGTCAAATACAGAATGATCACACACTGCAACCAAAGATTTGGGCAACAGGCTTCATCTGAGCAGTAACTCCACTCACGAAAAGATACAAGTCTTAACCCTATAAGGTTTATCAAAAGAAAACTACTCTGTTTCCAGTAATATGGCTGCACACCCAGGAATATAATTTAGACTGAAAACATTCTGTGTGCTCCCTTCATAATCTATTTTCAAGATACATTATTATTGTTTTGTTGGCTGCTTTGTAATAACCCAGCAGCAGCATTAGGAACAATCAAAGGCCTCAAATGTGTTGATGTTGTGTGTGCTTCTTATTGCTTTTTCCTGCTGGGCTAAACATAACTTAATGATAAAATACAGCCCTCTTGATATTTGTTTTTTTTTAACCTGTGCAAATTCTAACTATGCCAAGCTATGTTCTTAGTTAACACACGTCAGTACTTGCAGAACACAGTAAATCCTCTCAATCTATTATATTTCTAATGAAGTAAGAATGATAACAATATTAGACAGATCAGAGTCTATAAAATGTCATGGATAAAAACTTAAATTGATTAGACTATGGCTGGATCTACACTGCCACATAATTCAGTATCAGAATGGAGATTAACTCCATTGGATTGTATTATACGACAATGTAGACTCATATAATCCAGTTCAATTCAGTTAATTATGCATTATAGCAGTCTACGGTGACCATTGTAATGCAGTTCAAACTGCGTTATATGATAGTGCGGCCTAAATCTAGTTGATTGGACCAATGGAGCAACTAATAGAGTATATAAACTAAAATCCAGTTTGAACAATATTGAGTTCTGTTTAGACTCGCACAGTATCCACATTTGGACCAAATAGCTAAATGAGAATCACAAAGGAGCTTTTTGTCAGATGTAAACCAGAGGTACTTCAAAGAGTACTCAGCAGTTTGGCTGAATTCAACTTCAGGAAGGACTCATCCTTTGAAAGCAAATAAGCAGGGAGGACAGGACACTGGTGAAATGGAAGGAAAATGGGAAAGGGCAGAAGGCAGGCAAGCCTATCTTGATGCTACTTGAGGCTGATGACTCCAGTGTGAATTTGCTCTGAGTTTTGGTTTGAATTTAAAAGTTGTTATTCAAGGTGCTGAATTATCTCAACCAAAATAGGTTCCACACCTTGGACAGCTCCTTTAAAGTTCAGACTAGATCCCAGAGTGGAATCACTGTTCTGTTAATACCAAAGCCTCCAGAGATGAATGGGGTAATGTGTCACATTGCTTGCCTTCCAGACCTAATCTAGCCTGTTGCTATCAGGTATGGAAAAGAATATTCTCCCATGACCTATGCTAAAGGGAAATTCAACTGCCAGCATCTGTACACTGTATAAAGGGGCTGGCGAGGTTCATATTGTGCTTTGCTTCAGATGGTGAACTCTCTTGGGTTGGCCCTCAGGGAGCTGTCATAAATGTGAAGGCTTTTTCTAGTGGAATTGCTGCCAGGTCAAGATTAGAAGCCCTTTCATTTATTTTTCTCAGGAGAGCTGGAAAGTTCAAAGACGCACACAGTATGCAGCAATATTTCATCTTCAGGGTCAGGCAAGATTTTTACAAAGGACAAATGTTACCCTTTCGTAAGCTGAAAACACAAGTCTAAAACATGTATTTGAGAATTATGATAAAGGCGCCAAAAAACCCCAATTCAACATGAATTTGAAAACCTTCTCCAGGATGTTTTTCAATTAATAGGAAACAATTGAAAATCATTTGTTGATGGAAGCCTTCATGAAAAAGAAATTAATTTCATTTTTTCCTCTGTGTGTGGTACATACCTGGGTGACAGACATGATGTTGCAGTTTATAAGGGCCTGTTGGAAATATTAAATGAAAGATTACACAGAAGATTTCCTGATCCACTGAAAACAAGGTGTTGGTTTGACAAATTTTGAATTAGAAAACACTTAAAAATGAAAAAAAGTGTATTAAATGAAGTAGCCAGATGTTCATAAAAGCTTATGGAGTTTGTTAGCCTTTGAGATATTACAATATTCTTTATTGTTTTAGTTATAAGGCTATTCCTTTTCCCAAAATGTCACTAAGGACTTCGTCACATGCAATGAAAAGAGAGTTTCTACACATCTAAGAAACAGCTACAATTAGGGCCCATCACATGATGCAATCTTGTACAGTAGGTTCCAGGTATTTTGCCATTTCTAAAGTGTGTTTTTTCCCCTACCATTCCTAAGTTGATTGGCAATCAACTTCTTTTCAATTCCCTGCATAGAGACATATAAACATGCCCAATAAATGGGAATTCCCTATTGCCTGCTTGTAAAGATAATGATGACATCATCTTGGAGAGAGAAGCCAAGATTGGCACTATTGATTCCTTTCCACCATTACCCTTTTGGGACCGAGGAGGAAGGGGCAGTAATTTATATCTCTTTTTAAATGTAAAATAAATAGACTTACCTTTTGATGTGAGAGTGATTTCTACTTATAAAGAGGAATCGTAATATCCAAAGAAAATGGGGGAGGAGACAGTGGGAGGAGAAAAATGTCTCCCGTGTGATGAGAGGGCAAATGGATAATTAGAAAAGGAAGCAGAAAAGGGGAAACCATGTGATAGGGTAGGGAAATAATCTCTTTAATTTCAAAACACGGCTTTGCGAAGCTTAAGGGAAAAACAACGATCATAAATACTTTACTTAGCCCATGAGATGAAGTCCTTACACAAGTTATTACATTTTGCCACCACAGATGATGCAACATTGCTTTTAAGATGCCATGGACCTTATTGATGTTACCAATACTTTTGTCTACAATTGTTTTGGGGTTTTTTTGTATCAGGAGTGACTTGAGAAACTGCAAGTTCCTTCTGGTGTGAGAGAATTGGCTGTCCGCAAGGACGTTAACCAGGGGATGCCTGGATGTTTAACCATCCTTTGGGAGGCTTCTCTCATGTCACCACTTTAACTGCCATGGCTCAGTGCTATGGAATTTAGCCTTCTCTGCCAAAGAGTGCTGGTGTCTCACCAAACTACAGACTCCGGGATTCCATAGCAATGAGCCATGGCAAAGACAAATCTACTTTGTAAGTGCAGACTCTTTCATGTTGATCTTGGTTTCCACTATCCTTTCTTTCACTTGTCTTTTCTCTTTTCTACTACTAAGTAATTTTAAGTCATATTTTCAACTAGAGGGAATCATAGTAAAATGTAAAAGGATATACCAGAAATGATCTTATTTTCCACTGACAGGGTTGTTATTAGCTAAGGAAGGAACTCAACTTTGCATCCACCTATAGTCAGTATTTACTTATTTATTCAGTATTTATTTTAAGAATTTTAGATTGTTTTAGTGCTGAGCCTTTCCAAAGCAGCATAAAATAAGGAACCAGGTATAACTGGTCACATCAAAATAGATAACTAGAAATAGTTATCCTAAATAGTTGTCCTATTTAGAAGTTGCAAAAGAATGCAATGTTGCTGTTGAAAAAAAATAGCTTTTCCAGGCTCTTTATTTACTCAGCTGCAAGTCCCAATTTATTTCAATGCAGCATACTCCAAATAACTATATATTCAACTGCAGGCAACATTTTAGTTTCCTAGCTACATTCAGTCCACTGCAAAGTTGATAATCCCCTTTGGAACCAGTTTTTTTCACTGGTTTTCAGGCTTTTATTTGAACTGAGGATTTGAAAATCAGGGAGAGAGTTATTAAGAGTTACAATTCAGAAGATGTTATGCTACTTTAAACACACACATACTGTAGGGCCATGGTACAAAAATGTTTCCTCTAGAGGCAGAGCATTTTTATTGGATTGTTGTTTGTTTTTCAGTTTTGGGGAATATGTTTTCCAGACAAAAAAGAAAAAGCTTCAAGGAACTTGGCTTGTTAATAACAACTTTGCAGAAATGCCTTTTTCATTTGTAAAGAAACTTCATCCAAAGTAACTGAGTCAAAAATGGCATGGCTTACTAGCCTTATGCTTCAACATTAGCTAGCTACCATACAAAAGGGAAATGGTTGATCTTAGCAGTTCTTATTCAGAAACATTCCTTACCTGATCATTGTTTGGAGCATCAAGAAAATGGCATGGGATGCTGGTCTGAAGCATTCCAACATTGTTAACTAATCAAAGGAAGCAAAGTAAGTGGAGTCACATAATTATATAGCACAACAGCAAGGAATGATTCTAAAGTAGTGGTTCCCAACTTTTTCTTTTTTACCACTCTCTATTGGACTACTCTCCAATATTAGTTCCAAAAGGGTTATGAATCAGGTTTTAGTCAACCTTAGATTCGGTTTGGTTATTTGGGGTGCAGATTCACAAAATTGCATTGGATAGACCACATCAGCTCTAGTTTCTGATACAGAACATATGCCATCCAATAGTTGCCATCTGCTCATCCACAGAAAACCATATTTAATAAGCCTCAGCACTATAAGAGGGTTTTGTGAGAGCAGTCACTCTTGTTGCAACTGTATAGTAACGGTGTGGTCGCCCATGAACCATATTTTAGTTCTTGCAAACCACTGGTGGTCCATGGACCAAAGATTGGGAACCACTGTTCTAAAGGGAGAACAAGCTTAGCAAACCAGCTATTTTTAGGATTGGTAGAAGATCAGATTAGTTGGGAATATATTAATTAGGGCAAGAAGTTCTTTCTGCATGGTGTTTTGTTGAAATAATGTAGCATGGCTATGATTTTTAAACAGCTAATATGATCTTGTTAATAGTTCTACCACAACTCAGCTCCTGATTGGCTTGGGCTGGGCAGTTTGTTTTCTGAGATGGGCTGTGGTTTGGTGATGCATCTTGACTTAATGGTTCAGAAGGAATAGTTAAGCAAATGATATGAGAATTCAATGAATCAACAAAAAACATCTCCAGCAATTTTTTTAGAAAAATTCATACACCTATTAACCTGTTGTGCCTCTATTAATTACATTCTTTTCATTTTGAAGATCTTTTTAAAGAAATCATCAAGTATGGCTTTCTAATACATTGCCACAATTTATTTTTTTTAATGTCTACATCATTGTTTTTCTGGTGTCTCAGATTTTTCTCTGAATTTGTCCTTCTGAACTATTTGGTTAATACATTGTCCAGTCACAGGGACAGGTCACCCCATTTCAGAAAATCCATCTCAGATGACATTACTATTGCCGGACTGAAATGAATGCTTGACAGGGTACAGAGTAATAGGCAGAGAGATGAGGCCATCTTAGGTGGTAGATTTGGGCAACCATAAAAATAAAGCAAAATTGTCCTTATTTCCTTCGTTATTATTTAATGCCCAGTGGGAATTCTGGAATTTTATGGCTTATGTGCCAAAATAATGTGGCTGGTCTAGGGAATATTTTATGTATCTTTACATGGAGTGAGATGGGGTGGAGATTTGCTACTCCGCTTAGGCAGTCAAAAGTCTTGGGCCAGTTTTGACTCCTGAAAAACACTCTTATAACACTTACCCAAAATTCCAACTTCTAATCCTTGAAGGCTTTTTTCAATATCACTATATATGTCCATTTTGGTGAAGTCAGCTTGTATGATTTTTACTCTTTGTCCTGTGGTCTGCTCTTCATGGAAAAAAGAGAAACAAATCTAATTCTGTAGTTTAGCTACAAGATGGTTGCCTTGGGTCACTATGTATTAAATCTATCTTACTAACAGTGATGCACAATGGAAAAACACTTTAATGCAGGGATTCAAGCATTTGATTCTACATCTTTAGAAATGGGGAAGGCCCTAAATACTCCAAAGGCAGCAGATCCTGTTTGGTCTTAGGAGGTAAATAGGGCCAGCCCTGTTTAGTACTTGGATGGGATGGGCACACACCTTGCTGGCTCACAAAAAATGTCAAAAGTCAAGGTTGGGCAACAACTTCGACCTGACTGAGTCTAATCCTATGTTTTTATATCATTCTACACCTCATTGTAAGACTAAACCAAAGCAATCTTGGAACTCCCTTATTGCTTTATGTCCCCTATGACTACGAATACTGGAGAAACTGAAAATTGGGACTACATTAGTCTTGGTAAAGATATTTTCTAATTCAGAGCTTGGAAAGATTACTTTTTGATCTATAGTTTTTAGTATCGCTTAGTCAGATTACATTAATGTGGCAGTAATAGTTCACAAATTAACATTTAAAAATGAAATCAAGTTAGATTGGAGCCTATTAACTATTTCTTATTATTTCATGGTCTATACATGTTTCATGGATGGATAGATTGAAAAAAAAATGTTGCTATAATACACATAAAACATTACACTTATTTGAAGCTCATCAAAGAAGCAATCTAGGAGATGACGAGAGAACAAACTATATATGCATGGATGAAGGTTTAGAAAAAGGAAGTTAGCTTTAATATTTTTTTATACTTACCGATGTCCAAGGCTACTCTCTGCATTTTTTGGAAAGTTCTGCTAATCAAAACAATATTTAGGCCCCGTTTGGCTAACTGTAGGAACAAGATTTAAACAGAGAAACATTTCAGTATCTGAGTGATGGTGATGTGATGGGGCACTCATTTATTAGATGGAATTTCATTATCATGTTGTCTGGCAGCCAGATATATGTCTTGCTTAGGTATTTTTCCAAAGTATGCTTCAACACTGTACTGCCTCTAAGATTATTTGCTACTATTTTACTGAGCTCAGTGCTGACCCAAAATAGTTAAGGAAAAAGTGGGCCTCTCCCTTTCCCCATTTCCCATACAAAAGCCAACAGTTGAATAGAAATGAACTATCACTGGAAACTGTTTTGGTTTAGAGGCAGAAAAAGGCTATATGGTGACTCCAATGCTCCTCATAATATCTGCTCTTGAGATATCTACCAGAAAGGATGATTGACCCTGCTGTAGAGGTTATTTTTAAAATATCTGTAAAGATTCTGATGAATATTCTAAACTGCTTATAAATCTTAATAGTATAGATGCTCTTCTTACTTCAATGGAATAGGCTCTTCCAATGCCATCTCCTGCTCCTGTAATCACTAAAAGATCAAAACCGAAAAGAAAAATTATACATTATCTTTCTTTATGAGATTCTTCCTTGTATATAAATTACACAGCCCAACCAAAAAAATCTTGTTGTCTTGGTTTTTAGGATTGTTCCTGAGGTTGTTTGGGGTGATGATTCAGGAAATTGCATTGGATAGACCACATCAGCTCATGTTTCTTAAACATGGTTTTCTATGAGCAGGCAGATGGTGACTGGTATATGGCATAGATTCTGTATCCCAAAAACTAGAGCAGATAAGGGAAAACTGATGCCATTTTTGGAATCAGCAGGTCAAATTTATACTTAGAAACAGGGCAAATATTTCAGACATCAAAATGTGTCTTGCCCAGTGTTATCTCAGATCTGTGTATCTCTGTGTGGGCATCCCAGACTTCTCTGTCTTCAGGAAGATAAAGTCACATTTTGTACAATTGGGAGAGTGATGAATTAAAGCAAAATGATAAAATAATGAACCCAAATGAGAGATAATACTAACACTTTAAAACAGTGGTTCCCAACCTTTTTTGACCAGGGACCACTTGACCAGGGACCACTCTCCAACATTAGTTCCAAAAGGGTTACAAATCAGTTTTTGGTTTGGTTATTTGGGGTGCTGATTCAGAAAATTGCACTGGATAGACCACATCCGTTTCTGATACAGAATATATGCCACCCAGTAATTTCCATCTGCTCGCCCACAGAAAAACATATTTAATAAGCCTTGGCACTATAAGAGGGTTTCATGAGATCAGTCGCTCTTGTTACAACGGTGTAGTAACAGTGAGGCTGTGGACCATATACAGTTGTTCTTACAGACCACTGGTGGTACACGGACCACAGGTTGGGAACCACTGCTTTAAAAGATGTTGTTCTTGAGTAGTCTTTGTGCCAGATCAGTGGAGCTCAGGATTTTGTTATTCGATTAAAGCAGTGGTTCTCAACCTGTGGGTCCCCAGATGTTTTGGCCTTCAACTCCTAGAAATCCCAACAGCTGGAAAATTGGCTGGGATTTCTGGGAGTTGTAAGCCAAAAAACCTGGGGACCCACAGGTTGAGAACCACTGCATTAAAAATTCAATAAGTTCATATATTTTCCAGAGGATGGTATAAATTGATATTTATATTAATTTATATCCTGTCAAAATATTAACTTAGATCCTAAAATTTAAATTAATTTATAGCCAATATCTAGGAATTAGCCCAACTAAACTTAATGAAACTTATTGCTAAGATAGATACAGATTTGCACTAAATAGATACAGGTTTTCATTCAAACACATACCCTGCGCACAGCCACTAGACTGCTACCCAAAAAGTCTTTCTTAAGGATGAAGGCATGTTTTGAGCAATATAGTATGAGAAACTGCGGGATACGGGCTTTAAAACAAATAAAGATTTAAAGGAAAGAATTATATTAAAATAACCTTTCATTCTGCAAACATTCTTAAATCAACATGAGATTTACCCTGTGTTTTTTAAATTGGATTTTGAATTTTATTTTAATTTAAATTATAGCATTGGTATAATTTCCAGAAAGCTCCTATGCATGCCTATCTCGAAATAGTTCTCCCTGGCTCTTTAGCAAGTGGATATTGGACAGAAGATTTGCATTACAACCTTATGTATGTTTATTTGGAAGTAAACCACACAGTGTTCGCTAAGGTTTCTCTCCGGTAAGTGTGCATAGAATTGCAGTCTTAATTTATTTTTATTTTCCCCTTTAATATGTTATTATTTGCACATTTTTGTTGCTGTGTGTATTTCTTTTCTTTTGCGGGTCATGCATATCTCAAACTGTCCTGAGTCCTTTCAGGGAGAAAGGTGCAGGTTAAAAATAAATAAATAAAAATAATATTCTAATAGAACAAAGTAGTTTTGAAGAAGATAAACAGCAGTGAACTGCAAAGAGCTAAGCCTGTTTTATGAAGTAATTCTAAACTGGCTCAGCTGCCACTAGCCATGGAAGACTATAGCAGCAATCCTATGCATCTTCACCAATTAAGTGGATAAGAACCGACCTCTGAGTACATGTGTTTAGAATTACATTGCAGATTTGGGTTTTAAAAACCCTTGTAAGTACAGAATGAATGCAACTACAAAGTTTTACTGGCAGGAAAAATGTAAAGGTTGGAATATTCCGATTTTGCAAGATAACGAATTAATGCATAGCTACATACATTAATACATACACACATATGTACTGTATACACAAAATACAAAGGCAGTTAGGATTGTCCATAAGGAAAAAAAAGCAAAACCCACAATTTGGCAGCATCTCTGTTTAGGATGAACCACAACATGATTTATAACTTTGCAGCTTCCTGAACGAAGTCTGTAAACTGAATGTGTAGCAAATGTGAAGTTCCCTTTTCTATGGTTTGTATTGTATTTTATACCTTTTTGCTATGTTTATGCCAATAAAGGCTGATTGAATTGGAACTTTGCAAGCTTTCAAGTCTCCCAGAACTCTTCATCTGGCAAAGAGGCACCACAAATCAATTTCTCCCCTTATCACCTCTATTTTGCTATCACTCAATGAAGAATTTTGAAGAACTCAAGAATATGCACAGTCCTCGTAAAGGTATTACTTCACTGTGGGCTTTATCATTAACTAAATCAACGTCAATTTACAAATGAATGTCCACTGCCACAACAAATTATTTTTCAATTGTAACTACTGAGTAAACCCAATGGTTTATTTTAAATTTGATAAACTTTATATTAAATAGATTTAATGATTGCATTAATATAGTAGCACTCACTGAAATGATGGAAAATAGGAACCTGCCATATACTAAAATAGACCTTAAGCACATCAAGTTTTGTATTATTTCTAGTCCAGTAACAGGTAGACACTCTCAAGAGCTTCAGAGAAAGGTATCTCCCAAATTACAGATGCCAGGAATTGAAGCTTGGACACAAAATCTTCCATTTTATGACCAAACTAAGTGGCATTCCTATTAACATTGTATCACATTAACAACAACAAAAGGAGGAGAGTTCCTTTACCTGCCCATTCCCCCATTGATTGGAAAAAAGATGGGGGCAAAGTACTTCGTATGTATGGGAAGACATACTTCAGGAACCGAAGGCTCTTCACCAGGAAAACCAGACAAACAATACTTCCAAGGACAGTAAGCAGATGTTGCTGGAATTCACCCATGAGGAACAATTACAAGGAGCCAAGATCACGTATTGCCACTGTGTCTCTCTCTCTCACTCACTGGCTGCTGATAGACTGGAGCTCTGGCAACAGAAACAAACTGAAACATAAAATGGTTTCCCTAATCATGAACCCCTGAGTCATAAGCATCTCCCATCCTCCCCTCAAAGAATGTGCCAGAAGTTAGAATAGAAGGACATTTTTGGCCCAGATATGGAAACTTCGGGACAAGCAAACACAGCAACGGTCCTTATTCCCACCTCAAAAATAGGAGATGTGGAAGCAGGCTAATAATATACCTTCATCTCTAGCTGGAGCAAAGAATGGATATGTTTGGATTTATTTGCATAACCATAATTGCTTTATTTTCATCAGATTATTCTCACTTAAACCACATAATTATCTAAATTAGTTTTTCCCAACTGAGTGTCCTCCAGATATAATAAATTACAACAACCATCCAACTGGATTTCTCAAATACTGAGGATCTCATCACATTTAATGGGGGAAAGTGGGGGGAAGCATAGGAATGTTACCCCATTCCCTCCCATCTATTCCTATCTTGTAGGATGGACAGCCACCCCACATTCTTTTTGTGTCTTACCCCATCTATCCCCCAACTTTCCCCTGCATTCTTCTGAAGACAGTCTTTGAGCTCAGTTTCCATGCGCTGCAGAAATGGAGTCTCACAGAGTCCCACTGGAAGTGCCCTTATGTTATCTGATGGACGTGGGACTTCCATGTGACTCTGTTTCTGCACTGCCTGGAAAGGGAGCCTGAAGACCATCTGATGAAGTACTCAGCTCTGAACATCTCAAACTGTATTCCTGCTCTTTAGTATCCAAATTACCATTCTTGGCCCTTCCCTTTTCATGAACAAGCAAAAATATTACATGGCATACTACAGAGAACCCATCAAAAAGGTGCCCTTTCAGACTAAATAACTAACTAGAATTAGAATTAGAAAACTATCAGATAGAGAGGTGTCTATATATTGGTCTTTATTTCTTAGTTATTCATGTTTTAGTATCTAAGTATATATATCTGTGTATTAGTGTTTTTTATGTTTTGTGTTTATATTATTTTTGTGTATGTTATCATGTGTATATTTTTGTATGAGTTAGAAACTAGATTACTAGGGTGTTCTTTAATGTATAACTTGATGATGTGTTTGTTCACATCCCCTTCTCCCATACAATCCGCCTTGAACACTGAGGTCCTCTGGGGGACGGCTACTCCAGCCAGCCAGAACCTGACTGGTGACCATCACTCAGAGGACCTTTTCATCAGCTGCCCCAAGACTGTGGAATGACCTGTTGGAAGAGCTACAACAGTTAAATGAGCTGTCAGAATTTAAAACACATCTGAAGACCTATCTCTTCCGGCAGGTCTACCCAGTCAGTTTTAATCAAGAATTTTAAACTTCTGTCTTGTGTTCATTATATTTTATTATTTGTTCTGTATATTTTAATATACGTATTTGTAGAAATAACATTTTAATATGTGTATTTTATATGTTTATGATGATTATCTGTTTTAGCTATGTTGTAATCCATCTCAAGTCACGAAGAGAGGTTGGTAAGAAATAAAATGATGATAATGATGATGCTGATGTATTTGTATTTTTCCCCTTTCTATAAAAAATTAATAGCAAAAAAGGTCCCCTTTTTGGACTGCAACTTGAAAAATCCTCCAAACAGCGTGGTTGCCAAGCAGCATGTCCGTAACATTAGAGATACTACTTCCTGTTTTTTAAATCTCCCTTCAGACCAAAGTACAACAAGAGATCTGGGCCTATATTCATTTATCTACTATGGGATTTTAAAAATAGAAGCAACACATGTGACATAGGTTCACAATTGCACAGCAATGTGCTTTTAGTGGTGGTAAGGAATTAGTTTTGGGTGTGTTGGAGCTTTGTTCCCCAGATCTGTGGTTCAAAATGGCGACATCACTGACATCATCAAGTCCCCAAGAGGAAGCAAAGGGTGGAATTTCTCTACTTGGCACTGTGGTAAGGATTGTGGTGGTGGTGTGTCTTTAGGCTGTTTTCAACCCATAGTGACGCCAAGGTGAATATCTCCAAGGGTTTTCTTGGAAGGATTTGATCACAAGAGGTTTCCTCTGAAGCTAAGATGGAGTGACTTGCCCAAAGTCATCCATTAGGTTTCAAGGCTTGAGCAAGAATTCAGTCCTTGGTTTTATGGTCCAAGGTACAAACTACTACACCAAACAACCCAACTTAATTCTGTATCTTTCTCTTTTTCTTTATGGGGAAGGTAGGAATAGCAAAGTTGTCTGTTCTCAAACGGCTGGAAGGAGCAAGGGAGAGGAATCTTTAGTCTTATTTCCAACTAGTTAGTCAAGACGACACCAAGCATTGCGTGCGTTTCCCTTCAGTGCCATCTGGTGACTCCCCTATTGATTAGGTAGAGCCTATATTGGGAGAATGATGAGATAGAAATATTTTTAAAAAATAAATCATTCTGGGTTTTAGTCAGAGGTACATTTAAACAGCCCAAGGTGTTTAACCCTATCCTCCAGAGGAGTTCAGCACCTTGGATAGCTCATTTAAAACTTGGATTAAAAGCAGAATACATTACTGCACTGAGATTGGAACCACCAACAAGAAGGGCAGGTAAAACTGGTTGTTCTCAGCTGGCATTTGCAAGTCAGGCCAGAGAAAACAGTCTATGATTTCCTCCCTTGCATCTGGAGAGAAGTGAAATATTCAGTCGGCACTTGCAGAAAAAGGAATCCTTGCAAGACCAGCCAAGATAATCATAGGAATTTCTTGTAGCCTAAGGCAGGCCTTGAATACTAGAATAAAATACATTATACCAACAACTATATGTGGACAGCTAAAATGAGGGTGCCCTGTAAGCTCCCTTTGTGCATTGTCTGTTCTGCTCATTCCCCACTAGTAGACTGATACTGTCTAACTTCATTTATGTTTACAATTTCTCCTCCATCAGTCACCTTTTTCCTGGCAGTATACTGTGGGCCCTCCATACCATAGGTTCTGCATCTACAGATTCAACCAACCACTGCTCAAAAAAGTCTTTTATAAATTTCAAAAACCAAACCTCAATTTTGCCTTACACTGAATAATAACCTAATATGTAGGCATGCCCTGCTGTAGCTATCTGCCATTTCACAGATTCCCAGACTCTATTTGGAATTCATTTGAGTTGTTCCAATATTTTATATAAGGGATGCCCTTTTACCATGCTATTGTATATCATGGGATTTGTGTCTCCATAGATTTTGTTATCCAAAGGATCCTGGGATGAAGCCACAGCAGATACCAAGGGCCAGCAGACTCCATACATCTCTATGTTGTTGCTAAGTGTCTTCAGATTAATTTCAACCTATGGCTACCCTGTGAATGAGGGACCTCCAAAACACCCTATTGTTAAGAGCCTTGATCTCAAACTATAAGCTCTATAATTTTCCTAATATGCATTTTCCCTTTCACTTCAGATGGTCTCTGACACTTGATTTCAACTCATGTTTAATGTCACAAGCCACCAGAGATAATAATTTTCAATGCAGGGATAAGAAAGTGTGTTTTAGTCAGCATTGACTAGTTACTATTTGCCAGGATTGTCCAATGGAGAGCAATGATAGGATTAGCAGTCCAAAACATCCACTAATTTCATGATTTTGTCTATTAATCTCCAATGCACACCCATCCTACTTTTCATTTCTAATTACACCAAATTCCATATGATTTCACAGGATCCCACAATTTTAGTGGCATTTTAGGGAACACAGTATAAGGAGATGGGTGGAAAAGAAAGGACCACATAATAAAGATTATTTTAGGATTATTTTAGGATTTACTCTCTTTGTTAAGGAGGTACCTTTAATGATGACCATACAAATACACTACTACATTAAAAGGGAAATCTATTATTCACACATTTATCAGACACAGAATATATTTTTGGTATCAGGTGTACTCTTTCAATGCATCCATGCCACTTTCCATCTAGTCCAATCCAATAAAGTGGGCCTCAATGAACTTTTGGGGGCATTTATGGGAGTTTTGGATTGTGTAGTCTGCTCCACCAACATCTTACTAATGCAGAGGACCACCAAGAAGAAAATTGCATGATTTTGCAAAGAATATGTCATGGTTTGCCAGCAATAACCATGCAGCCGAATATTGTTGAAAGACATTTATTATGTGATAGGTTCATCTATAAGCATGCACTTGTACTACAAGGATAGAAATCATGTATAGACTGTATATAATCCTTCAAGGCCCTGGCTTTTGTCCCAACTCTTTCAATTGCTGGTGGGGGGGGGGGGGATCCTCCTAAAAAGAGAATTGCATCCTAAATGCTTCCTAGAGCTGTTAAAGCTATTGATCTTTGTTATTAAATCMCTCCTGGTATTGTTTGCTGGGTTCCCAGTGTTTCATGAGCAGTAACCATGTTGATTTYTCCAGAAGMACATTAGGTGATCAGTCAACGTTGTTCACAGAAAACAAGAAATGCATCAAAATGTTCAAAAGATGGTTGTTTATTGGTGAAAGAGCCCAATGCCTTTTGGTCTGCAGGACCTTCTTAGAGGGCAACATCAAAGGGTATCATATAAATACCTAATGCCACATCACATAAAATCATTACATTTATGCATTGCCCATTTCCTGTACATACCTACTTAGAAACAAACTGTAGACATTTCTGAACCAGGAACTCTCGCAACATTTACTGGACAAATGAAAGCATGTGAACAAGGTCTTAAAGTTTTTAATATCTTGCAAGCAGATGATAAAAAAAACATAGATAACATTCAAGGACATCTTATGATTTTATATAGTCCCTTGAGGAAGGCTTTACTAGGCAAAAGTTCATCAGACCTTTCTATCACCTCTTCTTTTTTCCCTGTGCTTAAGATGTATTTTCCCCTTGTGATTTTCTTACAATTATGGAGAACTTCTCTGTATGCAGATTTCTTTAATAACTGGTGTTCTTTGAAATGAACAAAGAAACAGGGACAATGGGTGGATTTGTGTAGTGTCTGTATCCACAGAGAATAAAGCATCTCCTTGTTCTATGCTGATCATGTAGAGAGACTGACTGAACAATGGCCCATTTATATTGAAGCACATTTGTACCCCTAAGTCAGGAGTGGGAAACGTTTGCCTTCCCACAAATTTTGGTCTACAATTCTTAGATGTCCCAGCTCACCATGGCCAATGGTAAGGAGATGCAGGAGTTGTAACCCAAAGTATCTGAAAGGCACCTTGCCTCTCCAACCCCCACATGTGTGAAGTTTGCTGCAGTTTCAGATAAATAATACATGCCTAAAACAACATTAATATCTCAAAATGTGAATAACTAAAGAAATGCTTACCATTTAAAAATTCACATAAACATGCTTTAGTCAATGGTGGAAATGTTACCTTAAGCAAGAGACATTAAAATGTGCATGGTACCCTAACACAAATTTCCCTGTGAAACATCCCCACAAATTCTTGTAGCTCAGTACAAAACTGGAACAAGACCAATTACAAGGCAGTATTCAAAGAAGTATAATACAAGGGATAATGCTGTTGTAATTCTCTGAGATTTCCTCTTTTTCATATCTGTAGCAATGTGGCTGACCTGGAGCGGGATCTTAGGATTGTGGTGAGTGACTGGATAAAAATATTGATTCAGTTTACACTCATTATGAAAAGAGGAAAATTCCATGTTGAAGGAATCAAAATTAAATCTGCCCAAAGTGTGGTATCTTTGAGCAAACTTCCAACATATTACTGATGAGCTAAAAAGGGGCACAGAAAAGGCAACCAAAAGGATCTGAAAGTTGGAGCAACTTTCCTTCATCATCTATTTGTTCTCATACACACACAATCTCTATCCATATACCTACCTACATTCTTTTCTCACAGACACCTTTTCATCCATCTATTCATTTTCTCACACATATAATACAGTCACTTATCAGTTCACAAATCCTAGCAACATTTAGAGACATTTGTTCAACAAAATTACAGCTATTTAATCACAGATAAAAGAGCCCTCTCTGGATTCAGACCATAGTCTCTATTTCACTTAGTCCTCAAGTCATAATATATTTTGACAGACAGCAGTTTTTGTGTGTCCATGTTCCTACTTAGTGGTGATTAGTGAGGCTACTTCAGTCCTCAGATTTTACTTTCAATGAAGATACTCAACATGCTGAACCTTCATACAGCTTAATATATTTGTCACTTTGGATAGTTTCTTGAAAATTCTTTTAAAACCCAAGTGGATTCATCACTCTGCTACCATGCAATTCACCAACTGCCACTATTCTTACTTCCATTTTTTTGTAAAAATGTGGATGCTGAGGACTGGAGCATCTCCATTCAAAGTCTGTGCAAGGCACTGAACTACAGGCACTATTTAAAGAATTTTAATGTGTGAAATATGTGTGGCCAAGATGTTATACATGTTATAAAAAGTTTACATGCAAGTTTCTTCTTTGATCTTCTGAAGATTTGCTTTTTGCAAATACAGATTTTATTTCTTTTTCATTAGTATGATTACAGACACTCCCCAGGTTACAAACATCTGACTTACAAACAACTCATAGTTAAGAACTGGGGTGAGAGAACATGAAATAAATCTGTCCCTAGGAAGGGAAATTCAGTCATGGAAGAGTTATGATGGGGAAAAGATGTCTCCACTGAAGTTTTAGCACCAGTCCTTGTTTCCACAACAAGCCATTTTTTTCAAAATCCAATTCTCACAGGGACAGAAAGTGAGTTTAAATCTTCTGAACAGGGGCACAGAAAGCAAAACAAACACCACAGAACTGTTAACTCTTCTCTATTCTATCCAAAGCTTGCTTGTTCTATCTATCTATCTATCTATCTATCTATCTATCTATCTATCTATCTATACACACACACACACACAGAGAGAGAGAGAGAGAGAGAGATCATGGGAGTTACACTTGAAAAATGTACCTGTTCTGACTTTCAACTTAAGAACAAACCTATCTTGTTTGTAAGTTGGGGGTTGCATGTATTATGAATATGATGGTTTAAAATATGGAAAAGACACAGAGAGTTGACATTTTAATTAGAAGTACAAACATCTTGTAAACACATGCAATCTCATTTTCATGATTTATATAAAAAAGACACATCATAATCCTACCCACTTATTTATTATATAAGGGGTAAGAAATCTTTGGCTTTCCAGTTGTTGTTGGACTCCATCATTACTGATGCAACTAAAAGATCACTGATGCCTGGAGTAAAGTTTGCTCTTATTTCTTATTTTTGATCAGATATAAGAGTGTGGTGGACAAAGCTCCTGAGACTAGAAAACAAGAAGGTCCCCAATTGTTAATAATCTCTGTATTGCACAACAGACCCACCTCAAATGCCACATCCTATGCCATTTTGGAAGGTACCTCAACCCGTCAGAGTGGGTTTTTGAGATGCTGTAAACAATAAAGTTGAAATGTTCTTTCCTATGTGCAGAATTCTGTTCTGAGAAGTAAGCATACAAACTACCAAGTGTCAGAAGTCTCCAAATTCTTCTTTTAGCCACCCTGGCAGAACATGTATTTGGCATTACAGGTGCCATTTCTGTACATTCAGTCAGTCCCAGGACAATTGACTGCATCAAGTAGGTCAATCACATTGGAGCCCCCTGAAGCCACAAAATTGGCTGGAATCACAGAATCACAGAAAGTTGTGTAAATGCCCCTTTATCTGTGGAGGACATATTCCCAGTCAGACCATGGTTATCTGAAACTGAAGAATGCCTAGTTCTATCCCCAATAACCAATGCAACTCTATGGTAACTTCTAAAGGAAGCATATCATAGAACCACTAGGAGGACCTAGAAAATTCTTAGAAATACAACAAAGGTTCTGGCTTTCACTGGTTGCATTATTCAGCTGTGTGGCGTCAAAAGAACACATCATCCAATTCTCTGCCCTTTGATAGAACCATCCATCCATCAGGTGAACTATAGATAAAATTTGACAATTCAAGTACAAAGCAAATAAGGCCCTGAATTTTTCAATAAGGACAACTTGTGCAAAACAGCTGGTAATTCTTCAATAATTTGTAGTTGATCCACAAACCCCTGAGTTAGCAAGTCATTTTTTTAAAAAGCTAGAATTTTGGCTTGTATCCCGCAACCATAGATGAGACAAGATGTCGGAAAGCCTACACCCATGGTAATTGCACAAAATCCTAGGCTGAGCAAAGAATCCACTTTTAGACATTTCTAAGGCTTCTCAGAGATGAACTAAGACATTACCAAACCATGCCATCCATCCTGAAGAATGCAAAATCTTAAATAATTGGCCTTGGTGTAGGGATAACCAGATGCATCTGCAGTCCACACTTTTCCATTTGTCATCATTTGACAAAAACGATGGCTTGGTCTGTGATTCTCCAATGCAAGATGAGGCAAAGTTCTCATTTTGCATTCCTCTTCAACACCTGTTAGCCTTAACTTCTAGAATTTCTGGGAGTCTTACAGTTTTTCTTTTACTTCCTTCAGTCAGCTCTTTGCATCTGGCATTGCCTTTTCTTCATCTATGGGGTGCTTAAGACTGTCCTGCCCCCGTATTGTTAGAAACGAGTATCTCAACCCTCCTGCCATGCTAAAGGAGGAAAGCAGAGAACACACATGATCAGAAAAAACTATGTTACAATCCATGTGGATTCGATACGACATTCAGTATCTCACTCACCAGATATTGAGCCCAATGAAATTCAGCACAGAGAAGATGTAGTCTCCTCCGACCAGCATTCCAATATAAGCGATGCTCACATTCTGTAAAAGAAGAATGCTTGATTACATGTTCTCTTGGCATCACTGTACTTTTAGATATCCTTCTCAAGAATTGCAAATAACTGAGAAACTATTCTGACCTGAAACTTTTGGGAGAGAAAATATTTTGAAAGTTCCGAAGTAGAAGATGATGGGCACCCACCCTCTCTTATTATGGAAAAAATTCTTACCATTTGACAGGTCATACATTCTTCTTGGAGAAATGATTTCATAGGCAATATCAGGATATGAACTACAAAGTCATATCTAAACTGTGAGTAGATGATCTCTTGCCTACATTGTGTCTCTTTTCATATTTTTAGATGGCCAGAAACTTCATAGTTATTATAAACTCTCAGCCCTCAAATTACCAGACAATTTTCTGTGTTCATGGCTGAAAGATGATTAGCTACAGAGAGACTTATATGGCTTCCATATCTATTTCTGATACTATCAACAGTTTGTTAACTCACCTTTATAGCACCAACCACTGTGGTGGTAAGGGCAGAATTATAATGGCTGCAGAGGACTATAGAATACATCAGAAGAAACCTGACAAAAAGAAATATATTTTACTATTGGATTCTCTGCACATTTTCCTTTCTGAGACAAGTATATGTAAGGATTGTAGTCTGAAGCAGCATTATTCCATGTTGACTCTTCACCGTCCCACACAGAGAAGACTGCAGTCTAAAAGAAACTGAACATACAGATCTGAATGAAACTGCACAAGTTTAAGTTAGGGTTATGTGGACTTTGGTGCCCTCTGTCATCCTTGCTGTCCTCTGTCATTACTGTTTGTATGTAACACAAATCCAATGTAAAATCATACTATGCATTTTTGACATTAATATTGAAATCTGAAATATATACAGAAAGTCTTTACTTTTCATAAAGTATCATGTGGACTGTCAGAGACTAAACACAAAACAATGCCTTGGAAAAAAATATGTATCTCAGATTACAGTAGGCCTTCCGCTTTCATGTAGATTAGGGGCACAGGACCCTGCAAAAGTGGAAAAATGGAATTTTAAAAAAACTAGCAGATAAAACACTTCTTCAGAAACCTCTAGATCCTCCAAGGTGGCTCTGTGGTCAACTCCTGCTGGAAGGACTTAAGAGGTTCCTAGAGAGGACATCTTAATCAAATCTGTGAATAATCAAATCTGCAAAATTTTAATCTGATGATTGCAATTCTATTTATTAGAATTTATCTAACATGTTTGAAGCATCACTTTATGCCAGGTGCAAGCCGAAGCATTACTCCAGGAGTGGATCATATATGTCCTGACCATGCTTGTGATCACTGGGTCTTTCTGATACAAACAACAGCAATATCAACTTATTTTCTACTTAAAAAAGGAGAATTGCTATTTCTGGAAGCCTCTGATGAAGTGTTTTCCCCTGAATAATGTAGGCCAGATATTATGTATCTACACTATGGGAATGCCTATACAGTCATCCAATATTAATGTGGCCAAGTCATAATAAACACAGACACTCTGAGATTACAGACTCTCCTCTGCATTACTTGAAGGGTTTAAATATGATGAATTTGGGAAGCGGAATGCTCTTGATCTTTCCTAATCTTTCATGTGGAATGCTGTCCCCTTGGAAGCCCAACTGGTTCCAATCAATGATGGTGCCAGTTCGGCACCAAGTTAAAATCTAGTTCTGTATCCAAGCTTTCTGGGACCAATGACCATGGCTTTTCTCTTGAGTAGCTGGGTGTGGATTTCAGTTCACTGTTTTATAGTTTTAGATAATTTTATAATTGCGTCAGTCACATTATTGTCTGTATCTTATCCTGGAGAGCTATCGTGGTGTCGTAGTTTGGACATTGGGCTGTGACACTGGAAAGCAGGGTTTGAATCCCATTTCAATCATGGAAACCCACTGATGATCTTGGGAAAGTCACACTCAGACTCAGAGGAAAGGAAAGTCAAACCCACTCTGAACAAATTGTGCCAAGAAAATCCCATGACAGGTTCACCTTAGCATTGCCATAAGTCAGAAACGACTTGAAGGCATACAACAACAACAACAACAACAACAACAACAACAACAACAACAACAACTTGAGATTCCTAGATATAGGTTGCAATGTAAATTTTGCTAATGAACAAGGCAGGTAAATAAAATATGATTGACTTTGTGCAAATGTGCATATATGAATGGACTTAGATTGTTTTAAGCTGTATGTATTGGTTCTATTGTATGCTCCCCTTAGATCCTTGGCTATATGGTGGGATATTAATGTTTTTTAAAATAAAATACTGAAATATAAATGTGCCTTGGAAGTAAATATATAATAATACCAGCATGGGAGGAACAACTCTTACTGAGAAAAACATTAACAGTCTGAGGAAATTATCTTCGCTCCCAGATAAAGAGTCATTCTAAAAATGTGCTTGGGTATTATACAAAAGCTGGACAATAAATACATTGTTTGAAGCAACTGGACCTCTTTTTTACTTGCCCTGTTACCATGGTTATTGGTTATTACCTCATCCTGCCAAATAAATATGGTCTGGGAATATCTACAGAAGATGCACAAACATGACTAGTATTTTGTGCCTATTTATATATGATTCCTTACCCCAGTACACAGGATAGGAGAAACTGGAAGACAAATAAAATATTTGTCCATTGCTTGAAATCGATGGCCTAAAAAACAAAGATTGCATGTTTTAGGTAAGAGCCAGAATGAAGGAGTGTTTGACTCCGGAGGAGTAGAATTTGAATCTTCTTTCAGTCATGGAAACCCTTGGGCAAGTTCTCCTTCTGAGTCTCTCAATGGAAAGCCTTGTGCCAAGAAAATCCTGTAATAAGATCATCCTAAGTTGGAGTCAGCTTGAATGTACATAACAGAAATATTTAATTGAGAAGAAATAATTAAACCTAAGGGGGAAAGAGGAGGGACAAGTGTTTATATCAGGTATTTAATGATCACAATAGGATATATCTTCTAATGGCTGCTTCCTGAGTCGTTTATATGTTGCTTTTAATCAACATGGATCTAAAGATCTGCTCCTCAAGACCCCCATCAATGGATTACCATTAAAAGGAAAGATATCTGTTATTCTCATGACACTTTCACATGCTTTCAGAATATGTGTATGTGGAAGGAAACGAATGGAATTGGGATGTCCATACAATGTTTAGCTGGACATAACTATAGGACTAAATTTAGTGTTATCGCTATCAAAGTAGATCCAAGAAAGTGAATGAATGCATTAGTCACAACTCTTTCTAAAGTCTTGTTGATTTCAACTGATCTATTTTAAGTAGGAATTGTATTGAATACAGTGCATAGAAAGCTGCTTTATACTGAACCAGGCCATTTGTCCATCAAGCTGCTGATACTGTTCAATTCCCGAAGACACTAGGAATTGTACTTGGGGACCATTTACAGAGAAAGCAGGAATTCTATCACTGAGCCCAAATCCTCATGTCCACAACCCCTCAGTTTTGTTCCTATGCTTGAACAGACTGAGCGCCAAGGCTACAAAATAAGAAAATAAAAAATGCTGCGAATTATTCTGAAGATGTAGACCATCCTTCCCAACAGACACAACAGAAAACTCATGAACCTGACCTTCAGTATGGATCTGAGCCTTAGGGCTTCATACTAGATGTGGACAAAGACTCTTCTCTTAACAGAAATGGCTGCTTTGGTTACAAAAAAAAAAAAAAGATCCAAGCCGACAAATGAATATTATAACCCTGAATTTTTCAATAATTGTTGCTTACCTTCTGAAAGTCTCCAGTGAAAAAACTTATGAGAACTGTAGGAATTATCATAAAACAGGCATTATAAAAAATGACTCCATATTTTCCCAGCTCCTACATAAAAAAGAAATACAGACTGTCAAACTGGACAAAGATAATCTAATACAGTAGTCCCATCCCACTTATTATGCATACTCATTGAATGCAAATTCAGTTATATGCAAAGAGCTCTGAATCAGAACAACACTGGGGGGTCTAGCAATGCCTAGAAAAGTGTTCTCTCTATACTTCAGCATACTTCTATAGTCACCTTCTGCCAGAAGTTCTACCAGAAGTTGACCATAGATTCACATTGGAGACCTAGACATTGCTAGGCAGCTATATGTCCTCCAACACAATTCTATGTTATGCTTTGGGGAAAAAACTAAGATAGCATTCATTTCAGGTAAGAAAATTTGGTTTGAGAGGGAACATTAGAAGTTGGGGATGGTAAGGCTGTTCACCATCTTCTTAAGGAGCAATCCAGCCTCAACCGCTGGCAATTGCATGCATCATACTAAAGCAAGTCCCTATACCCTGATCTATAGGAGAACTCTGATGGTTGGAGGCTTCCAAATAGGCAATTCTCATTTTTTATCAAAATATTTAGAAAGGAATGCTCAGGAAGCCACAAAAATATCCTTCACACACCTGTGGCTTAGAGGAGCAAACAGATTTTCTCAGACATGGATAATTTTTTCCAATGTAATGCAGAATAAAGCGGAATGGATTATAAACACAAACAGACCAAAGAAATGCTCAAACTACTTGTAAGAGGAGCCTTCTAGTCGAAATGTATACCATTTTATGAGTAAAAACTGTATGGCCAAGAAACTCTCTATTTAAAAAAACCCAACACAAACATTGGGATTGGTTTTGCTTTTAAGTAAAACCAGCTCTTTGCAGAGATGGCTCTTAACCCTCCCCAAAGCAAACTAGCTTTTAAAAAAAACTGAATTCTGGTCTTAATTAATCTTTTCTAACAACAATTTCCCAAACCATAAGGATATCAACTCCATGGTTGTTAGGAAAATGACTACAAACAATTACCTTAGGGTCAATTTTTTGTTTGGTGTAAACACCATTTGCCGCAGTGAAGACATCATTCAGTAAAACAGCAACATATCCTTCCAAGTTAAAAGCCAGGTCTGATCTGGAAGAGAGAACAACTTAGGGAGAACACAGGCATAGCATTTCTTTCACAGTGAGGTAGTTCACCCCCTCTATTAGCCATTTTCATATTACAAACTTACAAACACAAACTGTAAGCTGAAGAGTTTGAAGTAGTAAAGTGACCTTTCTATAACTGCAGTAAAATAACAAAATGAGAATAAATGCACTAGGCAAGATTAATACCATTCAGTTGTATGGTTTCAACTGACATTTTGCTCAGAATCTGCACTGATTGCTCACAACTTCTCCAATAACGGTTTAAGATTCTGCACCATCAAAAAATGACCAGACTAAAGCTATGTCCACATTTATCAGAAAAATCCAGAGCAAGGGGCTTTGATGTTTGCTCCTATGCATCCCTGCAAGCATCCCCAGAGACCTTTGACCATTCATGTGCCTGGATAGGCTGAGTGTGCATTGTGATAGCTGCCACTGCATCACCACCAGCAAGCAGCTCTCTCCCAAAGTCTTGTTGGTGACATCATATTTCTAGTCTCATGGCTCCGCACATGACATGGCATCACCAAAAAAGTGAGGTCTCCTACAAGCCTCTAGAAGACAACTGTTTGCTGGCAGTGTCATAATGGTGTGTCCATAAGTGCTATGGACAGTGAATTAGACTAAATCCAGCCCGATCCAGCTATCAATGCCTCCAAAAATGCATGATCACTCTGGAGCTTCCAGGAAACTCTGGAGTAGATGCCACATTCCATTGTCATGAAGTAATGGCTGGATGCAGTGGGTGTGTGCTGAATCCAGCCTGTGCATCAGCAACTAAGTAGTGAGTCTACTTTATTTTGGCTATATAGACAGAGCCTAAATCTCAGGACAGAGGATCAGACAGCAAAAGGCCATTCATATAATATAATTCTTGTTCATTTTAACTGGGCTTGTGGACAGCTAGGTCCACTGAAGGAAATAATATAAGGCAGTGGTTCTCAACTTGTGGGTCCCCAGATGTTTTGACTGTCAACTCCCAGAAATCCCAACAGCTAGTAAACTGGCTGGGATTTCTGGGAGTTGTAGGCCAAAACTTGTGGGGACCTACAGGTTGAGAACCACTGTTATAAGGTATCTTGACAAACATTGTTTCAGATTTCTCTTGCATTGACTTTCTCCTTAAGCCTCAGGCTATTACTGTACCTGTTTAACTATTCCTGACCATTTTAATTGCTTTAAAAAACCAATTTATTAAACAAATAAAGTCCTAAGTAGAAGACTTAGTAGAAGCAGCAAATCCTAGACCATCATCAACACCACCATCCCTGGTTATGTAGGATGGAAACCACAGAGTCCTCTAAATGCTGTTGGATGACAATTTCCAGTATTCTTCTCCACTAGCCATACTGGCTCAGGCTGGAGAGAGCTGCAGTTCAGCAACATCTAGAGGAGGGCTTCCCAAAATTTAGTCTTACATTATTATTATTTTTGCATTACAGCTCTCAGAACCCTTGATTACTAGCTAAGGCAGTTGAGACTTCTGGGACTTGATGTCCAAAAGAATCTGGAGAACTGGAGTTTGGGAATCACTGATCTGAAGGGCCACATGATTCTCAATATAATCTAGAAAGCTGTAGACCAGTGGTTCTCAACCTGTAGGTCTCCAGGTATTATGGCCTACAATTCCCAGAAATCCCAGCCAGTTTACCAGCTGTTAGGATTTCTGGGAGCTGAAGGCTGGGGACACACAGGTTGTGAACCACTGCTATAGACTGACAGTATTTTACAATCGTCTCATTCTATAGAAATACTTATAACCAATTATGCAAAGTAACATTGCAATTAAAATGAAAAGTCTTTAAAAGCTTACCCTGCTGCTATGAATGCACCCAGGATGATTGCAAACACACTCATTATAATGCTCAGTGGATAATGTTTCCTGAAAAGATAAAGAGAATATTTAATTTTGCAGAGTTTATATTGACTAATTATAAAGTCCAACAGATTTTTTGACCTAGGATTACGTATGTCAAAGGGAGGTGTACGAAAACATTGTGGTGAACCATCAAGTAATTTCTAATTTATGATTATCCTAAGAAAACACTATTATGGGGTTTTTTGGCAAGGTTTTTTTCTCGGGAGGTTTGCCTTGCCTTGGGCAAGAGTGTGACCTCTCCAAGATGACTCAATGGGTTTCCAAGGCTGAGTGGGGATTCATGCCCTGGTCTTCAGAACATATTCCAATGTTCAAACCACTACAACATACTGGCCCTAGGTTTGAAAGATAGCATATTAGAGTAAGATAAAACTGTAGGCCTCTTTATTTTATTTTATCAACTTTTGCAGGTGAACAAAGTGATAATATTTTTATCCTAAAGGATTCAGGGGCTACCTTTAGGAAAAGTGTGTAATTAGAGATAAACTTCCTATGAAAATGTCCCAGATTTAACTCACCTCTTCCAGTTGAACCAGAGAAAGTTCCTAGTTTGAAACTTTGGAGAAGAGTTGTTTTGGCAGCAAGATTCTGCTAGTGGACTTGTCTATACTGACCAAATAAATTCTATTTCACACTCCATTTTTCTGGTCCTTAGTGACTTGCTAACACTACACACAATACACACATCATGGTGAGATCACCATTACCAGGCCACACATTTTCCCCTTGCAAATTCATTTCAATATATGGGGGCAGTCCACATCTCCAGGCCTTCACATTAGATCCTGCCACACAGCCATGGTCCCTCTGCCTTTTTTCTCCCCGGCATGCATATGAATTTATATATTTCTTGTTAAACAGGGCATCTGCTAAGACTATTATATTGATATGCAAGTGTCCACATACACATACCTTCTCAAACAAACAAAAAAGTCAAACATGTTGGCAAGTGTAAAATTTAAAATTTGCATTAGGAAAGAATGACTTGTTAGAAGGAATGATCTGGTTACCACCTGGTCCAAGTCACCTCCCACTAACCCGTTCCACTTATCACTAACCCCTACTCCCAACCCCATGGTGATGTCACAATGCCTCAGAGGGCCAACCACAGACCAAAAATCTGGATTTTCAAGAAAACGTATGGGGTAAAAGGCAATGTTTTTTTGAACTGTATTAAAGCCCAAAGAACTTTATTGCAAGTGGATCATCAAGACTGACAAACTGCAGAGCTATGAGATTAATACATTTTTTCATCAGTATAAACAAGTCCAGTGTCTGTTTTGAAACTAGTTGGTTTCTTTGCTCTCAATTTTGGATCTCCAGGTATTGCTGGATTTCAGCTTCCAGAATTTCCAAACAGTATGACCAATGTTCTGAGACCTATAATCTGTGGACCCAAGGCTGGGAACCACTGTACTAGCCAACAAGACCTATCCTTTTAATGCATTCTACCAGATATTCCTACAACATTATTTCATTGGATAGCCTCTGGTGGTATTTCAAAAATGAGAGGTAAATACTCACCCAAGTATAACAACTTCAAGGACTAATGTAAGAGGAATGGTAAACTTCCGAAGGACTGTAAACATTGGCAAACTGTTTTTGAAATAGAGAGAAGAATACAGAAGTTGAGATGCCTGGTCATGTCAGTTGCAAGCTATTCTATCTTCATTAGTGATTTCATCCTCAGCATAGACTAGCCCCAAGAATGTACTAGACCAAATTCTCAGTTTTCTCATAGCCAAATGTCAGTCTGACACCAAAGGGTGATTAATCAGCAAAATAGTTGGGTGTGAGAATTTTTAAAAAATGAAACTTGGATAATAAACAACCCTAACACACTTCTGAGGAGACACTGGGGTAGTTTGGTTGACCTTAGTTGACCAAGAGGGATGAGCAACATAACCATGTCTATGTTTATTCAAAAGCCATTCTCACTGTTTCTACAGGAACTAAATCCGTAAGGATGAACTGTGCTTTGCTTAGCAGCCTAAGGCAATCACTGTGCTGATATGTTATTAGAAATCCAAGCATAGCTTTTTCAGTCTTAGTGCAAACTCAGGCCTATTGGCAATTCCACCCACTGAACCCATGGGATTCATATAAGTTTTAACTTATTCAACAATTGATATCTACATATTGCTCTCAACCTTCCAAAACTACAAAAGCAAAATGACCTGTTTTAAATGTTAAACTAAGTTATTTCATAATTCAAGTCAGAGAGGAGACTCCAAACTCCTTCTCAGTCTCTGCTTTTTCCCGTGTTTTTAGCTCTATTGAACAAATAAACAGTAAGAACTTATTTGTGTCAAAGTTATTTTCAGGAATATTTCTCCAAACTATGAGTCAATATTTTACCCTTCAGATGGCAAGGACTTCATCTGGTATTCAGGGGCCAGCTTTGTACATGTGTGTGGTGACACATAATACAATTATCTGGGTGACACTCCCTATGTCAAATTGTTTGTAAGCACCTCTAGCTTTCTATGCAGTGTTTATACTTGTGATGGGAATGCAAGCATGTTTGCTACAATGAATATACCATTTGCAAAATGGCAGTATTTGTTCTCAAACACTTATTGTTGCTTTTCTTATGTTATGGCTCCCTGATGTGCTAATGGATGGAACTGCAGATAGCCATTTATCATTCAGATGGTATATATTTACTACATAGTGGGTGACATTTATGTAGCCTATGTCAAACACAACATTGAGTGCTATCTACACTTTGGACTGGACATACATAAATGCATATGCAAACAGCCTTCTGCAGAGAAAATTCTAGACAGATGCTTGCTAGTTTCCTAGTTTTACTAGTCCCCCATGGGGATATCTTTATGTATGGCTTAAACCTACATTGGCTTTAAAATAGTAGGAAGAAAAACAAAACAAGACACATCAAGCAATGGGACAAGGATTACTACTGTATTTTTTCTAGTAAATGTATTATTCCTCTCTAAATAAAGTTCTGAGCATGTCAATCCATTTTACATGCTGAAATTTCCAAAAGAAGGCATATGATTGGTGATATTATGCTGATTCAAATTCACGTGTATCCCTTGAACTGATTTTACACACTAAATTGAATCCAGAGTCGGCTTCCTGTGGACAAAAACAATGCATGTGCCTGGTTTTTGTGTGTCTTCCTCCTCACCTTCTTTGTGCCACTGCTCACTGCGTTCATGTGCACTATCTTTAAGAGCAGAGCTGCAGATGCCATCTTGGGCAGAGGGGAGGGTTAGAGAACTCAATTGCTGCCAGTCCAGCTAACATGCTTACATTTGGATCCAATCTGCTGTGATTTCCAATCCAATATCTTACACAGAAAAAGGTTGCTCCCACTCAAATTCATGCCTACTCAGAGCTTGAAAAAGTAACTTTCAGAACTACAATTCCCAGGAGATATGCTTCAGATCTTCTCAAATTATAATCTCAAACTTTTTACGTGTTTACAAATGTCAAATGGTATAGCAACAATCTTATCTTGTACCTTAACTTGCTTGTGCTTGATAATCCACTTATGTGGTTTCCGACATAAATCAGAGGGAGCGGAAACAGCTGAAACAAAAGGAAGGTATAAATCAAACCAAGACTGGAAAGAATGCGGAAAAAATCAATTCGGGTTAATTTTAACAACCAGGCAGAGTGTGGCATAGATTGAATAAATACACACAGAATACCTTATTAATAATTACCACTGTTGACCTCTGTTTGTATTTTCAGAGTCAAGTGCAATCCCAAGCCCTGCCAAACTTTAATAAAAACATATTGGTCTTACAAGAATTGATTATTAATGTGATTGCACTCTCTAAACATCTAAAGGCTGTCACAGAGAGAAGGATGAAAGTTTGCTCTCCACTGCCCCAGATGATGGGATCAATGGTTTTAAGTTACAGGGGGGTGGACTTCAACTGACTATAAGAGGGTATTCAGCAATGGAACAATTACTGTATATACTCGAGTATAAGCCAAACCAAATATAAGCTGAGGCACCTAATTTTACTACAAAAAACTGGGGAAATGTATTGACTCGAGTATAAAGTGAGGGTGGGAAATGCAGCAGCTACTGGTACCTCTATATAAATAAAAATGTAATGTTCATTTGTGGGATTAACATAACTCAAAAACCACTGGACGAATTGACACCAAATTTGGACCCAATACACCTATCAGGCCAACGAGTGACCATCACTCATAAAAACACTGGAAAACACAGTAGGAGGGACTTAGAAAGCCAAGAAAAGCAAAAAGATGCTACTGCGCATGCAAAAAAATGACTCCCCCAGCAAACAAAACGCACAATAGCATATCCACACTCTCTTCCGGACTACAGCTCCCCCAGACCAGGCCCTTTAGGAGAGGAGGATTTATAATTTATTTTTTTTAGGAGAAAGCATTTATAAAATCAAGAGTTATACAGTTGTTCTTACCTTCTTAGGAATACTCTTGTCAAAATCAGGGAAGTGAATGATTTTGTTTAATTTTGAAACATACAAAATCAGAATAGTGGTTACCATCTAGTGAAGAAGAAAAAATATAAACAATTATAAATGCCGCAACAGAATACTACAGTTAGCCCTCAACATTCGTGGGTTCAATATTTGGAGATTTGATTATTCGTGGGTGTTATTAATATATCCTCTTTAGGAATCTCTAGGTCCTCCAGCATGACTCTATGGCCAGAGTAAACCACAGAGTCAACCTGGAGGACCTAGAGATTCTTAGAGAGGTGTTCTCGTAGGTAAAATTTATATATATATATATATATAGAGAGAGAGAGAGAGAGAGAGAGAGAGAGACTCATGATTTTATACATTCATGATTTTTCCATTCTGATGGGGTCCTTGCACTCCTTACTCATGGAAAAGTAGAAGCCCAACTGTATTTGAAATGGAATGCATAAAGATCTAAGTCACTGCAGACAGAAGTGACTTCTCCTTTCAAAAACCCCAAAGACTTGTACAGTTTGCAGATTTCACCAGTGGAGCCAATTCCTAAATTTGAGTTATTCCTCCACAATGAGAAAGTCAGGGTAACTAGATTTTTGAACAGGGCATACTTTAAAACATAAGAAAAATCATGTTGGATCAGACCAAGGGTCAATCTATCTTAGTATTCAGTCCACAATGTTGCCCGTGGGATGGGGAGCTCCAAGCAGGATACAAGCCCAGCTGCATCATCACCACTCTATATTCACCAGCAATAAATACACACAAAAATACTGCTTCTGATACTAGAAGAAATATATACAGATATATCCATTATGACAGATAGTATCATCTATGAATCAGTTCCGTCCATGAATTCCCCATTCAATAGTTTAACGATATACTGGATAAAGAAGTCTTTGAAATGACTGTAGGCATCCAGATAGCAATCAGGATGCAGCCATCGGTCTGTATTTTGCTCTTCATCTCCAAATATAGTCCCAATCATGGACTAAAACCCATTTGAGTCTCCGTATGGAGAGAAATAGAGGGATATAAATAAATAAATAAATTATTATTATTATTATTATTATTATTTCTGAAAACTGGAGATCTTATTTGGCCATGTGCTATGAAATCCTTTTTAAGCATACATACCTGTCCAACTCCAAGAAACACTGGAGATGGGAATCTACAAGGAAAGAAAAAGCTGTGTCATTTATGTCTTTTTAAATATGTTGCAAATATTTATAATAATACTCAAATTGCTTCAAGGATAACAAAATGTATGGTATTTGTTCACACAAGTCAGAATAAGCGTGTCCACGTGCCTTCAAGCCATTTGTCAGTTTATGGTTCCCATGAATTTCACAGGGTTTTCTTAGGCAAGGAATATTGAGAGATAAAGGTTTCCCCTGACATTAAGTCTAGTCGTGTCTGACTCTGGGGTGTGTGGCTCATCTCCATTTCTAAGCCAAAGAGCAAGCGTTGTTCATAGACACCTCCAAGGTCATGTGGCCAGCACGACTGCATGGAGTGCTGTTACCTCCCTGCAGAAGTGGTACCTATTGACCTACTCACATTTGCATGTTTTTGAACTGCTAGGTTGGTAGAAGCTGAGGCTAACAGCGGGAGTTCATCTCTCTCCCTGGATTTGAATCACCAACCTTTCAGTCAGGTCAGCAAATTCAGCAGCTCAGCAGTTTAACCTACTGCGCCATCAGGGGGTCCTTTATCTTCTTCATTTAGTAAGAGTGTAAAGGAAACAGTGTACATAAAAAGACCTGCCCAAAAGCAAAGTTATGCCAGAAAACCACTTTTCTAAATATATTGAATGCTTCCTATTACAGAGCTGTGAGCCTCTCAGAGCATAGTATCACTGTCAAGAATCCAGAAAAACTGGTTCATGTCTCCACTGAGAAACTCAACGCATGGTTTTTCAAGTCCAGTATTGTCATGAAATGCTATTGGGACATACATGCCGAAATTTCCAGCTTTGTGTTTGGGAATTCCACAGTGTTAGGACATGTTTAAGAAAGAAAGCTTTCTGTTTACCTGTAATGAGTTTCCAGCCAGACGCTAACACTATGTTTCTGGATATATCTGACTTGTTGATTCCAAAAATGGTACCAGCTTTCCCTTATCAGCTCTAGTTTTTGAGATACAGAACATATGCCATGTATCAGTCACCATCTGCACAGCTATAGAAAACCATGATAACCATATCTAAGAAACCTGAACTGATGTGGTCTATCCAATGCAATTTTCTGAACCAGTGCACCAAATTATTTATTTATTTATTTATTTATTTATTACTGCGCTTGTATACCGCCGTTTCTCAGCCTACATTGGCGACTCAACGCGGTTTACAACATTACAATAATCAACAATATTCAAGATAAAAAGCATAAAAAAAGCATAAAAACACATACATAATATACAATATTGGGCCACCAATATCGAACCAATGCATCTCTTAGTTAAAAACGCAGTCCAATTTCATCGTCTGTGATTACCAGTCCTTGATCGTTAGATTCGTTGCATCGTGTTAACCGAATGCTTGTTCGAACATCCATGTCTTCAGTCTTTTTCGAAACGCCACCAGCGAGGGGGATGAGGGGGCTGATCTTACCTCCATGGGGAGGGCGTTCCATAACCGCGGGGCCACCACAGAAAAGGCCCTGTCTCTCGTCCCCGCCAGCCGCACCTGTGAAGCAGGCGGGATAGAGAGCAGGGCCTCCCCAGAAGATCTTAGGGTCCTGGTGGGCTGTTACCTGGTGGGTATGTTACTTCAGGAACATGCCCAAAAATCATGACACCAAGATTTGTTTTGTTGATCTGTGCTATCAAATGGCTGGGCATACAATGGTAGTAAAAACAGAACTTCATTTCCCCAACATGTGTTTCTTACACACTCACAGACATTTTGCACATACTGGGTGTGGTTGCCCTTTGGTAATTACCTTATATACTCATGTATGAGTCTAGAAATTGTAGTCTAAAGAATAAAGTCCCCAAAATTGGGCTGACCTATTCATAGGTTACTATAAATATTAGGTGTGTGCAATTTGGCCAATTTGGCCATGTCCATTTTTGGCTAACCCCTCATTCTTTTTAACAGAAAGTTACTCAAATTGAGAGGAGTGTTACCATTTTCATTCTGCAAAGATTCAGCCGTGTTGGGGTTCAGCCTGTGTGTGAACCTGAACCTGAACCTGATTCTCTGATTGTATTTCCTGATGCTAATGAGGATGTTGATTCTGAGGTCAATGTAGAAGAAACTCCTGCAGCCTTGGAAAGCGAAAGTCCAAATTCCCATGAGAATATTTCAGAGCCAAGCGGTGAACTTTCACTCCCTTTTGGCACTTCAGAGAATCTGACACCTGGGCTCCCTAATGAGGATAGGAGAGGGCAGATTTGGCAGAGCAGGGGAGAATCGCAAGGTTTACGAAGGTCAGCTAGATTGAGAGAAATGCAAACAAGGCCTTCAAAGCTTTCAGGCGTGTCACGTAATAGATTTCTCGGCTTTAAGTGCCTCCCGCCTGGATGCATCTTCAGACCAGGCATCGTTTCAAATTCATGTGCAGACTCTTGCAGTTCTCCTGCTTCCAGTGGCTTTGTTCCAAGGAGTTTTTCTAGTGCTTCAAGTATGGTTAGTGGATTGCTAACAGGTTCCAGGATTTAGCAGTGTTACTGTGGGTTTTTGATCTTGTTCATGGACATTTTTTGTTGCTGATTTTTACTGTGGCTGTTTACCTTGCATATTTTCCTCTATTTTTGTACTCATCTTTCCTCAATAAAAAGGAATTGTTTTTACTGAAGTCAAGTGTGGTGGATTGTTGTCTTAGGGTCCAGTTTCCTGCTCTGGGTTGCAACAAGCCCATTGGCTACAATGGGAAACTTTAAAGGCTCAATTCTCAGTCATTTAAAGGTCTATCTGCATGAAACCTACCTCAGTTTTAGCCCCCATTGACAACCGTGTGCCTGCCAAGTTTCAGAACAATTCACCAATCTACTAATTTTTTAGAATTATTTTAATTTTTTACCATAACATTTTTAAAAATAAGATAAACCGCAAGAGAGGGTTCTGGGAATTGTAGTTGCTGGTTGTGTTCATTCTCAGCCAATCAGAGCATGGACACAACCAGGCCTTTTATTTGCTGAGAAACAGAGAGAGAGAGAGAGAGAGAAACTTCAACTCCCATCATGCTCCAAGAGGAACTCAGAGACTTTTCAATGCCTGCCCCATGCAAGTGCTGCTGGGAAAGTGAGTTCCCAGCAAGGCCCTCCCTGAAGGAGGAGCCTAGGGAACTTTTCCAAAAGCCATGGACACTTCATTGCCAGGGAGGGAGAAAAGATGTTGTAGGCAATCCCATCTTCTCCAGGAGTCCCATGGCAGACCCCTGACTCAGGTATATTGCAACTTAACTCCATCCTCTCCATTAGCCAATAAATCCAGCTGTCTTGATCCATTTTGCCCAGCTTTTCAGTTCCCTCCTCCCTGTTCTGTTTTCGAGGGATTACACAAAACACACTAACAAATATTACAAATCACTTTTAGTCGAACTGATCCAGGCCCAAGTCTAATAAAAACAGCACCATAACTCTTATCCAGAAATGAACCATTCTGCTTTAAGTAAATCGGTGAAAGGTGAGAACTTAATTCATCCTAGGCAAACCTTTCAAAAAGCATCCAATCCCTCTTTTTTCAGGCTATCATGATGCCAATTCTAGAATTTTTGAATACTGGTGGCAGGCAGGGGTAGCTGGTCCCCTGTGTCGATATTGGTGCTTTCTCCTCTCTAAGGAACTTATCCATAAGTCATATCAAAATCCAAAATTTTGGCCCCCAAACCTATCCTCCTTGTATACATGAGGTCAACTTATACATTTATGGTAGGAAGTTTGATCTCAATTTCTAAGAACTTTCTGTTATCACTGATTCCAATTCTGTTCCAGAATTGGAACTTGGGAGTTTCTGGAAAGCTGAGAGATGATGAAGAAATACTTTAAATAACATAAACATCCTGGTGTCTGTGCTTCAGGGATCTGAGAATTCCATGTGCTTTTATCGACTGCTGCACAGGCGGAAAGGTTATCTGAGGACATGCTGACTTTTATTTGGATAGAGAAGTGCTCGGCTTTTAAACAGAAGAGTCAAGAGTCAAGATGGACTTGCTACAAAGGGGCCCAAACCAGCTCAGAATGTCAACAATGGAATAGGCTAGGACCAACCCTGCCATTAGGCACAATGAAGAAACCACTTCAAACAGTAGATGGAAATGGAAATCCGCAATTCTCCTTTGTCACAATTTCTCTTTGTGTGACACATAGCTATCTTCCATTCCCTAACATAACCTACTGACCTTTGGGGAACATGCATTATTGCTAGGATTTAAACAGAATGCATTATTACTAGGGCTTAAACAAAAAGGAGCCCCTGGTGGAGCCATGGGTTAAAGTGCTGAGCTGCTGAACTTGTTGACCAAAAAGTCTCAGGTTCGAATCCGGGGAGCGGGTTGAGCTCCCACTGTCAGCCCCAGTTTCTGCCAATCTAGCAGTTCGAAAACATGCAAATGTGAGTAGATCAATAGGTACCACTCCGGTGGGAAGGTAATAGCACTCCATACAGTCATGCCAGCCACATGACCTTGGAGGTGTCTACGGACAACACCAGCTCTTCGGCTTAGAAATGGAGATGAGAACCAACCCCCAAAGTCAGATACGACTGGACTTAATGTCAGGTGGGAAGTCTTTACATTTACCTGAACAAAATTCAGCTGGATGGCAAAATGTCTTGGGCTGGCATGGGGTCCCAGTATCTATATTTATTTATGATATTTAAAGTATTCATTCATCACTATTCAGCCTCACCACTACCTTTGCTATAGAGCAAGGATGGGCAAACTTCAGCCCTTTGGCATTCTGGCACGGCATCTCACAAGGAAAAGAGATCCCACACCCAGGATTCTCTTGGGGCCCTTCCACACAGCCATATAACCCAGAATATCAAGGCAGAAAATCCCACAGTATCTGCTTTGATCTGGATTATCCGAGTCCACACTGCCATATATTCGAGTTCAAAGCAGAAAATCTGGAATTTTATTCAGCTGTGTGGAAGGGGCCCAAAACAAGTTCTGTTGTAAAAATGTAATAAGCTCATATTTAAGACCTGTGTGCTACAGTTTATAGATTATAGGCAGAATGTAGAATTCATTAGGAGTTTACATTGTGTGGTGCTCAACTGTTCCAGGAGTTGTTAAACAAGAAACTATGGAATGAGTACCTTGGCTACAGTGGTCCACGCTCTGGTTACATCCCGAATAGACTACTGTAATGCACTCTACGTGGGTTGCCTCTGAAGACATCTTGGAAGCTTCAGCTAGTCCAATGCTCGGCATCCAGGTTGCTCACGGGAGCGGGATACAGAGAGCGTACAACTCCCCTGCTACGCCTGCTCCACTGGCTGCCTATTAGTTTCTGAGCACAATTCAAAGTGCTGGTGCTCACCTATAAAACCCTAAATCGTTTTTGCCTAGTTTATCTGTCCAAACGTATCTCCCCCTATGAACCATCTAGGACCTTAAGATCATCAGGGGAGGCCCTGCTCTCGGTCCCACCACCATCGCAGTCGCGTTTGGTGGGGATGAGAGACGGGGCCTTCTCTGTGGTGGCCCCTTGGCTGTGGAACTCCCTCCGCAATGAGGTTAGATCTGCCCCCTCCCTCCTGACCTTCCGGAAAAAGCTTAAATTCTGGTTATGGGATCAGGTGTTCACAGAATAGTTTGTTTACTGAGAAAGACAAGATGAGATCAGAGTGAAGAGAGGGGCCACGAAAGCAGTTCCATCTTGTCTCTTGCACTGTGCATATAATATAATATAATGTAATACAATATAATACTACTACTACTAATATGATATTATAATTATATATATTTATATTAAATGTAATATTACTAATAATATTACAGTATAATATTATAGTACAATGTAATATATAATATTAATATTGTGTTATGGTAATAATATAATATATTGTATTTACTTTTTACCTGTAAGCCACTCTGAGTCGTAAATAAATAAATATTGGACCAGACTTGGACTGCTTTGGATGACCATTTTAATTCTGGTGATTTTAATCTGGTGAGTGGGTTCTTAATGTATATTTAGAATTATTTTGATTTTGTGGATGTATTTATTATGTGTTTTATATTATGTTTGGCATCAAATTGTTGCCTGTTTGGAAGCTGTTCTGAGTTCCTCGTGAACAATAAGTTAAACATGAGCCAACAATGTGATGCGGCGGCAAAAAAAGCTAATGGGATTTTGGCCTGCATCAATAGGAGTATAGTGTCTAGATCCAGGGAAGTCATGCTACCCTTCTATTCTGCCTTGGTTAGGCCACACCTGGAATATTGTGTCCAATACTGGGCATCACAACAGAAGAGAGATATTGACAAGCTGGAATGTGTTCAGAGGAGGGTGATTAAAATGATCAAGGGTCTGGAGAACAAGCCCTATGAGAAACAGCTTAAAGAGCTGGGCATGTTTAGCCTGAAGAACAGCAGGCTGAGAGGAGACATGATAGCCATGTATAAATATGTGAGAGGAAGTCACAGGGAGGAGGGAGCATGCTTGTTTTCTGCTTCCCTGGAGACTAGGACGTGGAACAATGGTTTCAAACTACAAGAAAAGAGATTCCATCTGAACATGAGGAAGAACTTCCTGACTGTGAGAGCCGTTCAGGAGTGGAGCTCTCTGCCCCGGAGTGTGGTAGAGGCTCCTTCTTTGGAAACTTTTAAACAGACACTGGATGGCCATCTGTCGGGGGTGCTTTGAATGCAATTTTCCTGCTCCTTGGCAGGGGGTTGGACTGGATGGCCCATGAGGTCTCTTCCAACTCTATGATTCCTCCACAGGGGTCGAGAAGGACGGGATATAAATGTTTCAAATAAATAAATAAATACCTTTTCTCAATTCTTGGACCTTTTGGGGAGCAGGGACAGGCAAACTGTGGCCTTTTATGTGACCGCACTACCTTGAACACATCCATTCCTGTCTGATTTGGGAGGGCAAGCAGGGAGTGGCCTGGTTCGTCCTTGGATGGGGAACCAACAGGACAACTGAAGTGTGTTTATTTTAGAACTGGATGTGAACTTGTAAAGGAATAACTTAATGAGGAAAGTGCCGGCTTCTCAAATCAAAACATCAGAAACAGGGAAACAAAAGGGACTTCCTTCAACCAATAAAAAACTGGTTTGCTGACTTTTTTATGAATCACAAACCACACTCCACTGCTCCCGCTTTCAGGCTCTTCTGGTTTGAGAGGAGGTGTCAAGAGAGAGAGACCGAGACCTTTGGAACTGGGGTTTGCTGCAAGCGTGGCACCTGTGCAAACTTTGGAAAGGTCCCAGAGGTTATTGCTTAACACTTTTGGCCAAGGCGAGTGAGAGGTCGAGATGGAAAGGAGGCCTTTTGATTTGGATGAGTGGGAACGACATGGAGTATCCCTTATCCCAGGCATGGGCCAAGTTGGGTCCTCTTGGTGTTTTGGACTTCAGCTCCCACCATTCCTAACAGCCTCAGGCCCTTTCCTTTTCCCCCTCAGCAGCGGTTGTTAGGAATGGTGGGAGTTGAAGTCCAAAACACCTAGAGGACCCAACTTGGCCCATGCCTGGTGTAGATGCCTCCAAAGTCTCCAAGAAGTAGATCCTGGCTCCGATTGACGTGGAAAAGTAATTGCTGGAGCCCGAGGATGCGAGGGGCGGAGGAAGGAAGGCAGCAGTGGATGCTGGGACCTGCAATCCAGCCCCTGGGAGGCTCCAGGCGAGGCTGCTCCTCACCTGTAACCGGTCAGCACCGCCTTGTTGAGCAGGACCATGGCGAAGGAGCAGATCCCGTAGAAGAGGGCGGAGAGCAGCCTTGACAGCGGGGAAGCCGCCGCCGCCGAACAAGAAGAAGCAGCTGCAGCCGCCCCCGGCTCCGCGCCCGCCGCCTTGGCTCTCATCGCTTGGCGCAGGCGGCCGGACCCATTCACTCAGCGGAGGAAACGGGAAGGAAAGCAAAAGCCCCAAGCTCGGCTCGGGCCACGCCCCCTGCTCTCAGGCCACGCCCACTCTCGGCATCTGCCCAGCCATAGGAGCTCAGTGGAGAAACGGCCAGAGCCCGGACTTTTACCAACGCCCATCTTCCCGATCGCCCCGCCCACTTGCTCCATCTGCTCAGCCAAAGGAGCTCAGTGGAGAATACGGCCAGAGCTCGGCTTTTAGCCACGCCCATCCTCCCAATAACCACGCCCACTTGCTCCATCTGCTGTCAATGGAGCTCAGTGGAAGAAACGCCCAGAACTCGGCTTTTAGCCACGCCCATCCTCCCGATAACCACGCCCACTGCTCCATCTGCTCAGTCAAAGAAGCTCAGTGGAGGAAACGCCCAGAACTCGGCTTTTAGGCACGCCCATCTTCCCGATCGCCACGCCCACTCACTCCATCAGTTCAGCCAAAGGAGCTCAGAGGAGGAAACCTCCAGAGCTCGACTTTCGGCCACGCCCACCTTCCCGATCGCCACGCCTACAGCTCGGCTTGCGGCCACGCCCTCTGCCCAAAGGCCACGCTTACTGCCCCGATCGCCACGCCCACTCACTCCACCTGCTCAGCCAAAGGAGTACAGTAGAGGCAATGGCCAGAGCTCGGCTTGCGGCCACGCCCCGCTGCTCCAAGGCCACGCCCATCTCCGTTTGCCTCGCCCACCTCTCATCTACTCATCCAAAAGGGAGATCCAGAGCCACGCCCACCCTCTCCACAAAGGAAACGGGGAGACTAGGAACTCGGCCCCGCCCATTTGGAGCTCCGCCCACTCACTCTTCCGCCACGCCCACACGCTCAAGCAAGGAACCGGAGTCAGTCCTGCCCTTTCTGGGTATTGTTCACTCCCTCCCTCGGCCACGCTCACCCTCTTTCCCTCCCTTGGAAGCCTCTTTGCAGAGCCGCTCGGGCTCCCCCTAGCGAGGATTTCGTTTACAACACTCCGCCCCTCTATGTTTTCTTTCCCACTCCTCTTCCTTCATTGGCCACAAAAGGTGAAATGACACGTAACGCTGGCGCATCAACCCCATAGAATGAATGCAGTTTGGCACCTCTTTAACTGGCCTGGCTCAATGCTATGGGATCTGCGGAGTCGTATTTTGACAAGGTCTTTAGACTTCTTTCCCAGTGTGAAGAAGTTTTCATGATCGCACATTGCCACTTTGGGCCCCCTCCTCCCTACTCTACTGACTCTGCAAAAGCATGTACAGTGGGCCCTTCCTTGGTATCTGCTGTTGTCCAGGAAGCCCGTGGATAACAAAACCCATGGCTGCTCAAGCCCCATTATTTACACTAGGACCAGGACCAGAGCATAGGATGATGGTATCCCTTATATAAAATGGCAAAACCAAGATTTGGTTTTGGGGTTTTAAAAAAGCACTTTCAAGCTGTAGATGGCTAAATTTGTGAAAACAGAATTAAATACAGGATTAAAAATTACAAGTCTAAAAGTGTTGCAAAATGACTTGAGGAACTTTACGTGAGGTTTGCAACTCTGCATCGAGAATGTGAGCAGTGCATTGAACCCTTTACATACAATTGTAATTCAAAGTGGAATTTGCAATTCTGACTATAACATGTTTAATTTAATATAAATGTATTTAAGTACCCTTCAAATAATTACCATAATTATTAGCTATGAAAGGGGGCATATAATTTGAAAGGACACCATGTATTTATTTTTATGTATTTTATGAAACCCATTGGGGCCCCTTCTACACTACAATAGAAAATCCAGATTATCTATACTTTGAACTGGATTATATGACAGAGCGGAAATTGTACCTGTTGGAGATAGCAACCCTCTCAAGCCTCTATTTCATGTTTTGTCTGTTATTTATTTGTCGTGTCAGGGCAACCAGTCAATTATATTACATTTCTAACAGAACAAAGCAAACAAACAGACAAAAATACAAAATTTGTGAGTTTGGTAGTTGATTAAATGTCCTTTGACCAGTATCTGGCCACTTGGAGTGCTTCTGGTGTTGCTGCATGTGGCAAGGCTCAGGTTGCATTGCAGCAGGTGGTCAGTGGTTTACTCCTCTCCACACTCACATGTTGAGGATTCCACTTTGTAGCCCCATTTCTGAAGGTTGGCTCTGCATCTCGTGGTGCCAAAACAGAAGCGACCAGCATGTTTTGTTTATAATGTGCTGGTTTATTTTCTGAAGTGTATGTCTTCTTTGGTTTGCAATTTTCTTAGCTCTGTGTACTTGAAGCAGTGGGAGGGGCTACAAACCATGTGACTGGCTCAGCGACTGTTTAGAATGCAGTTTTGAAAGATAGTTGAGGCATGACAGTTGAATCTTGTGTTTCAGTACAGAAGCCAGTGTTAGAAGTTAGAAAACAGTTGAGGCTTGAGTCCCTTGGAAGTAGGCTGTTATGAAAGAGAGCTGTACAGAGCAATAGTTTTGAAGAGACTCTTATACAAACTTAACAGTTTTAAAGTTTAACCTGACAAGAAATGTATTTGCATATTTAAATACATGAAGTTGTAAGTAAAACAAACACCGGTACTGTGGCACAGCTGGCTGGGAGTCAGCTGCATTAAGATCACTACTGACTGAAAGGTTGTGAGTTCAAAGCCAGCCTGGGTTGGAGTGAGCTTCTGACCAATTTGTGTAGCTTGCTGTCAACCTTTGCAGCCTGAAAGATAGTTGCATCTGTCAAGTAGAAAATTTAGTTACCGCGTATGCGGGGAGGCTAATTTAACTAATTTACAATGCCATAAAAATTTCCAGCAAGCATGCAAAGAATGACAGCTCCCCTGATGGGCAGAATACCCTCATCAAAAAGCTGAAATGTTAAGGAGCCTCTGTATGTCTGTCTATATGTTGTGTGTCTATGGCATTGAATGTTTGCCATGTATATGTACATTGCAATCCACCCTGAGTCCCCTAATTTTAAAGAAATCTACTTGAATCTTTGTCTGCTGAGAGTGTGGAATAGAAACAAGTTCTTTACATACTCAGTGATCATTCATTACCCAATAAACTAAAGGAACACTTTTGAAACTCTGCTACCCATTAGGTTGTGATCTTAACAGGTCATAATCCAATAGTACTACTGGCATCCTGGTGTCTGAGTTTCCACTCAGACCACTAGACCGCACTGACTCCTTCACCCATTTTCAGAAATATCTACTTCGCTATCTGCATCTGTAAACTTATCTAGAGTAAAGTGAGATCCAAGAAGGTGTGGGATCTCATTATTTACACCGCTGTTTAAATGTAATAAAATATGTGTACACTTTCACCTTTGAATGTTTGAAAGGGAAAACCATTAATATTTTGGCTGCTGAGTGCATACGAAAACTGAACAAGCTCTCTGATGTATACACAAGGCATTCATGCAACAAGCTTTCCCAATTTCAATGTCAGAAAACTATACCAACCAGTTCCCAACAAAAACCAGACACAGGAGCAGAATTGCATGAGGCTGTTGGGAGTAGAGTGGCTACAGATGAGTCAAAAGTTATCACCGCTGACACGAGTCAAGCAACTTTTTTTATTCAAAGCTTATTAGAATTACAGCATTTAAACTCATGCTGAAAGTACAACTTAATCATGTGAAGCAGAGAATTCTTGAATCGCCACATTTAAAAACATTTTTAAAATTGTTGCAATGGTTCCAAAGATGTATTTTATACATAATTGGTACAGCAGCTAGGCAGAATGTGTTTTGATTAAATACATATTTTAATATGTATTCTGTGTAAATGTGGTGAAAAGGGGAGGGACTTTATGTCTATCAACAAGTCAGGCCTTGTTCTCATATCTAGGGAATGTGGTGTTCTACAATATTCCAAGAAGTGCAAGTATTTTTCCCTTGCAAGCTGTCTACAAACATTAATACATAATTCTAAGGATATACCAAAACAAAGCACACATTACAGCCAAAGGGATCGGTTCAGATATCCCTCTACAGAAGCTGACCTTTCCTACCTTCCTGTTAAGATCTAAGTGCTTCCTCAAGTATTTAAGAGGAAATATTTGTATGAGATGCTTGAATCCAAAATAGAACATAATGATACTCCTGGAAGTAAGTAATGTGTATATAGTACTACCCCAGTATCTGCAGGGCCAGTATCCACCATTCATGTCTAACAAATTACACTATGTAACAAAATTTGAAAAAAAAATGTTCCTGGTTTGAAAGTGTCATTTCCTGTTTAATTGTGCAGTACTTGCTCTGAAAGTAGTTGTTATACTCCAGAACCTTTGTTTTTGTGGCTACCACAAACTATGTTAAATTGGTTGAGATTCTATGAGATATTAATTGAAAAATTATACCAAAATGTGCTATAGGATGTCCCACAGAAAACAAGTTTTTGCAGTTCCCATGTTGTTATAACAGAAGAAATATGGAAATTACATTTACAACACATGAACAAAAATCATGTTACATAGTGTTATGTTATGTCTTCTCTAGGCATTTCCTAGGACCTCTAGTGATATTCTTGGACCAGAGCTTGCTATCAAATATGCTTTTGCATATCCACATGAAGTCCAGGAACACATCTCCCACAAACCCAGGAGTTGTACTGTATACCCTAATCTTGTCAATTAGGACACCGGTCATTAAACTTCAGAGAGATACATTATTTTCTTTGCATATTTGCTGAGATCAGAAGGAATCCAATTCCAGAATGCAACAGACATTAACTGGACAAGGATCAGGTAGTTCATATGCTTATGCCAGTGGCCTTTACCTTAGTAAGGGTCCACAGCCTATTACATACTTTTACTCATTTGCTCGACAGTTATCAAGGCACAAGTCCAGCATATGATAAATTATTTAAGAACAGTACAGTGTCCAGCCAAAAAATATATATTTTTATTGCTCAAGAGCACTAAGTGCTATCTCTAACTTCATTTAGGGGAAGAATACTACCACAAGTATCTCAACACTTGCAACTACTGCTGGAAGCCTATTTTCCTAACTGAATAGCAAGTATCTTGCAATTTTTATCAAAGACTGAGCTACAGTTAATGAACACAGACTTGGCTGTAAGTTCAAATAAAGCAGTAAAATGAAGTTATTTAAGAAGAAAAAAAACCTATTTGCAAGAAAATCCTTTGAAGCAGTAATTTAGTGTTTGCTATAAGGGTAATATATTTCACTACAAACCAATGTAAGCATGGAAATATCTGAACAACACACAAATGCCGTAGTTACAGGATCTCAGAAATCTGAAATTCACACTTACTGTGATGCCATGATACCTACATTTTGCAAGATTAATCACTCAGTTATAGATAAGTTGAACAATGTGCAAACGTTCCCAACATTCTAGTAAGAACAACAAGTGCTACTCAATCAAGAGTCTGCTGAGATCTCAGTCCACAAATACAAAATCACTCTTCATGTCAGCAGCCACAGTGAAGATCCTGAACAATGTCATCCAGTTAGTCAATGCTCCTATAAGATGAAGACAACTATTCTGGCATTCTTCTCATTAATGCTAAGCAAACACCAAAGTGTGAAGAGGCATGGATGGGTTACTCTTTAGAGGAAACTTTGTTTTTTAAAAAAATACAATCCACTAAAAATCCCATTATTCTAACCTAATAAGTTCAGAAAGTGCTTCCTGTGAGAACTGAATGAAAGAATGACTGGCATCTTGATCTTAAACACCTTTACATGGAAACAAGTCCCACTGTTTGCAGAAACTTACTTCCACACAGCTGAGATTAAACAGCACAACCCTAATCTTGCAAACGGAACATTCTATTACATGAGCATTTCCCACACTGTGTTACAGTGTCCCTATTTACAAAATACTTTAAAAGCTTTACAACTGTCTTACCATACAAAAAGTGCAATTCTCTCACCCCTTTTTCCGAGGCAACAACATTCTTCATAATTTCTACATAATAGCAGCCTATGGAAGCAAATAAGGTGCTTAGCTTATGCTCAGAAGCTAATTGGTTTAAGTACCAAAATGCAGTAGGTCCAGTTTTCTACTATTGCCGAAGTGGTGCTCCAGCCAAATTTGCGAGCTCAATGAGCGCCAGTGCCCCATGCAAACGTTCACGCTGTTCTTGCAGCCGGCTACAAGGGGTTAAATGAGCAGAGTATTTATCCTCCTCCTCGTCATCTTCAGACTGAAGATATTCCATGGGATCTTGCTGCTCTTGGTCAGGCTTATGGGTAGTCTTACTTTTCAGTGCAGGTGTACGCTGTTCTCTCATCTCCCAATATCTGTCAATAAAAATGGAACTTAGTGTTATAAGTTGTTACTAAAATATAGCGATTCAGCCCCTGAATGATTTTTATGTAGTTAATCTGAAAAACAACTTTTGTTCTTTTGAAACAAAATCACATTTTTAAAAACGTCATAGACAGTGGGGTATGAAATATGCCTAAAAATGCCAAGGTAACTGAAAATATAATGTAGAAGCTTCACCCAAATTTAGCAAATTCTAGGCCCTTAATCTTAAATTTATATTAAAGACTTACTTTGCTAACCATTCAGCAACAGCCTTGTTGTCTGCAGTTTGCTTTTTGTTCAACCTATCTGTTGGTTCTTCTCTCCTCAGCTTTGCATATGGATGCTTGGGACAATGACGGTTTGCATGTGTGAATCTGCTTACACATCCTTATTAGAAGAAAACACACAGAACAGTTAGATTCAATGTCATTACACCATTTCCCCTATGCATACATTATTAATTGCCTTTGGTCTGGAAGATTTACTGTAAAAACATGCACTCAGTAGTTATTATGTTTTATACAGACAGCCAAGTCTAATGTGGCTAATATTTTCAAATCAGTATGAAGAAGTCAGCTCACCTCCCAGGCTTGTGAACACTGTCCCAGTTTTCTTACTCACAGCCTTTAAAGCCAACATTTCTAACTATAAACATATTATCTGAACAATTTTTCCTTTATGCCACTTCTTCATGGGAGTAGCCCTAGTAAATCTGAATTATGTTTTAAGACGAGGCAAGAGTCTATGTGAGCAACACATGGTTCTCATGCTGAAAATATATTTTCTTCACCACTGAATTATCTTTCAGTAATTTTATACATATTTCTTACTATTAAAGGATCCGGGCATGACAATCATACTGAAAAGACCCCAGAGACTCTCATTGTATCAAAGCTCTATTGGCCCCAGTATCTTTTGCCAATGTGCATCAGAGAATCCAATTCATCTTAGTTCATGCAACTCCATCCCAGCTCTAGTAGGTCCTCATTATGACCCGAGGAGCTCTACTTCATGTTTCACCTACATAATCTTATTTTCAGTGATCTACCCCATCACCAGGTATTATTCCGTTGAAGCTTTATGCCTCCTTGGACATTCCAAGATACAAAGTTACATTTTCACTCACATCCTTCCTCTCAACAGTCCCTTGAAAGCTGTTCAAGCAAGCATGAGACAAGCATGAATACAAAGGTTAACTGCTTTCCAGCCTAGTAAATAAAAATGGCCAGACTGGTAACTTTGTGGTTTTATTTACAGGACTGTAATTCATAGAAACATATTTGATAGTAAGTGACAGGCTTACCATTTTCTGCACAAACAAAAGGTTTTTCTCCTGTATGGAGACGCTGGTGTGTCTTCAGTTGTCCACTCTGAACAAAGGCTTTCCCACACTCTGGGTAGTCACACAAATAAGGTCTTTCACCTGGAGAAAAAGTTGAACAGCAACCATGTATTTATTGTTTAACTAGGTCTTACCAGGATCCTTTGAGGAAACCAGAGTAAAACTCTTTCAGGAATTCTGATTACAACATGGCCAAAATTATAAGTATTTGTTTACTTTGAAAGAGTGCTAACTTATTGACAATTTTTCAACAATTCAATTGAAGACACCTTCATTTGCACAGTGTTTGGGTATAAACTCCATCTTTGTAATCTCAAGAGCTTGATACAAAGATATATTACTATCAAGTTACCACTGGAGATTCTGAAGCCTTTGAAGGAAAAGCTGCACTTTGGTGCTAAGGCTCCTTTCAGTGAAAGAACACATTAAAAAACAAACTTACAATCAAAACATTGTCTGAACTTAATTCTTACATCAAAGTATACAGTAAACAGATGGGATAGTGGCTGGCAATTATAGAAAGTGACAAGAACTTAATAATAATTATATTTTTCTGCCATTATCCACAAAAATATAAAAATACACACAAATGATTAATAATTCCTTAAGACAAGGTTTTCAAATATTTATCACCCAATTAATGTTTCATTATACCTTGAATGTGTATGGTAACGTTTATTTCCATTTTTCAAAAGTAGAGGACAATAATTATTTCCAGTATCATTTCTTCTGATTATTTTATTAGTTACCTCACTATACTACAATTTCTAGGACTCCATAGCATTGAGCCATTGGCAGTTAAAGTGCTGTCAGACTGCATTCATTCAACGACATACACGCTGCTATAGACTGACATGCTAAAAATTGCCACCATGTTGTATATTCTGCTTTGCCACTATCAAATGCATTTCCATTTTTTCTTCAAAGTTTCAGCAAAACTCCTTGTTTCTTCTTGGCTGCATAGGAATTCCACTTACCAGTGTGGGTTCTTCTGTGTGCCTGTAAAGACTTCTCTCGCGGGAAGACTCTGTTGCAAACATTACAGCGAATCCTACTCGAAGAATGTTCACCTTCACTTATTAGATCTCGGACTGTATCTGCTCTTGGACGGCCACGTCTGATTCCATCCTAATAAAGTTAACAGGCCATGATTAAAACACTGATACTTGTAGAAAGAAATACAGACATATTTCTAATGAAATCAATTGGTGTGGAAGAGACCTAAACTCATAAGTAGGAATGTTTGCCACATGTCTTGGAAGCTCCATGCTTTGAAATGTATCCTTTAGCACGTGAAGGTAAACACACAAATTTGCCCTATCCAGGAAGGAATAATGTATCCTATATTGGTATGTATTTAATACAATACAGGTTAAGATCCCTTATCTGGAATTCTGAAATCCTCCACATGGCCATCTTTGCTTTCAGATGGTTCAAGGTACATAAATTTTGTATCACATGCAAAATGATTTATATTTACTTGTATTTTATAAAGATGTATATGAAGCATAAATGAATGTGTTTAGTCGTGGATTGTAGCTGTAAGGTATTTCAAAATGTACAGGTAATCCTAAATCTGAAATCTAAAACACTCCTGGTCCCAAGCATTTCCAATTTGTAATCTGATTGCTTGGACAAAAAACCACCATGGTTTTGGATTAAGAAGCGTTAATAGTTTGAACCCCCACCCTGACACATAGCACTCACACGTCCTGCACTTTATCCCATGCCCTCTCTCCATTACTGCAGCCAGCACTTATTTCATTCCAATGTTTACAGCCCAGCTATGGTGCCAGTCACATGCTCTCAGCCCCAGGGACCGGCAAAAAACAAATCTTGCTGAGATTGTAATAGGGTTACCATAAATTGGAAAAATACACAAAGGGTAAACCTGATGCAGGTTGACATATTAATGGCCATGGCACAATGTTATAGAACCATGGGAGTGGTAGTTTTGCAAAGTCTTGAGCCTCCTCTGCTGCCTCACCAAACTACAACTGTCAGGACTCCACAATATTGAACTGTAGCAGTTAAAGTGCATTAACTCTACAGTGCAGATATACTAGTCAGTGTAGGATTTATCATTTTGCTTAGGTGTGCACAGAGCTCTGTTGGTTGGGGGGGGGGGTGGCATCCTCCTGCCAATTTTGCTTATGTGGTTCAATTCTAAATTTCAAGGCATTCTGTTTCAGAGTGATTCCAGACATAACAATAMGTTCAATACGTCTATGGGAGTGTGCCGCAAAGCATGCAGGGTAGGCCTATCTCCTTCAGGGCCCAAAGAAGGGGCCTCATAACCTAATTTGTTTTAAACCTAACACTGCCCCTAGCTAGCACATATACAGTAGAGCATTATATCTCTTGAACTGCCCTGGCTCAGTGCTATGGAATCATGGGAGCTGTGGCCTTCATGTCCTAACACGTATCAGATGACAAAGACCTGGTAATGTTACTGCTTAAGTGTTTTCCTTATTTGAATGTGGCACTTGGAAGAATTCTTTTTGCTGGTCATCCTTTTTGGGGAAGGAATTGTCGAAACCGATATTACAGACACATGCACATACTTTCTCTTTCTCTGCCTTCACTTTTTGATCAAAATCTAAACAAATGGCTGACTTGTTAGCCATAACAAGTCGGGAAAAGCAACATTAAACGTGTGTGTGTACCTATGTGAGTTTCCTTTGGAATACTCACTGTGACATAATCACCCTTCTTTCTCCTCTCCATGAATGTTCTGAGATAGGGGAGAAATTGTTTCACAAACAATAGGGAAGGTTATAATTAGACACAATCTGTGCCAGCTGGAGCAGTGTATTTTGTTCATGGTTTGAATGGGAGCAACTTTGGAATGAATGCAGGCTGGTGGGTGTAAATAGAGTACTTTTGCATTGCGAGTACTTGTCTCCCCTACTCTTTTTAGTTCAGGTTCTTGTTCACTGCCTTTAATTACCACATATACCCCTGGATCCATGTACACTAGATGTCCAGCGATAGGATTGGATGGATAAATCTGGGTTCAATCTGTGTGGCTCCCCAGCTCTAACATTGGCTCTGATCCTACCAGTGAAAGGTGTTGGGATGCATTTTTGAGTTAATTTGTTCATATGTCTTCTCGATGGCATTGAATGTTTGCCATATATGCTGGAAACCACCCTGAGTCAGTTCTGGGAGATAGGTGCTCTACAAATAACGTTTTTTTAAAAATTATTATTATCTGCCAGAGTGGTGTTGGCTCATCAGTCTACAAAACCCAGGATTCCATACCAATGTACCATGGCAAGTAAAACTGTATCAAACTGCATCAATTGGCAGAGAGTAAAATCTATTACTGTATTTAAATTAGGCATGGGCAGAATTCGGTCCTCCAGGTGTTTTGGACTTCAACTCCCACAATTCCTAATAGCCTCAGGCCTTTTCCTTTCCCTCCTCTGACACTTAAGCAGAAAAGGAGAAGAAAAGTAAGGGGTCTGGGGCTGTTAGGAAATGTGGGAGTTGATGTCCTAAACACCTGGAGGGCCAAAGTCTGCCCAAGCCTGATCTATAACAAAGGTAGTGGCAAGGATGAATCATAAATACTTTAAATATCCTATCCTATCTATCCTGATATCCTGTGCCAGCCCAAGACATTTTGCTATCCAGCTGAATCTTGTTTAAGTGGCAGAGGGAGAAAAGGAAGAGGCCAGAGGCTGTTAGGCACCCTCAAATCACAGCCCTCCAGCTTGTTTGGGCTTCCAAATTTATTTATTTGCGACATTTCTATGCCGCCCTTCTCACTCCAAAGGGGACACAGAGCAGCTTACAAGATATATATATATATATATATATATATATATATATACACACACACACACACACACACACATACACACACACACATACATTATATCATGAGCACAGTACAATATCAGCGCTATATATCACTATTTTGTACTATACAATTGTATTTTGTACTATACAATATTATTAGTAATATTACATGTAGTATAAAAATATAATAATATATTATTATTAATATACTGTATGATGATGCAGTTTTAAAATTTTTAATTATCTTTTTTCAAAAATGAAACAATTGAGGGAAAGCAGAGAAATCCAAGAAGCCCTAAAGAGCTTGTTCCATTGTCAGGATTTCTAGTTGAAGCTCCAATTTGAGGATGCCTACTGTTAGGAATTGTGGAAGTTGAAGTCCAAAACACCTGGAGAGCCAAAGTTTGCCCATGCCCGATTTAAACTCTCTATATATGCGTGTGTATGTGTAAAAAAAAAAAAAATTCAAGGGCTGAGATAAAGAGTCCGGCGAGAACTCATCCACACTTTCTCTGCAGCAAAAGAAACCACTTTCCTTTCCTCCCAGATCACAGCCAAAAGGGGGTTCTACCAACTGCGCGTGCGCCACCTGTCCCTCGCCGCGCGCCCGACTGAGCGCCCGCGAGGCTGTTCGGTGATTGGCTGCCGCGCCTGCCTGCGCGCGAGCCGGTAGTTTAAAAAGCAAAGGAGGGAACTCCCACCCCACCAACGAAAGAGGTTTTGGCGCGCGGAGCTGTCGTCACGGGGAGCCTGAATCAGCCGCGGGAGTGACTCCAGCGTAAACCCTGGAAGGAAGGAGGGAGGGGGAGAGAAAGGGGGCGGGGTTTCTGGACCCCCCCCCCTCCTCCTCGCGCCAACTGTCTCCTCGCGCGCCCTCCTCCCCTTCCAGTGTAACCCTTCCAGGGCCGAGGGCTCACCCGCAAGTGCCCGCCGAGGCCGCTGTCCGGGCTGCCGGCTTCCTCGTCTTCGCGGGTGGCGGCGGCGCGGGCCTCCGGGGCAGCTCCTCCTCCTCCTCCTCCCCGCGGGAGAGCCTGGGGCGGCGGGCTGAGGGTAACGTTGTGCGCGTTCTCCCCCCAGCGCCACGGGTAGACCATGAACTCGCTGAAGCCCGGGCTGGTGGGCACCAGGGGCGCCAGGGCTGTCGCCGCCTCCTCTTCCTCGCGGGGCCGCTTCACCGGCGTGGTCTTGATGACGGAGACCAGGACGCGCTGCGGGGACTCCGCCGGGCGCAGGAGGACCGACATCCCGCCTCGGAGGGAAGCGCCCTTCGCTCTGGCCCGCTTCCCGACCGCGCCGCGACTCCCCAGCCCGATCGCGAGCCCAGGCTTTTCCCGCGTTACGTTTCGCGCCTGGGCGGAGAGGCGGATGTCAAGAGAGTGACAGTCGCCCGCAACCAATCAACTCGCAGTAAAACCGGGTTGAAAGGGAAAAGAGGCGCGCGAGGTGGGGCTCAGCTGTAATCCGGGCCGCCTATTGGATGGTGCTGACTCGGCGCCGGCCAATAAGATTCGAAAGCGGCCTGGGAGGGGCGGGGCTCCGACAGTGAATGACTGCTTAGAGCCGATTGGCCTAGCTGGAAGGAGGCGGGGCCTGCAGCGCTTGGCGGTTAAATCGGCAGTAAACATGTTGGTCTGTTTTGGCGCGTTATTTATACTGAGGCCTGGCCTGCGGTAGCTGTTTTGCTGTATCTGCTTATCTCGTGGTGTATCCATTTAAACAGTGACGCTGAAGCAATAATAAACAATAGTATTAAAAAACGCCCGGTGGTGCAGCGGGTTAAACTGCAGAGCTACTGAACTTGCTGACCAAAAGGCCAGCGGTTCGAATCGGGGAGTGGGGTGAGCTCCTGCTGTTAGGCCCAGCTTCTGCCAACCTAGTTCGAAAACATACAAATGTGACATCAATAGGCACTGCTTCTGCGGGAAGGTAATGGCGCTCCATGCAGTCATGCCGGCCACATGACCTTGGAGGCGTCTATGGACAGTGTCAGCTCTTCGGCTTAAAAATAGAGAATTAAATTTTGCTTCCCCTCCTTCTCTTCAGCTCTGTATTGTTCTGCACTATCCTAGGCCCTGGCCTCTTAGACTGTTTAGACTCACTCGAGTACCCCGGCCCTTAGCAACTCATTCCAGATTGTAGAATACTGTTTGATCTTGGTTTTAACTGTATGTGGTTTTTTAAATAATTTTGTTTTTGTTTTGAATACTCTATATTTCCACTATGTCATAGTATGTGTGGAAACCTCCCTTGAGTCCCCTAGGGGAGATAGTGGTATATAAATAAATTATTGTTTATTTATATATCCCCCAGAGTTGGACACAACTAGATTTAATGTCAAGGGGAAACCCTGACCTTTATTAAAAGGTGGGAAGTTATTTTTGAGATTGTAACTGCCAGAATCCTCCAGCTAAGCATGGGTGCACTTTCACCCATGCTTTCTATTTATCATGCGAGAAGCAAATTGAGAATACAGTTATAATGTATTTAAAAAAACACAAAGTTAAAAATTTTGCATTATGCTAAATGTCATTTGACCAGAAGCTGGCCATTTGCAGTGCCTCTGGTGTCGCTGTAAGAAGATCCTCCATTGTGCATGTGGCAGGGCTCATTGTAATAAGTGGTCTGTGGTTTGCTCATTTCCACACTTGCACGTCGTGGACTCCACTTCGTAGCCCCATTTCTTAAGGTTGGCTCCGCATCTCATGGTGCCAGAGCGCAGTCTGTTCAGTGCCTTCCAAGTCTCCCAGTCACCTGTGACCTTCACCTTAGAATTAATGTAGTGTGACGCCACTTTAACTTACAAGATTTGTAGTTGGTGAGGCACCAGCACTCTTTGATCTTGCTGCCTTAATACTGAGACATAGCATTTAACAGTGTCGAATTGCATTAATTGTACAGTGTAGATGGCTGTTAATCTGGAAAAATAACTTTTCTGAACCCTCGCAAAACCTTCACTTTATGAGGGAAAACGTTGTACAGTAATACGTTTTTGCAATCAGCTCTCATAAGGCAATGGGTTGATCTACACTGGAATTAATGCCATCTGACACCACTTTAACTGGAGCCCTCTGTGGCGCAATGGGTTAAATCCTTGTGCTGGCTGAACTGCTGAGTGAAAGGTTGGTGGTTCGAATGTGAGGAACGGGGTGAGCTCCTGTCAGCTCCAGCTTCCCATTCGGGGACATGAGAGAAGCGTCCCACAAGGTGATAAAACATCTGGGCACCCCCTCGGCAACATCCTTGCAGACAGCCAATTCTCTCACAACAGAAGTGGTTTGCAGCTTCTCAAGTTGTTCCTGACATGGAAAAAAAAACCCCACTTTAACTGCCATGCCTCATTATGTGGAATCCTGGGAGTTGTAGTTTGGAGAGACACATGCAGTACCGTATTTGGTAGAAAAGGCTAAAGTGTTTAATTTATTGTGATCAGAAACTGCTTTAGGTCCTGCTCTCGGAGGAAATTGGCATATAAATTATATAAATGGCATAATAAAATGGTTTCCCATATATAAAAGGGCAAAATCAAAATTTGCTTTTTTGAATTTTAAAAAATATTTTCAAGCTGTTGGGGGCTGAATCTGGATGCAGAATCCATGAATATGGTGACTAATTGGAAATGAATCTGACACCTTAGGTTATTATTCTTTTCTCCAGTTTAGCCACAGAGCAGGTGTGATTGAGGAATCTGGTAGCTAAGCATAGGAGAAAACCCAGTTTTCAATTGCTGCTTCCTTCCTTAAGCAGATTAAATATTGTGAAGCCACAATTCCCTTGAAACAGAATAAAAATGTGATAGGATATTATTCATGGGCGAGGAAGAGCTGGACTATCTTCAGCACAAGCCTCCACCATTTTCTTCTGACATATATAATGTGTACACAGATATCTCCTGTGTTGGATGTTCATGCTGTTCGTACTTCATATCTTTTCTCTGTCTCCAATTATTTGACAAGGCCCAAGGTGTGTGCTCTGGTATTTCCCACACAAGCCTCTGTCAACTCCTCTCTGGAATGGGATTGTGCAATTTAAGAGGACCAATATATTTTGCTTCCTTTAGCCTGTGCCCCCAAATCAAAAGTACATCATACCTAAAGGGAGCCAAATAATTCTGGCACTTGGAGCAGAAAATCCCACAATTGATTTTCCCTAGGAATATGGAAAGATGGAAAGTATTCATTTGTCCCCATTTTTAATACACAGATCAATAGGTAGCATAATGCTTAAGACATTTTCATCCTTGGTTTCAAATAAGTTCTGTGTTGAAAGAGTATTTTTCTCTACAGTAGAAATCTGCAGGGTCCTCAGAGTCTTCACATGGTCCCTGAGGTTTATGCTTTTGCAGCACATCAATATCCATGCCCTATCCTTTTTATAGCCTGGTCATGTCCACTTTAGTATTACTGTTTATTGGTTTCTATTGAGCATTGTTTTGATGGAGTTTCAATACTACTGTTTCATATTATGTTTTATTTGTGTTTTATCTGGACTGTTATATTTTACTATGTTTTTATTTTAATTGTGGTTTTGCTTTAATTGATTATTTTGCTTTTATGTCTTGTGGGCATTTTGTCTCCTATGTAAGCCGCCCCAAGTTCCTTCGGGGAGATGGTGGCGGAGTATAAGAATAAAGTTATTATTATTATTTGATACACAACAAGGCCGCATTCTAGGTTTGTGCCTTTGGACTCATCACAGAACTTCAATATAGCATGTTGCCTTCAAGGTATTTCCACCTTCAGGTGTCCCTAAGGTGCCTTCTTATGGGATTTACTTTGCAGGATTGTTGTGAAAAGAAACAGAAGGAGGAGAGCTCCTCCTTTAATTGAATGGCTAGCCCATTAAATGCTAATCAAGGTGGCCAATTGCAACATTCACACCAACCTCCAACAGACAAGAGTTCTTTCTCCCACCCTGGACATTCCACAGATATATAAACCCCACTTGCTTAGTTTCCAACAGACCTCACAACCTCTGAGGATGCCTGCCACAAATGCAGGCAAAACGTCAAGTGAGAATGCTTCTGGAGCATGGCCATACTGCCAGAAAAACTTACAGCAATCCAGGAAGAGAGCTGTTCTGAGACTGGCCAATCTGTACCATGAGTTCTGGCTTGCCCAAGAATATGTATTAAGAATACGTATTGTCGAAGGCTTTCATGGCCAGAATCACTGGGTTGTTGTAGGTTTTTTGGGCTGTATGGCTATGTTCTAGAAGCATTCTCTCTTGACATTTCGCCTGCATCTATGGCAGGTATACTCAGAGGTTGAGATTATTAAGAATTATATATATATATATACACACACACACATACATACATACATATCTATATAAATAAAAATGTAATGTTCGTTTGTGGGATTAACATAACTGAAAAACCACAAGACCAATTGACACCAAATTTGGACACAATACACCTCTCAGGCCAACGAGTGACCATCACTCATAAAAACACAGGGAAACATAGCGGAACAGACTTAAAAAGCAAACAAACAAATATTACAATGCATGCACAAAACCACATATATACACAAGCAGATACACAAACATATACACAGACTGGGCCACAACAATGCATGGCAGGGGACGGCTAGTATATATATATTTGTTGTGTCAGGAGCAACTTGAGAAACTGCAAGTCGCTTCTGGTGTGAGAGAATTGGCCTTCTGCAAGGACGTTCCACAGGGACGCCTGGATGTTTTACTATCCTTGTGGGAGGCTTCTCTCATGTCCCCGCATAAGGAGCTGGAGCTGACAGAGGGAGCTCACCCACGCTCTCCCCCGACTCGAACCTGCGACCTGTCGGTCTTCAGTCCTGCTGGCACAGGGGATTAACCCACAGCGCTACCAGGGATAATGGGACTTGAAGTAACTCCACTCACTTCCCGAGACCACTGCGAACCTCATCCAATGACTGATCAAGACCAAACTTTCACACAGAGCCCCCATGGCCCATTCTACATCCTGGTGCAGTTTCCAGCAGGATGGACCATGGATGATGGGAGTTGAAGTACTTCCACTCACTTCCCAAGACTGATCCAACTCTCATCTAATGACCGATCAAGACCAAAGTTGGCACACAGAGCCCCCATGAGCTACTCTACATCCCGGTGCTGTTTGGAGGATGGACAATGGAACTTCAAGTACCTCCACTCACTTCCCAAGACGTTTCCAACCCTAAGAAGAAGAATCAAAAGATAACTAATCAGGACACATTATTCGGTGGAGACAAGACAGCTCAAATCCGACTACTTTTCCTTCGCGAGGTAACCACGTGACGCCATAGACGCTCTGCGCTATTGGTCCGCGGCGTGGGAAATTCCATAAGCGCGTTCCGATTGGCCAGTTGAGGGGGGGGAAGAACGCGCGGTGCTGATTGGGCGATGACCAGGCGTCGCAGGGACGCATTATTGGGTAAGCCCAGCCCCCTGGCAGAAGCGAGGGCGCTGATTGGTGACGCCTTCCGGCGTGGCCGCGGATTGGCCAGAGTGGCTCGAAGGGGGGCGGGCGCGCGGGCATGGCGTGGTGACTTGGGCCGCGCCGAGGCCGCTCTCGCCCTTTCTGTCGCAGTCGGGAGCGGGCCAGGCGAGTGACGGCGCCTCCTCCTCCTCCTCACGTCGAGGATGATGAAGGGCGCGCTGGCCAGCCCTGTGGCCCCCGCCGCCATGCAAGAGGCCTTCGGCTGCGCCGTCGCCAACCGCTTCCACCAGCTCCTTGACGACGAGTCCGACCCCTTCGACATCCTCCGCGAGGCCGAGAGGCGCAAGCAGCAGCAGGGCAAGAAGCGCGAGGAGGCCGCCACTACCACTACTACCGCCGCCGCGCCAGGCGGGGGAAGGAAGGCCGGCCCCGGAGCAGCGCCCCCGAACGCAAACCCCAATGCGGCCAAGAGGGAGTCCCAGAAGGAGCGCAAGGCCGCCCTGCAGCCGGAGAGCCCCCCCGCGCCCGGTAGGGAACCCACAAGGGGCGCGTCTGCACTGTGGAATTAGTGCGGTTTGACGCCGCTAGAATCCTAGGAGTTGTGTTTTGGTAGACAAGGCCCAAAGCCTGGTAAAAAGTACCGCACCATGGTGTCAAACTGCATTAAGACTATGACATAGATTAGGCCTTGGGCCCTCGAGGCGTTTTGGACTTCAACTCCCATCATTCCTCACAGCCTCAGGCTCCTTCTTTTTCCCCCTCAGCCGCTTAAGCGGATGAGGGGGAAAAAGGAGTCTGAGGCTGTGAGGAATGATGGGAGTTGAAGTCCAAAACGCCTCGAGGGCCCAAATTGGCCCATACCCTGATTGTTTAGCATTGAGCCATGGCAGTTCAAAGCTGGACCAATCCCACAGCGTTGAGGCCCTCCATAGCAGCTTGACACCGCTCTGGTTTCAATGCTGGGAGTTGCAGTCGGCTGAGGAGCGGCCTGAGCCTCGTGCTCCCCTTCGGGGCCCCTCCCTCCTTCCTTGCGCTGGGCTTCCGGCCGCGCCTGCGCAGAGAGGCGCGATTGTGGCGTCTGCGGGGGAGTTTCCTCCTCGCTCGCACCCTCCCTCGTCCAGGGCGCACCTCCTCCAGATGCACACACATTTCAACCGCCAGGCCTCAGTGGCATGGAGTCGTGGGAGTTGTAGTTTTACACGACCTTGTGTGACTTCTCTGCCAAAGAGGGCTAGGGCCTCACCAAACTGCAACTCGCAAGGTGGAATCAGAGTTGGAAGAGACCTCATGGGCCATCCAGTCCAACCCCTGCCAAGAAGCAGGAATATTGCATTCAAAGCACCCCTGACAGATGGCCATCCAGCCTCTGTTTAAAAACCTCCAAAGAAGGAGCCTCCACCACACTCCAGGGCAGAGAGTTCCACTGCTGAATGGCTCTCACAGTCAGGAAATTCTTCCTCATGTTCAGATGGAATCTCCTTTCCATCACTGTAGATCAGGCATGGGCAAACTTTGGGCCGCGCTCCATGCAGTCATGTAGACTTCGTCCCTTCCGGTGTTTTGGACTTCAACTTCTACTGGATTTTAGGAATTGTGGGAGTTCAAGTCCAAAACACCAGAATGGACGAAGTTTGCCCATGCTTGCTGTAGATGCAGTATTGGTGCGTTTATAGGAGATATTAGGTAAAGTTTTTCCCCTGACGTTAAGTCTAGTCTTGTCTGACTATGGGGTTTGGTGCTCATCTCCATTTCTAAGCCGAGCTGGCGTTGTCCATAGACACCTCCAAGGCCATGTGGCCAGCATGACTGCATGGAGTGCCACCTTCCTGCCAGAGTGGTACCTAATGATCTACTCACATTTGCATGTTTTTGAACTGCTAGGTTGGCAGAAGCTGGGGCTAACAGCAGAAGCTCACGCCTCTCCCCGGATTTTAAATGGTAAAATGGTAACATAGTCCTCAGGTTTACTTGGTAGCTCCCCTTATTCGAATCTGTGATCTTTCATTCAGCAAGTTTAGCAGCTCTGCATTTTAACCCACTGCACCACCAGGGGCTCCATAGGACATATTACATCTTATGTATTACTTTTAGAAAAGCATGCCATTTTAGAGATCATAACCTTTTAGAAAATAGTAATTCATAATCTTTTAGAGAAGAGCCAAAACTCCTTTTGAGTAGAATCTTCTCAGGTGGTATACAATGTAATTATTGTATATTGTTGTAATTATTGTATACTGTATATTATTAATTCTCAGGTGGTATACAATGTAATGTAATTATGCAAGGCAATTGGCTTCAGTTGTTAGACTGAATAAACATACATACAACAATAAACATACATACAACAACTAAGCAACAGGATTATAGATAAACAAATTAATAGAGAACGCTTGAAGAAGGTTGTAATTTCCAACAGAGATGGTCGGAATAGTAAGCCTGATACACTACACAGATGATATAGTAATCTAATAATAAGACTATGTAACACGATTTTTGTTCCTGGGTTATAAATGTCATTTCCTCATTGGTAATGCTGCTACTGCCTTTTTCCTATAGTTTTTGTACTGTTACAGAATGCACTTACAGAGTCATGTTTGTACAGTGCATCCACTTGTTTTTACACAAGTGCTTACAAGCTGGAAATTGAATTCATTATCACTTCTACTGCTTGAACTGCCTAGCTATTTCAAGTGCAGACTAATTTACTAGATGTTTCTATGCCTGAGGTTATCTTAGGTTTTTCCAGCTTAGTGTTATACTACTGTCAATATCAACAGCACTTAGGCAATAGTTTTCAAAGAAGTAGCTCTGTTTTTTAATTTGCATCTTTCTGGATGATATTACATTTAGTCCTCCATATTCCTGGGGTTAGGGATGCACTATTCCCATAAAAGTGAAACAAATTATTTTTTTAAAAAACACTTTTTCCTGAGAAAAATTTTGCTAGATGTTGATCATAGAGTTGCCCCGGAGAACTAGGAGATTCCATATTAATCAAATAATGAATAATTTCATTGGCCAATGCACATTTTGGTGTCTCAAATGTTAACCCTGTTTCTGGGTATATTAGACCTGCTGATTTCAAAAAATGGAACCAGTATTCACCTATCAGTTTTAGTTTTTGAGATACACATGCCATATACCATCCTCTGCTTGCTCATAAGAAATCATGATAACTGTATCTAAGAAACTATTGCAGTCTATCCAATGAAGGTTTCTGAAATAGTGCCCCAAATAACCCCAGGAACAGGCCTAAAAACCAAGACACAAAGAAAAAAAACCTTTTGTTGTTCTGTGTTAATCCACAAAAGTTAATACTATAAATGTGGAAGTCTGCTTGTACATTCTGTCCTGCTTCTACAACTATATGAATGTACTTTACATCTGAGGCTTTAATATCATCCTGTACTGCATCTGAAGAAGTGAGTTTCATCTAAAACTCATTTTAAAATAAAAATAATGTTTTCTTTAAAGTGCTGTTGTGTTCCATTTTTATCTCCCCTTCCTTTCCTATGCATTGAAACAAGTTTCCAAAGGGACAGGAACAATGTTCTCTTACCTCTTTTATAAATGAATTAATGTTAGGTTTTTCTATCATCACAACAACAACAAAATATGTAAGACCTTTTGACAGCTGCCAGACAACAATGCTGCTGTTTTCACATTTGGGTAGTTGACTTTCTGCCCATTATCTTCATGGGCAAATCTAGGGATTTGTCAGCTTTGTACAGTTCTGATTCTGCCAGATTGTAGCAACATGTAAACATTCAGAGAAGCTGGGGAAAATACAATGGATCTGTACACATATTTGCAACTAAAAACATTACTTGAACTTATTATTCTGTTATAATATTCATTAGAATATGTACATTTTATATGTGCTCAGACAGTGTAGAGATAATACTGTTGTAACTGGTCCTGAAAAGGTGTTTATATACATGGTGGTAGAAGTTTTCCCTGTTTTAAAGAAATAAATACAACTGCTGTAACATTTTAATATTGGCCAGTCTCAAGTTTCCCCCCCAGTGAAATCTCATTGATAATACAGTGTGGTGGAAATTCAGAGGTCTCTTTTTTTGATAAACTTTCCTTAGCAATACACATGTGAGTTCAGTATGGAAATTGTTGTCTATTTCTACTCCCACTATTGTTTCTGATCAAAATTACTATCACTTATTCAGGGTTGCCATTAACTTGATTCGCATATACTGCAATCAGCTATTTGTTTTTACAAGGGCATCATCAGTGATATGGAAAAATGTATCTTCTAAATGTATATTAATGTAACAATTTTGCTATGCTTCTGCATATGTGCAAGAACTTGACAACATACAAAGAACTTCCATTTACAGAAATAAAATTATTTTAATGGAATAAACTGAAAATGTTCTTTTGGCACTCCATAGTTCAGAAGCGAGCTCCAAAAAGAGGAGAACAGCAGGGATGGAATGAAAGCAGAGGTACAGATGTAAAGCAGGATAAAGCGGAATGGAAACCTTTCAGGGAATACCGTCCTCATGAGACTGAAAGACAAGGAGAGTTAACACTTGAAAGGTAAGTGCTGCTGATGAACATTATTATTATTATTATTATTATTAAACTTTATTTGTACCCCGCTAGCATCTCCCAAGGGATTCGATGCGGCTTACAACAGGCCGGAGCCCAACACAACACAATACAACAATACAATATATAGCAAATAAAACAGTTAAAGCAGAAAAACAACAGCAATAACAGTACAACAGGACATTATTAAAAACTGAGCCAGCTGAAGTGGGGTACAGGGTTAAAAGTGCTGAAAAAAGTGTCGGGGGATATGAGATTAAAGTATAAGTGCGGTGTGCGTTGAGGGTGTGCGGTGTGCGTTGAACATGTATAGTAGCCCGTTGAAGGATTGTAAATTTATTGTACAGGCTGCTGTTTAGTTAGCAAGTTCGTTAGATGTTTCCGGGAGATGGTCAGCAGACCCTCCAGAGTGGCCAGCAAACTTGGTTCTATATTTCAAATGCTTTCCTTCCTTTATAGTTGCTGTGTCAGTGGTTTCCTTTCTGCTGGTGCTGTCTCCTTCAATGTAATGCATCAGAAAAGTTTATGATCTTTATTTTCAAAACTCATTTTTTGAATCTGGAATTAATTTGTTGAACATACATGGAGTGGAACATTCAGCCACTTTACTGAAATGTTGGTCTGCCATTGATAGATTTCCCTTGAATGGAATCAACGAAACCTCTGAATCACTTCCATTTCTGAAGATAACAGTAGCAGAGTAATGTTTAAGTATTACTCATTGCCTGAAGCAGTTACAGTTTTGATTTGGCGTTTCCACATTTTCAGGAGAAAGTATTAGGTGCATGAGGTTAAAATGGAGTTAGATGACCCAATGTACTCATGTATAAGTCTTGAAATTACAGCTTAAAAAGTCAGCCCAAAACCTGGGTTGACTTACATGTCAGTGGGAGTGCTGTATTATATATTAACTCTTACTAAAAAAGGAACTGTCTCCTCCTTTGAGTAGAAAAGCAAAAGGCAAGAGTTTAGTCCATCTCAGAGGAATCTAACCCCCCTCCAAAAAACCCCAAAAAAACAAACCAATCCCCTCTGCACTTTGTTCCGTGGTGCTGCTTCAGGCCTTATACTTGAGGATAACTCCTTTATAAGTTTATTTGGTAGCTGTTCCATATTATGGTATTTCTAGTGTCTCAGCATGAAGTTGATCTTTCTTTAATCAGAAATAAACTGAAACTAAAGCACATTCTCATTTAGGCCAGTGGACCGATTTGATCGGGAAAGGCCAATGCGCGGTCGTGGGGGAGGAAGAGGTGGAATGCGAGGCAGAGGAAGAGGTGGTGGAATGAATAGGACTTTCAATGGCTTTGATCAAAGAGGGAAACGGGAATTTGACCGGCAGAGTGGAAGCGATAAAACGTAAGTGCTTTGTGTTTGCTCTTTCTATCTTTATATGTATCTTAATATATAGTGCCTTAATAAATGGCACATGTATGTGCCTTAAAAATAACACCTTTCATGGAGAATTGTACAATGTTTAACACATATGCAACTTAATTTTGTGTAGCAAGTAAAATATCTTGATTTCCATAATGAAGAAAACTAACACAGTTACTGTTTCTGTCTCTAGCGGTGTCCGAGGAGAAGAGAAACGGGGTGGAAGTGGACCCCGTAACTGGGGAACAGTTAAGGATGATCTGAGGTATGATGTTGTGTTTTAGAGAGTGTCTTCGCTTGTAATTTTGTTAAATCTTATGTGCTGTTCGTCCCCACCTCAGCACCTTGCACATCTAGATATGAGCCTGTTGTTGTTGCATGCCTTCAACTCGCTTCTGACGTATGGCAAGCCAGTCAAAGGGTTTTCTAGGCATAATTGGTTCAGAGAGGTTTAGTCTTGCCTTCCTCTGAGTCTGTGTGTGTGTGACCTGCCGTAAATTATTCAGTGGGTTTCTTGACCAAGCAAGGATTTGAATCCTAGTCTTCCAGTGTCTTAGTGTAAAACTGCATCTATTACACCAGGCATGGGCAAACTACAGCCCTTCGGGTGTTTTGGACTTCAATTGTGAGAGTTGAAGTCCAAGATACCTAGAGAGCCGAAGTTTGCCCATGCCTTTATTATACCAAGTGGTAGCCCACTCTTGTTTCCATTTTTGTTTCCATGTATGTTCCAAGCTTAAGGTGGCCTTTACTAAAGACAGAGAACTATCGACTTATGGGCTGGACTTGTTACAGTAACCCCTGCAGAAGAAATCTTCCACAGAGATCTTTGCTTCTATCTGAATCTTGATTTAAGATTGTGAGCAAGAAACTAGCTTTTGTAACTTGTAAGCACCATTGTCCATTATATAGGGTTTATTCAAAAACAAATGTTATTTTAAATTTAATTAAAGATCCAAACCCTTGTGAAAATGGGACATTGCTTAATGGTAAAGTACATGTCTCCCATATCTGAGTCCCTAAGAGCCGCCGCAAACTAGGCTCCTGCGGGAGCAAACCTTGCCAGCACGTCCCTGACGTCATGAGACTGCGCCTCTCGCCCCGCCCCTTTCTCCGTGCCAGAGTGGTTTTTCCTTTGCTAGAGCAGCATTGCCAGCGTATTCTCTCAGTTGAATTCTGCCAACAACGAGAGTACGCTGGCAATGCTGCCCTAGCAAAGGAAAAACCACTCTGGCACGGAGAAAGAGGCTGAGAAAGGGGCGGGGCGAGAGGCGGAGTCTCATGACGTCAGGGACGTGCTGGCAAGGTTTGCTCCCGCAGGAGGATAGTTTGCGACGGGTCTTAGACTAATTCTCAGAGAGATGAGTGCGGAAGACCTCTGCCAATACCCTGCAGAGGGGCTGGCTGTCCTTTAAATCTTTAGTAGCCAGTTAAAAATATTTTGTAATAAATGTATTTTAATTCATAATGAAAGGCAAGAATTTGTGTATTCCTGGGAAGCTGGAATTGTTAGTGTTTCTGCAGAAGCTTTACTTCTTGCTGTGTTAGTCAAATATATGTGCCAAATTGAAACCAATGAAAGTATCTGAATGCTTGTATTGATACATGCTGCTGACTTTGTGCTGGAAAACAAGGGGGCAGAATAGAAAAGGGTATTTTGGGTTTTCATTAACAAGTTTTTAGGATATCAGTTAACTTATTGTGTAATAGTTTTTCTGCCATTCAGCAGATAAATGCAGTGCATGAGTTACAGAGCTAATCCCTTGAGCCACACGCTAATTATGGTGTTTGTTCTGAGCAGCCCATACAGGTTAATCTGCATGTTATGGTATATGTTTTTTAGTGTTTTTACTGAATGGGTGTATTAATGTTTTACAGTGAGCTGGAACAGACTGCTCCTATGGAAGAGACTGCTGAGACAGAAGAGAACCCAGCAGCACCTGAGGGAGAAGCTCCAACCAAGTATGTGCTTGTTTTGAATAGTTTGCTGCTTTTGCTCCTTATGTCACCATTAGAAAACCTACTCAGGTTAGATCTGGGTGCCTTAACTATCTAAAATCAGGGGGAAAAACCAGGAAAATAGCATCAATCCTTGTGTGCATTGCTACAAAATATTCCACTCTTTGACTATCACTCTGATCCCCAGGAGATGCCAAGCTGTGGTTTTTACTGATCGTGTACTTTAATATATCAGGCCAACTCAACATGTGATACATGCTGTCAAGCAACTTGCAAACAAGCTCATTTCTTCAGCTCTTGTCAGACTATAAAAACGCTTTACTTAGCATGTTACGCTTGATTTTGTGAGTCACTAATGGGACAGGCCTGTTTTCCTTATGGGAAGTTTGGGAAAACGTTGAACTTGTTCCAGAGCTTTTGATTTAATCTTTTCTCTGGGAGCTGCACAAAAGCTTTTGGGATGTTCTGATAATTGATTGCACAGAATCCTAATCGTTGCTATAAGCACTATACATTATATATTTTTGTTGTGCAAATTTGTTGTAAGTTGGGGCTTCTCTTTATTCTGCAGGTATACATTCAGAGATTTGGATATTACATGGCACGATACAAGGTCATAGAGTAGAGTCTTGCTTATCCAAGCTTTGTTCATCCAACGTTCTGTATTATCCAGCGCAGTCTGCCTTCCCGGATCCACAACTGTTTCAATACATTGCAATGTTTCGGTGTTAGATTCGTAAATACAGTAATTATTACATTACGTTACTGTGTATTGAATTGCTTTTTCTGTCAATTAGATGTAAAACATGATGTTTTGGTGCTTAATTTGTAAATTCATAACATGATTTGACGTTTAATAGGCTTTTCCTTAATCCCTCCTTATTATCCAACATTTTTGCTTATCCAACATTCCGCTGGGTCATCTATGTTGAATAAGCAAGACTCTATTTTACCATGTAATATATAAGACTGGAGTGTAACAAATTACATTTCAGTTTTCCTATGGTGGACCAGGCAGGCAAGCTGCTGCAAGGACTTCTTTGGAGGTTTGATTACACTGGTAGCAGTTACTGTGCATAATTTCTTATCTAGCTTCTGGTTTTTGAAGTTACATGCCTCTCCTTGGCAGGTGGAATTTAGAACCTGATTTGCCTGTTTTTCTCATGCTTGAGTTCTCATGAATCATTTAGGCACATAGCACACAACTGCCTCCAGTGGGCAGAATGCATTTCCCTATCTTACAGATTGTTCACGCTCACCTAAGTGGCTTTAAACTAAGACATAAAAATAAGCTCCTGCTTGCTATCATCATAAATCATCTGAATCTTGCTGTGTTTGGCTTATTTCTACAGGACAGAGCAGGCTGAATCAGTCCTATTACTCAGGTTTTCAGTGGTACATTTTGAAGAGGCATTTGAAACTGACTGGGAGCCCTTCCACACAGCCACATCAAAGGAGAAAATCCCACAATGTCTGCTTTGAACTTGGTTATATCCCAGTTCAAAGCAGAAAAGGTGGGATTCTATTCAGGAAGGGGCCTTATAGATCATATCAAATCCCTTCTGAATTTTCTCCCAAGTTTTTGGAGATGTCCTCTTCATGGGAAGAATCTGCTCCTATACACTCAGGGCAGTTCTTCCTATTGTATGTGTGTATGTGCTTTAATCTTTGCCGGTGCCACCACTGTTCCCCTCTGTATTTTCAATATTTTGTATTGTCTTAATTTCCCCAACTTTGGCTATAAATTTTACTGTTTATTCATTTTTGTACATTTAAGTCACACCTTCCTTCCACCATGGCATAAGCTGTGATACCACAGTCAACATCTCATAATTTTGTGACCCTGTAGCTATGTTACCGAAACACAGTGGAACCCTCTTAGTAAATTGCAAAGATGTGCAATCCAGATGCTGTCAAGAGTGGTCCAGTACTTCTGGTACAGGCACTTCTGGTATAGACTGGCTGCTCCATACTGTGGATTTAAAAGAGTGCTTAAGAAAAGGAACAGTGAGAATCCCACTAGAAAATTGCCTTGCCCCTTCTGTTTGTGTGTTCAAAATTGCCTTTGATAATTTTGACAACATTGCTCTCCCACTTTACATAGTGTGTTTGGCAATGACATTATTACCATGATCCAGAAATATATGCATTCTCGTCCCTCTCTACACTCTGCCAGCTTCCTAAATATATCTTTCAGAAAACGTATATAGCTATTAGAAAGCATCAGGTTAATTGGGCGCATTTAGTAAAATCAAGATTTGTGACAGAAATAGCTACAGTATGTATGTCCTTGTACTTCTTTGAAAGGCAGGGATACATGTCTGTTAAGATGTTTCTTCATCTTGCTTGCATCTAATACAATGTAATAAGGTTGAGGGAGATCATGCCTGTTGGGTTTGCTAGGACAAAACTGGCTAGTGGGTTGCAATATGTAGAAACTAGAGACCCTGTATCTGAAAATGCTATGCTTTTGTAATTTTTTGAAGAATGCATCTCATATTTCTCTGTAAGTTATAGGATGAGATGAGTTGTGGATTCAGAGCAGCCTCCTCAAACTGGGTCCTTCTGGGTGCTACAAACTACAGTCCTAGCCAGCATTGTCTGGAATACTGGGAGTTTTTGTTCAAAACATTTGGAGGCACGGAAGGGCAGAAGCCTACTATTCTGCTTCATAATAAAAATAATGTTTTGAGGACCACAAGTTTGAGCACACTGAAAAAACCAGGAAAGTAGTATATAAAATCAAATCCTGGAAACAAATTTCCAAATAATATTTCATTCCAAGTAAGTACCTAGGAATCGGATAACAAAACTGAAGTGTAACTTGGAAGGACAGCCAGTGTAGCCCATAAAGATTGGTTTTGAATGGTCTGTCCTCTAACCATAATTGTACTACAAGTATCACAGCCATTGAAAGTGAGTTTAGCAGTGAATTAATCAGGAAACAAACATATAAATATGTAAATAACATGAGGCATGTCCAGAGTTCTTGTTTTCACTTTCGATATCACATTCATTAATAGATGTCAGGGAAAGGAGGTAGGAGATTAGCATGCTCATAAGAACAAGAGCAGTTCATTTGGGGGAGGGGGGGTATTGGGCAGAGCATGGTCCATTGCCATAGCATGTTGAATATTGTGGGGTGGGAAATGGGACTGTAATGGAGTATTTTTTGAAAGGGCACAGCTAGCTAGCTAGCTGTCTGGCTAGAACCCCATCAAACAGGGGCATTCCTCACTGTAAAATATTGCTGAAGGCCCCACTTGTGCAAAATGTTATCTCCTATCACTTAGAAAAGGCAATGAGCCACTTTTATCACTTTGTACAAGCCCAAATCGCTACTTTTGATGAAATTGCTCCCTACCTTTCCCTTCATGGCATTTTACAGCCTAATGGTTTTTATTTTGCAACTATAAACCCTTAGAATTGCTGAAGGAGAGCCAGTGGAAGAAGTAGCTCAAGAGATGACATTGGATGAATGGAAAAACCTCCAAGAACAAAGTCGACCAAAGCCTGAATTCAACATCCGGAAGCCCGAAACCACTGTTCCTTCCAAAGCAGTGGTGATTCACAAGTCAAAATATAGAGATGATGTAAGCATTTGCTTAGAAGGGTTTTCTTACAACCCTATGTTTGCATTTCTAACTTCTTAATAATGAAATGTATCTAAGGATAATCCAAAGAGATTAGTAAACATTACTAGAACCTTTAGCTCGCCCCAATGAACTGTTCAAGTACTTTAAAAAAGAAAAAAGAGCTGCATCAGCATAGGTTTGTTTTTCCTTTCTCACCTGGCAACAATGCACAGAAGCATTTTTGCTGCTGGCTGTTCAGTACCAGTGGAAGAACATATTGCATTTTAGGTTCTAGTTTGTAGGTAAAGGTAAAGGTAGTCCCCTGACATTAAGTCCAGTCATGTCTGACTCTGGGGTGTGGTGCTCATCTCCATTTCTAAGCCGAAGAGCCAGCGTTGTCCGCAGACACCTCCAAGGTCATGTGGCCAGCATGACTGCATGGAGCGCCGTTACCTTCCCGCCGGAGCGGTACCTATTGTAGTCTCATATTAATATCAAGCTTCTCCATTTCCTTTGAAGATGACACAAAAGGTTACACATTGGCTTCATTGCATACAGCTGAGCTTGAAATACCTGCAGCTGTTGATACACAGGTGTTAGTCACATGATCAAGGACTCTGATTGTGTACACAGAACCTATACGTTGGACTAAGGCCAACCTGCTGGCAGTGACTTCATGTCAAAACTCTTCCATTTTGTTTGACAGCCCTTTGTACTGACACAAAGTGAATTGAGGAAGGTTTTTTTTTTTACTTCTAATTTGGGGAGGAATGTACAAGGGACTGCAGGTGGCACAATTCCATCTTGTATTGGATACTGGCCATTGAGTTAAAGTAGCTTTGGTTCTTTGGCTGAATACACTAGAAATCCTAACAGCTGTGGTCCTACTTCTTTCCCATCCAGCGCTCCCTCAGTGTGTGAAGGGCTCATTGGGTTGCTCCCCTCCCCCCTTAGGTAGGTATAAGAAGGGGTCACATCATTTTTATTAAAACACATAGTAGACTTTTAATCTAGTTTCTGAAGCAATGTTCCACCAAGGCTTGTTTTCAGCAGCCCTGGAGACTAGGACACGGAACAATGGCTTCAAACTACAGGAAAGGAGATGCCACTTGAACATTAGGAAGAACTTCCTAAATGTGGGAGCTGTTCAGCAGTGGAACTCTCTACTCCAGAGTGTGGTGAAGGCTCCTTTGAGGCTTTTAAACAGAGGCTGGATGGCCATCTGTTGGGGATGCTTTAAATGTGATTTTCCTGCTTCTTGGCAGGGGATTGGGCTGGATGGCCCACAAGGTCTCTATGATTCTATTATTTATATCTGCATTTTAGTAACATTATTGCTTGAGTGCCTACAACTTTGCTAATGGGCATTTCTATAGATAGGACGCCAGCTATTGTATTAACCATTTATAAGAGAATTTAATCTGACTGCTAGTTTTCATCTTTGATCTAAGTGAATGTGTCTGTGCTGCTTTCCCCACCATTCACTGAGGTGAGATCAGGTAGGACAGACATAAGAAAATGCTTGAGTTTGTTTCCAAAAGGTACCAAATAAAACAAAAAAACAAATCCCTGAAAAGTGGGTTATAGGTGGCAGCATATTGTTGGCTAGCACTGGAAAGCTATGTACAGATCAAAATGTATCAAATCACTTGTATAGGGCTTGGAAAATGGCATTTTATAGCAAAAGAAAGTATATCCACAGTATGTTTCTTTATTCCTCTAAAATTTGTTCAGATGGATTTCCAACCTTTTTGGGAACAAGCTCCACACTTTGGTCACAGGATTTGGCTTGTGTACCATGACCCAATTTTGGATGGCTAGTATTGGGAGCTTCATCCCTCCTACAGTGTCTCTTGTCCCTTCCACCAATAGCTTGCTCTGTATGAAAGGAGAACCCGCCCGCCTCCCTGTATTCTTTATAGATTTCTCCCCATTATGCTAGTTTGCTCCATTGGAAGGGGAGTAGAGCAGGGAGAAAACTATAATCAACAGTCTTCAGGTCTGACAAAGGAATTTTCCACTATTTTACTTGCTTTTGTAGAGAATTGGATGGAATTCTGTGGGAGCTTTGAACATAGGATCAGGTTTCTGGGCCAGATTCTAGCTGCTCTCCTAGTAGAGTTTCCTGCCATTTGGGTAGGATACGGAGCATGGTGGTTTTTGTTGTTAAAATTCATTGGCAAGAGAGTTTTGGACTGCTGTGCCATTTTGGTGATTGTATCTACTAACATCTAGTGTTCATAGTAATTTCATTTTAATATGGATTTACATTGCACTAATAATAACTTTGTACTTCATTTTGAATTCTTGAAGAAAAATACATAAATATAATTATGTAATAAAAATAAACATGATGCTTAGGTTAGTAAATACACAGGTGGATTAAAAAGTTTTGCCTCCTGTATCATAAAAAACTTTATGAATGAGTATATAACAGCTACAGTATATAGCCTGGATTGTCCTCTACACAACACTACTGTTTAACATAGTGACCATCAGTTTGTACACATTTGTGCCATCGTTTAACCCAGGCATTAAAACCATTTTGGAAAAATTCAGGGTTTTGCTTAGTGACCCATGATTTTAAAGCTGTTTTAACGTCATTCAAGTCATCGAATGTGAAACCACATAGGTTGTCTTTCAGATGTCCAAAGAGGTAAAAGTCAGAAGGGACCAAATCATAAACATTTTTCAAGTGATTATGGATTTCCTTAGGTGCGCAACCTTCTTTTGCCAGAAATTCAATGACTATTTCTTTTAACTTCAGATTCATGGTTCTAATCAGTCAATCGGAAAATGAAAAGACTATATCAGTAGAGTAAGGTTACCTCTAACATATTATGCATAGATAGTCCAGTAGTTGTGAACGAAATAAGTTTCAGAGATGGAGGCATTCCTTTTTGACGCACACTTGTAGAACACCATCATGACAATTCTTGAATTATATTTGCATGGCAGAAGAAAAATATTATTTTTATCATCATAGTAGTGAGGACTGGATACCTGTTGGCAGCACCTAAAGGCTCCCATTTTAAAATTCACTTCACAAGTCCTGATCGCTATAAAAAAACCAAACGAGTATGTGAATTCAAGCTGAATCCATCTTATGCTTGAAATCCTGCTGTGATTAGCACAGAAACACTACATTCGAGGATTAAATTAATTTCTAAATTGTACAAGCAATTATATGTTGTCATGGTATCCGGATAAATTTATTTGGGGGTGTTTTGGTTGTAAAGGAAGAAAAATGTATAAAAATTTCAGAATCGTTGTTTTCTTAACTTGGTTAGGAAGAGTGGCTTGCTGTAATCAGCCTTCCCTAACTGCCTCTTTCATGATATTTTGGACTGCAAGTTCCATCAGCACTCATTAGTGGTCATTTTGGATGGGATTGGATTCTGTTTTGTGGGGAAAACTGATTTACATGTGCGTTAAGATAATAATGATAATAATTACAACAACAATTTCATTCTTATGCCCTGCTATCATCTCCCCGAAGGGACTCGGGGCGGCTTACATTTGGGACAGAAAGTCCATAAGACATAAAAGCAAAACAATCTGTTAAAACAAAAATGCCACTAAAATAAGACCATCATAAAATACAGAAAATCAGATAAAAACACAATTAAAACATAAGAGAATAAAACAGCAGCACTGAAGCTCTATCAAACAATGCTCAATAAAAACCAATGACCAAAAATAGTCAAATGGATGAGACCAGGCTATAAAAGGGTCAGGCATGGGATCATGCAAAACAGTGTACCATAAGGCTGGGGAATTGGATAAAATGCAGTGAGCAGAGTACTATCTGGCACATTTATAACTAGTGACTACTCGTTCTCAAGTGCTTGCTGAAACATCCAAGTTTTCAAGTTGGTGTTGACAATGATATGCTTCAGAATAGTTCATCTTTATTACCTATCAGTCTGAGAACGTCTTTAAAAAACACACACTTTAAAAACACTTTTCCTGACCTCAGGGTTTTCTTCCAAATCCAGTTCTTCTGTCATCTGTGTTATGATGTGTGGTAAGGTGGGACTAGGGCTCTTTGCAGAAACATTTAGGCAGTAGAATTGTTTTCTAGTACTTACTGAGCCTTGTTTTTGGCATCTGCTTCTTTATGTCTTTATTGTCTGTAATCACAATTCCTTATGGATTTCTATTTTAATGAAATTTGTGTACACATTGTAGACCCATTCGGCTGAAAAGTGGGTTTGAATCATCTCTCTCACTTTGACTATAACTGACACATGTCATGTTCTGTTTCCACAGCTTCTAAGGAGCCTTTAGTGTTCTTTTTGGCAATTTTTAAACAAGCCAAATGGCAAGTTTAATATAAACCCATTTTCTGTTCTAGGTAAAGGAGGACTTTGAGGATGATTCTCACTTTTTTCGAAAAGCAGCAAATGACATCACTTCTCAGCTTGACATTAACTTTGGGAGCCTGCCTCGTCCTGGGCGTGGAGCTAGAGGGGCCCGAGGAGGCCGCGGACGCGTCCGTAGAGTTGAGGATCCAGGATCCAGGCCAGAAGTGATGGTAATTCTGTACTAATTACAGTCTTGGTGCCTGCTCTTATTATCATTAATTTATATAGTGCCATTATTGTACATCAAGTAAAAGAACAGCAAAACAGTTCCCTGCCCTCAAGCTTATCTAACTAAGATAAGACAAAGGAAAAGGGAGTGACATTAAGTTCAGCAAATATTTAATTCTCTCTGTCCCTTTGTAGCTAGGACAGTGGCAGTTGAAAAGTACAGTGGTTCCCAACCTATGTTCCATGGACCACCAGTGGTCTGCAAGAACTAAAATATGGTCTGCAGCCTCACCGTTACTACACCGTTGCAAAGAGAGCAGCTGGTCCTGCGAAACCCTCTTATAGTGCCAAGGCTTATTAAATATGGTTTTCTGTGGACGAGCAGATGGCAACTACTGGATGGCATATATTCTGTATCAGAAACTAGAGCTGATGTGGTCTATCCAGTGCAATTTTCTGAATCAGCAGCCCAAATAACCAAACCGAATTTAAAGTTGACTAAAATTGGATTCGTAACCCTTTTGGTACTAATGTTGGAGAGTGGTCCCTGGTCAAAAAAAGGATGAGAACCACTGAAGGATGGAGGGAGGGTCTTTCATTACTTTTCATATGTAGTTGAAGCAATATCAGTCATTCACAACAGACTGATACTGGTTGAAGACTACAGTTCTCCAACGTTTTCAGACTCCCAAGTAGATAAATGGTCCAAACAGTGCAATCTATGGCAATTATATACTGTGGTGTATATCTATATGTAAGTAATGGACTGTTTTTGAAATAGAACAATCTACACCACAATATTTTATGGCAAATTCCACTTGGTCTCCTTTCAGTCCTGCATACCAGTGAATGCAGAATAGGTGTACTTTGAATAGTTAAAAAGGGATAAAGCAAACTGAACCCAGACATACTGTAGTTTTTCCATATTGTCAAGCACAAGAAAAAGAGATATTCCCAACAAGAGATAAAATTTGTTCCTGTTGTCATAGTTCTCAAATAACCAGTTGCTAAACTTAACTTAAAGAGTGCATCTCTTAGTTCTGTAGGAATTCTATTTAGGGGAATGTATGACATGTGCTGTTGGTGGAAGAAGCAGCAGTTTGTGAGGCTAAATTCAGAAGGAACAGATGGCAGTTATTCTACTGGTATCATGCCCTTGATTCAGGAAGTTCTACGATACGTTTTGAATTGTAGTCTGACAGCTTGTGGGGTGGAGTACGCTGAGAAAATGCTTCATGTCAAGAACATCTAAGTGATCTTTAGGCTCTGAATTTGGGGATTTAGTATCCTTGATTCAAGTCCAGTGTTCAATAACTAAGTTTCTGGATTCTTAGATAACTGGATTCTTTCAAGCTCAGTGGTCAGTACATGCGCAGGTAGGATGTCTTGTGCATGACATTGCTAAAATGTGAGTTTCCTGATAGAGGTGAGATGGCCAGCTTGTATGCATCTCCAGCCCTATTACTCCCAACAGTGCATTTGTTCCTCCGTGAAACCTCCATAAAAGAGAGTGAGGAGAATTTTTCAGCAAAAAAGACATAGGTTACATGTCGTAGCAACCTCTAGTGCATTCTTAATAGGCTTGAGTTTAGTAGAGCTAATGTGAACATGAACAAACCAACAGTTAGGTGTATCTTAGTGTGACAGTACACAACTAGGTGTTGCCTTGAAAAAAAAAGCAACAAAACAAAACCGTGTGGTGTAATCTTTCCCCTTAGATGAGCATTTCTGCTCCAAATCCTGATGACCCTGAGGATTTTCCTGCTCTAGCTTGAAAAAACCAGAATGACACCTTCAAAAATAGCTGTGAAGATACCAGCTCTACGTTGCTGTGGAAGAAAATTACCGAACTCTACAGAGCGAAATGACTTTTGTGTGTGAATTTTGCACTTCTATTGTGTTAAGAACCTAGACATATCCAGTGGGCTAGGAGGCAAGGTCCAGCACCACTTGTTTTTGGATTAGCTGTGTGAAGGCTTATGGTATCATACATGAGGGATTTCAAATAAAGGTTCGAGATGATGGTGTCACGGGTATGGATGGCTGCCTCTTTGTCCATGGTGTTAACAGTTGTAAGATATACAAGAATGTCTAAACTGGGGGATTTAGAGCCAGAATCCATTGACACTTAATAGCCATGTTCCTGAAATGTACCTTTACCATACTCAGCAACTTGCACATTTTCAGGGGTTGGCAAATGAAAAGCAATACAAAATATGCTTAATGTTTGGGTTCTAAGGTGCTATTTTCAGATTTTTTAAATAGCTTGACACTGGAGATTACAAATGGTAAGATACTTCTTAAGTGCAAAATCACTTTCCTATTTGAAATCAGGGGTCTAGACCCAGATATGTTTATGCACCTCAGTGAGATCATAAACAAATGGAGCTTTCTCTGTGCTGTTTTTAAAAAGGGTTTAATCTCCCTGGTGTATCAATCTGCACTTTCCTGGATTACAGTTGCCATTATATTAGCCAAAAATTCTTCTCTAGTGGCTGCAATTCGATTTGGGCTGAAGTATTTGTTATTTTCCTCATTGATGAATAATAGTGAACAAATTCTTGTGAAAAGCTGCATGAGAACTTGTAGAAAAGGCAATGCATATAACTTTAAATATATGTTTCCTTAGCAGTGTTACCACATTGAAAGGCCATTGTCTTTCTAGACAGATACTGTCCATCTAATAATAATCTTGTAGGAGAGCCTTGGTCAAACAATACATTTTTTATTTGTATACCTTTTTACAAGTTAATCAACAATAATCAAATCACACTTGATTTAATGATAAATACTAGGCCTGGGCAATGCATGGCTCTAAATGGTTCTAAAGTACTTACAAAACTAAAGCTCTGGTGGTGAAAATTTCAGAACTCTAACAAAACTCTCAATAATTCATTATAAATGGCAGTTCCTAATTGGTTCTGTCATAAAAATCTCCAATAATGAAATAATTAAATTTTGAAAGTTTTGTTAGAGTTCTGAAATTTTCACCACCAGAACATTAGTTTTGTAGGTACTTTAGAACCATTCAGAACCATACATTGCCCAGGCCTAATAAATACATACTATCAAATTAAACTTTCAAGATAGTATCAAGTTTACCCTTAAAATATGTTTAGCAAAATAAATTTTCCTGACTTTTTAAAATATTACAATTTTTCCTTCAAAAAGCTGAACAGTATTGATTACACCATACTATGAACAGATGGTCTGTACAAGAGTTTACAGAGCAGTAGATACAAAACTACAGGACAATATTGGGACTTACAAGCAATAACCCTGAAAAAGCTTTTCCCTTGTCTTTTAACAGGATAGCTGTCCGTAGTAAAACAGATGAACGGCAAGAACAACTTCACTAACTATGAAAGTTGAAAAAGTTGAGTGTAGTTGTGCTAACCAGCAAGTATAGTCTTGAAATAATTTCTTCGGTACATAGTGTGCATGTCAAAAGATGATCAACTAGAAACTTCAGCTAAAAAAATTTAAACATTTGGAAAGAACAGCATAACCTGCTTAATTTACAAGCCTGTGCAGAATTATAGGCTATTAGACAACTTAGAAACCTGCAACATTTTTGAGTTTAATAGTCAAGCTTACATGTGTTCAGGAGACACTAAATATTGGTCCAGAAATTTCAAAAGTCCCTTGAACTGCATGGGGAAATCCCACCAGAAACTTAAAATCCTCAGTGTGGACATGTATGGTGCTTGCTGCATGAACTTGGTTAGGTTTGATGAAAGTGCCAGATCATAGAGCCAGCACAGGGTAGTGGTTTGAACAATGAATACCAATTCTGGAGATCAGGATTTGAATCCTCACTCGGCTACGAAACCCCCAGGTGACCTTGGGCAAGTCACTCTCTTCCCCTCAGAGGAAAGCAATGGCAAAACTTGCCAAGAAACCCTGTGATAAGTTTGCCTTAGGGTTGTTGTAGGTCAGAAATGACTTGAAGGCTCACAATATATTTTCAAAACATGCAAGTCAGATTGCTCTTCAGATCCAATTTTACAAAGCAGCAAAATAGCATTTCCACTTAATCGTTATGGAGGAACTACCTTTTTATGATCTTCAAGGGAAATCCTTAAGTAAATATGAAAAGGGGGATCATCTTTTAGTTAAATTGACTACTTTAAAGGTAACTACTGGTTTTTCCTATGGCTTTCGTGAGTATACTCGAGCTCTAAACAAAAGCCATAACCATCCCATAAAATGTGCCAGTGAAATTCAGTTCACCTGGCCTTCTAATTTTAGTGGTGCTGAACACAGCTAATGCATAGCTAGATTCTTGAGATGGAACTTTTTTAAAAAAAGATAGTAGTATAAAAGGATATGGTAATAACTGTTCGAAGATTTTGGGTTCTGGGACTAGTGTTAATTTACCTAATTCAGTTTGTGTTACACTAAAGCAAATATCAAAATACAGGAACTTGTGTCTAAACCAGTTTTTTACAACAGACTGAAAATTTAGCATCATTGACATATAAACTTGTTTATTTCATAGTTTCCCTACTTTTAACAAAACTAAAAATGACTAAGAACTGATTTCTTTTTGTTAGAATATCATTGAGTAGGAAACGAACCTGAGTAGCTGAAAGCATAACCTACAACTGGAATTTAAATTGATATCCATTTTTTTAAAACCCAAGCATGCTGGTGTGTCATTCAGTGTCCATAATTATTTGTGAACTCTGGAAATAAGCAGTCAGAGTTGATTTATGAAAGTAATTTGAAGTTTAGATTATATTCTTTTGTGTTGACAGCACCTTTGGCTGTTCAACAATAATGTGAGGACAATGAGTTAAAATCCAAAAGGGCAGTATGGGGTGGGAATACACTGATCCTAAGAGCAGCATTTCAGGATATATATTATGTTCAAATGGTGTCCAACAAAATGGTCTTATCTAAAAATAAGTCCAGTTGCCATTTCTCAATATACACAGATGCCTATGTAATACCCATAGTTCACATGTTTGGTGCTGAAAATACTATTATTCACTGAATAAATTGTATCTTCAGTGTATATGTACTTCAGCATGAAAACAAGGAATGGAATAGGATGAACAACAAAAACATACTAAATCTGCAATTCTTAGAAGTTCATCAACATTTTCCCGAAGAGTAAAGAAGGATAACAAATTCCACGCAAGCTTAGTTGGAAAGCGATTGGATTGTCATCCGTTTAACAGATGCCTATAAGCATCAGACATAACAGTTAACAAATTCCTAATCCCTAATGAAGATGTAACTTCTTCGGGATTGTAATTCATCTTCAACCCTTTTGTGGCACAGTTTTAATTATGGCAGCATGATCTTACAAGGGGACAATAACATAGTTCAAATCTTCTGCTTCACACTGTTACGGTTTTTGAAGTCGCAGCAAAGTGGAGAGGAGGAATGTGTTTTGTAGCACAGGCCAGTGACTTGCAGTGTTTAATTAAAAATGTGAATTACTTTCAATAAATAGGAAATCAGCTATTTTAAAAACATCTGATAATACTATTTCAGGGGGGGGGGTGTTCTGGAACTATATAGCTTTTTGAGACATCAGGAATGAAAAAAAATGGCTACTACAGCAATGCCAAGCCATAGTTCAATAGGAACCCCAGTTCAGGTCTAATTCCTGGTTTCTGTAAGGAGGGCAAAGGGTTTTTTGTTTTTTTTGGTATCACCTTCTCTGAGGTGATTATTGACAATAGACCTGACCAATGTATGTTTCATCTATCAAGTCATAAAAAGGTTTTAGAGGGGCGTTGCTCACTGTCTTTACATTCCTTTTATGAGGCACTCTATAGATATGTGTATGTGCTTGTACACATGCACACAGAACACATTCATTAAAAAGGCTTACTTTTACAGCATTTTATCCAATTATCTACAATTGCTGAAGGTTTGCAGCCATTTCTCCACCCACACACTAGTACCCGCACAGGAGAAAATCTCATAAATGTGACATTAAAATACAGCACACAGAGAAGGGTTTTTGTTAATTGAAAATTAAAAGTAACATTTAGACCAGAGCTTTCCAAACTCTGTGTGCAACACATTAGTGTTAGCTGCAGTGTGTGTAGATGTGTCACACTAGCTTGACAAGAAACCTCTGAGTCTAGGTGAAATAAGCAATGCATCATATATTTTTACAAATATAAATGAAAGATTTTCATGAGATATATTGTGTCCCCATACATTTTGTTAGAATTTATGTATGTGTCCATACCGTTGGGGCTCCAGTTTGCTAGTAAAATGAGTCACTGTATCATGAAATGATGTGCATCTAAAAAGTGTGTTGCCAACATGTAATGTTTGAGAAACTGCTTTAAACAATTGGCAAAAACAAGAAAATAAAATGATGGAGGTAAAGCACTCTTTGGTGGATTTAGAAGTCAGTTGCAGATGATAAAAATATCTTTAAAAATTAGGACATATGATTTAAGGAATTATGATGCAATGAACAAAAATGAGACATATCTTCCCAATTTTCCCCCTCCATTTTATGAGAAGCTATGCTGCGATGGAAAGCCTTAAATGATTGAATAGCAAACCTGTTCACCTCAAGTTCACGTAAATATAGCGGAGGGCAGAGAGAGTTGATTGCCATCACATTTTGCACATTAGCATCAGACAAAAAGAAAGCTCTCTTAGTAAGAAATGAGTTATTTAGACTCCAGGCTAAAATTTACAGGCCATCATCACATTTACATCTGCAAATGCTTCCAGAATATGGTCACAATAACTTTGGGTCTTTGCACAAACGTCTCTAAACTTTTGAGAATTCCTGCTAAAAGTTAAAATAGACCACTTTTTTTAAAAAAAAATGTCGGTTTGATTTTTTTTAATTGACAGCAATGTCCTTTTGTTCCTCTACGTCTTCTTCCATTTCGATTGTTCAACGCAGAACAGTTCTAGTTCTTGGATTAGGAGCACTGCTGAAATGGAAAAAAAAAAGTTTCAGGAATGTCAAATGTGGACATCAAAGAGTGTCATTGCCATTTAAAGCAAGCAAGTAAAACCAAAATGTTGGCCAGAAGGAGAGGAGAGCACCAGGGATTACATTTCAGATAACAATACAATTTGAATAGCAACGAAGGTACAGGTTGGCCACTCAGATTACAAATATTAGAAGACAAGGAAGCATAGGTTTATAAACAGCAAGCAAGTGGGGTTAAAGTACCATAAGCGTATTTGTTGTAAAGCATCCCTTTTCCTCCTTTCTCTCTGAGGCATCAGACTGTGGGAAGAGCAGAAAAATAAAGAGAAGTTGTTGCAAGATTAAGGAGTTAATTCTGCTGCTTTACACGGTTTCCAATAAGCATCAAATACAACTGAGAATATTAAAAGCAGATTGGAACTTTTAGGAAATAAAGAAAGGTCTTCCTTTTTTAGTTTTTCACAAATAGAAAGCACACAAAAATATTCCTAAAAAGTGATAAACTCTATTCAATTGGCAACATAGCACTTACTGTGTGTTTGCTCCTATGCGTCAAGTCTCTTAAAATCCATCCTCTTTCCACTCATTGTGCCAAGGCAATATCTCGTTCCCTAAACTGCTAACTGAAGCAACAAGGAAGGGCTCTTGCATTTGCAGTATGGGTTTCCAGCCAATTTCGAGAGAAAGAGGGGAGGGAGTTACTTGAGCACTCTTGAAAATAGTATTCCATGACCTTAAAATCCCAGTTTTAAAACTGGATAATGTACATTAGATGCATCTACATAGCATGGAAAACTAAACGTTACACATAAATGTCTCCAGATGGTAGCCACATGTATAAAGCACGTTGCCACTGAAGTGGACAGAGTATCCATGCACAAGTGTCTGGTGGAATGCAGGACTTTCCCACAAACCTCCCAACACATTAAGGCACTTGTGCAAAGAATTTACCACTTAAACTTTAAACAAACAACATATAGTCTAATAAATTACACTCCCTCCTCTCCCTTTTGAGTATTTGTTTGTCCAGGCATTCTATTGTCATACAATGTGCAGCACTTCTAACTACTGATCAATATTAGGACCCTGTGCACCCGGCAGATTACATACAGATTACATACAAAGTTGGGCTCTCCTTTGAAAAAAATGCACATTTGTTTTTCCAAAGGATATTTGCTGTCCAGTCATATGCCATGGTACTGAAACAAAGGTACATGAAACTGCTTTATGACCATAATCAACCTGTTTTTAAAGAAACCAATGTCCATCTCTACTTTGCTGCCTTTGAACATATGTAAGATGATTATGATGATAATAATAATTGTATTTCTTTCCCACCTCTACCTGCAGCTCGAGGCGGGTTGCAACACAATGAAAAAACAAACATTACAAAAATTCAACAAAGTGTTAACTATGTGTGTACTGTTTAGGCACACCTTGCCAAACCCACCTTCATTTAAGATGCAGGGGATCATGACACAGAAAACACTTCACATACTAGAATTGATTATGTTGCCCCTAATACACAGGAAGGGTGACTACCAATAAGACTCTTGTTCTCTAATTTAAAATGTCAATGTAGGATAGCATAAACAGTAATTCGATGAAACAGAAAGGGCCTAGATTATTACCTGAGTGATCAGACATGTAATCTCAGTTCCAAGAACTTCCCAAGCCACAGATGTCTGAATCAGGCACTTCAAATCATGGCTTGGAGCTACATTTGCTCGTCTCAGATATCCTGGCCAACTATGGCCAGAATCCTGCTAAGGATTTATATACGGGAGGCAGAGCAATGAATCTCCTCTCACCTCCCACATATCAAGAAATGATAGCAAATGATCACATTCACTGCTGTGAGCACTTTCAGGTGCAAGAGGCAGAAGCAGGGCCCTGCCACAATTTCCCTAGTACTGGATATCACTCGAGCAAGGGAGAGTAGGGCTGTCAAACAGTAGTTTCCTGATCTACAGCGGGACAGATCCCACTGGTCACAGTAGTCGCGTCCTTGTATGTGGCGACTGGATGATTTTCATAGCCCCTAATCTAGGGTCTACATAGGGATGATGAATATGAAAAAGTAATGACTGTGTAACTTTAGGTTACATGTTCATAACTGCCCAACAGGATTCCAGCAATCAGCTACTGGAGACCTATACATGTAGGAAGGAGTATGTGGATTGTAGTTTGGCTCAATAAGTCAAGACAGAATTCAGTTTTGCATCAACATGCTTTCTCCTCAAGTTGCCACTCTCCTTGGTAATGTCCTACTGACATGTTCTTGGGCTAGTTAAGCCAGAGTTTTTCCATTGGAAACAGGCAGAATCCAAAATCCATTACAGAGCACCAAGAACAGAGGAAAGCACACACCTGAGTACCTTTTGATTTAATAAGGGAAATGTCTGAATCAAATGTCAGTAAAGAAGATGGAAATTCAAAGTGTCTACAATGATGGATATCCGTCGGATGGCAACAGAAAATACTAAAAATATATGAAGAGCACAGACTCCAAATATGGGTTGTTGTAGGTTTTTGGGGCTATATGGCCATGTTCTAGAAGCATTCTCTCCTGATGTTTTGCCTGCATCTATGGCAAGCATGTTCAGAGATTGTGAGGTCACAACCTCTGAGGATGCTTGCCATAGATGCAGGCGAAACGTCAGGAGAGAATGCTTCTAGAACATGGCCATATAGCCCCAAAAACCTACAACAACCCAGTGATTCCAGCCACGAAAGCCTTTGACAATACAACTCCACATATGATGTAACTATTATAACAGTAAAGCTGTCCAGAAAAAAATAATAATATGTAAAATCCACACATCTGAAAAATCTGTTTCATGCATTGAAGAAAACAATTGTGTAAGTCCTGACAATGTGGACCATGAATTATGAAATAATCACATACTGCACTTCATCTTAAGTAATAAAAATAGATTTAATTTCCTTGGGATTTGAGATGGGCCTTTTTCCCAATTGCTATCAAACCGAGGTGGTGGTGATTGTGCGACCTTTAGTGGAGGAAGACTGGCAAAAAGTTGTTCATCCCTGCTTTAAATTATAGTTTAATAGACTTGTTGAGTTACGCAGTTGAAATAATTGAGCATTCCCATGTGGCCTCCATCACAAAAATCACTTTCCATTTCTTCTGCTCTAATCATGGAGATGGGGCAAAATATGACCACAGATATTTGTTTCTAATTTATTACTGAACACTTTAAATGCATTTTTCATTTAAAACATTTCAAAGTGTTTAAAAATAAAATAAGACACAGTAAAGCCAATTGATAAAAATAACAGAGTCTTAATAAATGGGAAAAAAAAGATTGTATTAAGACATGGTAGTTGTGCCCACTTTCGATTAGATCTTAATATTGTTGGCAAGCAGCTTTGAGGTGGTTATCTCCAAAAGAATACAGCTTTTGGGCTAAAAATGCTTCTTCCCCATGATTTTCCTTAATTGAGGAGAAACAAGAAATCTGGAAGTAAACCAAGAAATAAGTGCTCTAGATCTTATAATGATGTTACAGGAGGTGGAGGTGGTCAAATAATTACCAACATTGGCCTAAACTATCATTTAGCAGAATTTGTTTTAAAACAGCCTTTGTATGGTAGAAGTACAAACTTTAGGGTTTTTAAATGTTCAGACTTTTTAAACTGATAGTGTCTTCAATTCAGGTTAATGTCTAGTAATTCTCACCTTTTGAAACTGCTTTTTCTGGCACTAGACCTAGTAGTTCTTTTAGGAATGGTTGCATTGGCAGAAATGCCAGGTTCAGTCTTTTTACTTTTATGAACACTGGATTGTAGAATTATTCTGAAAGAGCAGAAAAGAGAAACCATATAAAATAGGCAGAAAAATATATAATATGCAATGATAAGAATGATATGGCATTATGTTTTTCCAGATGACTAAAACAGGAGAATTTCTTGACAGATATTTATTATCTCTCCTCAGTGAATTTACATAGTATTTCAATTTTTTTGCTGAGCTTTAAAGACATATACAACCATTCCTCCATATATATGAATTTTGTATGCATGGGTTCAATAATCCATGGCTTGGAAGTATTTTTTTAAAAATCTCAAAAGCAACCTTGTTATTTTATATAAGATACACAATTTTAGTATGCCATGTTATATAACTGAACTTAAGTATCCATGGATTTTGGTATCCACGAGGGGTCCTGGAACCAAACCACAACAGATACCAAGAACCAACTGTAAAGTTTTGAACCATTGCTTTGTCTATCATCATCATCATCATCATCATCATCATCATCATCATCATCATCATCATCATCTGCTTTAGCTTAGGTTTTTTACTTTTAAAAAACAAAGAGTTAGATCTGGTTTTCTTCTAAGAGTATTGCAAGCAGCTTTATGGAGATCGAGAACTTACAATAAATGCTACCCCAAGTTCCTCAACCATGAAAACTGGTTCAGTAATAGAAGAAACTTTTCAGATATGACATCACATGAAAAATCGATCCAGTAAATCAATTCTACTCCCTAGGTATAGGTGCAAAAGAGAGTAATGCACCTTTACACACATGAGTGCCATACCCAACTGAACATTTACATGGTTAAAATTACAGTGCCAGCCATGCTTGGTTCTGGAGAAGTGAGATCTAGTTACAGCAACAAATGCCTTGATTACAACATGTTTTGAAAGGGTTCAGAAACTTTAAAATGCTGCAGTGAGATTGCTGATCAGAGTGGGCAGCAGGGAACATATTCTCTTGTTCAGAACACATAAGAGGGGCTTCTTAGTGACTTCTGTCAAAAATATTAAAAATTAACAAGGCATTTTAATTACAAAAATGTGAGCCAAGCACTGAAAGGGTCAAGTGGATGCAATGATTCACCAAAACTATGTCTGAGAGAGTTCTCAGTGTGAGGAAAGACTCTCTGTGTGAGAGATCAGCTCAGTGGGAGAATAGACCTCATTGTTAGTAGGCCTGATTGTGAGATAGACCTTAGTCCATGAGAAGGCCGAGTGTGGGAAGGCCTGGTGTGAGAAGTGAAAGAAGCCACAGGTAAATGGCCTCGTGTGTAAAGCTACTGTGTGAATCTTCAGTATAAGTTTGTTGTGAGAGGAGCCTCTGTGAGACCAAAGCTGATTATCTGCATAGAGAAGAAGCCCAGCATGGAAGCAAAGAAGGAAGTATAAAGGACTTTATTTGTATTGTGGAAGTGTTGTTATTGTAAGTAGTGCAACTATATCATTTTACTACAAAGAAAATCCTCCTATGGAAGAGGTAACATTGGTCTGTGTGTTTTTGTTCTTTTTGTCACTTTTGGCTACTGGTGCTGGGTCACGCTGCTGCTAAGTTACTCTGCTGTACATTTATGAGGAGGGTCTTTTGTTAATAAGCCCAATCACCAAACAACTTTTCTCATGCTATGGAGGTCCTTCCCACAGATAGCTAGGATGCCCCTTCTCTGTCTCCTTTTGCTGGCAGATGGAAGACTTTCTTGTTCAGTCAAGCATTGGGCTATTAGCCAGTTGTTAGGTCTTTTTATTAGGGCAAGTTTCATTGTTACATTGTGAATGTGTTTAAATTGAAACAGGTGTATTTATTTCAAATTTTAAAATGCTTTTCATTACAATGATTTGTTTTTAAAATGTACTTTGCTTTAATTGGTGTTGTCAGCTGCAAGAATGGGGAGACATAAAATAAATATCAAGATTTGCTGCTCTTCACACAAGTCAATTTCTGCTGGAAATAAGATGCAGGTGCCACATGGCTCTGACATAGTGAGATAGTTTGAATGTTGAGGGCTGCCTTGGCTTGTTCCTGTCAGCAATTAAGTTGACAGGAAGTATGTTTCTGTTCCAGAGAAACACCTCTGGAAAAATAATAAGAAATTTACTGTCTCAGCTTGTTCCTGCAAGCAATTAAATCAGGATGAGCAAATATGGGAGGCATTGATCCCCCAGAGAACTTGGAGAATCGCACCCCACACCTCAACTCCCTAGTTAAAATGAATCAACATTATTTCTATTTTAAAATGTTCCTAATAACATTTTTGGGGGGTGGGGGGAGAGCATTTTTATCATATTTTATCCCTTTTGATTATTTTAGGCTTGCAAGAGGCTTTATTTTAACAATAGTGGCTTCCGATCACTTTCTTGTTTTAAAAAGGCGTCTCTGGAATTAAAGTGAACCGGGAGGTTAAACATGCCCCAAGTTCTAGGTCTACTAAATCACATTTGCATGACTGAAGAATCCCTGACCCAATGCTCCTTAAAAACCCTTTTTACCAGGTATCAGATTTCCCCTACTGTTCCCACCAATGAGTGTGATGAGGAATTGTGACAGCAGTCCTGCTTCCAATTGTCACAATCTCACTTGTTGGTAGGAGGAAGATAGAAATATGATGTACCCCAATTGCCAGCAGAACATATGTTGTTCCGCTGATGAAGCTGAGACCTAGCAAAGTAGGTTCAAGAGAACACGTTGGACTGCTGCAATAGTATTGTGACTCTGTAGGAATAATTTTTGGTGTGAGAATTGGCTCTCTGCAGAGACGTTGCCCAGGGGATGCCCAGATGTGTTACCAACCTATCCTGTGAGAGGTTTCTCTCATGTCCCTGCATGGGAAGCTGGAGCTGACAGATGGGAGCTCACCAATTCAAACTGCCAACCTTCAGGTCAGCTGTTCAGTTGACACAAGGGTTTAACCCATTGCACCACCGTGGCTCTCTTGTAAGAATAGTGAAAATGAAGCAGTTAGAAATGCGTAGGTTTAGTTATGAATGCATAGCTGCGATATGGGAAGCCAACCATGTTTGTTAGTGACTTTAGAGTTAGAGAAAGTCTACTATTTAAAAGAACACATCAGGAAAATATTTATTTAAAATATTTACAGCACTAAGTACCAAAAGAGTTTTAAAAACCAAATTTTTTTCTCCAGAAAAGTGCATTGCTGTTGCAAGTTCCATAACTGCTAGGCAGCACAGCTGATTATGAGGGATGATGGGTGTCATAATCCAACAACTGCCTACCCCCAAGTTTAAATTACAGCTGTAACACTTCTCTTTCACTACACTTTTGAAATGGGTGCTTTTCAGGTAAGTAGTATCTGCTATAAGACTGTAACTACAGCACCAAATGTGAAGAAGATAATATAATTCTTCAAAAGAATCATTCCTTCCCAATGTAATATGTTTGACACCATTAAATCATCTCATTGGGTGGTAATACATTGTCACACATTAATTAATCTATCTGTTTGCATGGTTGATATGTGTTTTAATTGCATATATGTTTAGATTGTTTATATTTTGATGAGAGGTGTTTTATTGTTTACCTGTGCGGCATTGAATTTTTGCCGGATTTGTAAGCTGCCTTGAGTCCTCTTTGGGATTGAGAAATGAAGTAAATAAATAAATAATAAGGTACCTTGAGTTCCTCTAGAATAAAAAAATGTTCTCAGCAAACTGAGGCTTCTGTCTATATGGTGACTGCAAAATACACTATTTTCAAAATAAAAATACTGGACATGTTACCTTCAAGTATTATCACCTAGAATACAACAATGGGTTAAAACTAAGGTTTCCCTTCAATTAGTTTAACATTATTAAGGGAATTATCTTAGCCTAGTTTTTTGAAGTGAACAATAAGACATATAACACCATTAACTGTGAGAAGAATTCAGAGCATAGAGTGAAAGTAAGACATAAGTTGTTCAGCAGAGCACAAGATCTAGTTAAAAAGAGAAATACAGGAAAAATGTGAACTGTGCAAAAGAATCACAAGGAGTCAAACCTCCTTAATGCCATCTAAATGACAAAATATTACCCTAGTTGTCTGTTGTAACTCAGCGTGTGCCTCATGTATCTACTAGTGCTAGTAGGAGGAAACGAGGCTTGGAAGAGGAAGAGGCTCAGCAACAGCTGAAGCGCATTAGGGACTTGTTCTTAGAGTCTACTGATGAGGAAGACTTTCAGGGGTTTACTCGTGAGGAAATGGAGGTGGAGAATTACTGTGGTGTAAAGAGAGTAGCATGCAGCTCAGACAGTGATGAGGAATCCATTTCCAAGCGTCTTAAAGACGTAGCAGATAGCGATGAGTCTGACAGTGAGGATGAAGAGCTGGACTGGACCAGGGTTCAGGAAGTTTTGGATGTGGTTAATGCTCCAACTTCCAGCGATGAGTTCCAAGGATTCACAGACCCATGGGTTTCGGATACTGCTTCGCAGGATGCAGCTCGGAGTGCAGACTGGCAGCAGTGGAGAGAACGCAGTTCACCTGTGGAACTGGAGGCACCTGGAGGTGAATCTAGTGATTCTGATGGGATTTAAGGAGTAGCCTTGGGTCCATCTTGTTGCAGAGTTCAAAGTGTCGTGTTCCTGTGCTTCTTGATGCTAACTCTTGCCTTGAGTCCTTGTATCCAGAACCGTGCCTTCGTGATCGTGCTGACGTCTTTGCCTGGCTTGGAATCGTGAGTCTTGTCTCCTGCCCTGACCCTTGGACCGTCTTGACCATTCTTCGCTTCTGCCTATCTCCTGTGACATCGTTGGACCGCTCCTCATGCTGTTTATTGCCTAGTGATTTATTGGACTGTCTTTATTCTGTGTTTATTGCGAACTGTCTGCCAGTTTTCCTTTCTGCAGCTCAGGCTGCCTGGGCTGCGGCTTTGTTTACATTCCTGCCAGCCGCAGCCTCCTTTGTTTACTAGCTCTGCTGTTAAGAGCCTTTTGAACTGTTAATTTGACATTAAAGACCTTCTGTTAACGCTTAAGCTGCTGTTTTGGTCCGCCTGGGTCTTGACATTGTCATTAACATAATAAATCAGAGGTCACATTTAGATCTGTTCAGAACAGCAGCAACAAAAATGTAGAACAGAGTAATATCAAAGTTTCACTCTACCTAAGAGCAACTGAGGGTCTCCAAGATGGGAGATAGGCAGCTATAAATGAAATAAATGAAAAATAGATGATTTCACTAACACTCTAGTCCTATAAATGCTATTTGGAAGGAATGCCTAGGATTCCAATAGCCCTTAGTCACACGTAAGCGGTTTTGAATATTTGCATTCTTATACACTTGATCTCCTTCAGTGCCCACCATTCACAATTTATCTTACTTACAATTGAGAATCAAACCAAAATAACATAAATTAGCTTATCAGATCCCAAATTATTGAAGAATTTATCAAGACAATCAAGGTGACCAAATCCCTTTCATACCAACATGGAAGAAACACTCACACAGACATATACACATACTTCTTTGGCACAAACAAAATATCCAAGCAAAAAAGAGGAGAGAGAGAAAGAAAAGGATACACTTTTCCGATAATTGCTTGGCAGTTGTCAAAGGAAGATTCAAAGGTAATTTGGATTCATTGATCATAATAGCCTCTTTTTGCCTTATGAAACCAGCTAGAGAAGTTAAATGAAGTCTTGCAAACAAAACAAATGAAAAGCCAGTGGAAGCTTGGTGCAGGTGTTTGTGGAAGAGCTGAGAAGGTGAGCGACTGTAGAGAATGCAACAGTGACACTTACACAGTGGCTCTCTCAAGGGAGGGAGGTCCTGCTGGACCTATTTTCTTAAACCATCTAGACAGAATAGCAGGTTGGGAAGAAGGGAGCCACACACAATCCACCAGATGACAATGCTACTCAGGGTAGAGACCAGCATAGCTAGCAGACATCTAAAAAGGAGGGAGGGTGGGGAGGAAGAGATGAACATGACGTCAACGGGAAAAATCAAGAATTTTAGAAATGAGTGGTATAACATTTCAGCCAGCAGTTGCAGTTCAAAATGGAAAATGTTGATCAGTGTTCATTAGGAAATATACTTCCTGCTATGCTGTTTTTCAAAGGTTTCTTTTAAGGGAATCTTTTCTCTTTCCTTTAAATATCTCCAGACTATGGCAATAATTCTGCTGATAATCTTCCACCTCAAAAAGTTGTCTCAGTGGAAAGTCAAATCTAGAACTCTTGAAATTGCATTTTAAAACTCCCACAAAATGTGTTGTTAATAGCTTTTTGTAGGAGGAACAACAAGTATACTTTATTAGTATATCTTATCTAATATACCCATGCGCACACAGACACAGACACATTTTACACAACACACACTACAGAGGGATATGTACACAAAACATAAAACAGATGGACCTGTTGCTTTTTAATTTTAAAAAATTTAAGTTGCTGTGAGGTTTTTGGGCTGTATGGCCATGTTCCAAAAGCATTCTCTCCTGACCTTTCTCCTGCATCTACAACAGACATCCTCAAAGGTTGAGGGGTCTATTGGAAACTAGGAAAATTGGGTTTATATATCTGTGGAATGTCCAGGGTGGGAGAAAGAACTCTTCTCGGTTTGAGACAGGTATGAATGCTGCAATTGGCTACTTTGATTAGCACTGAATGGCCTTGCAGCTTAAAAGACTGGCTGCTCCTGCCTGGGGGAATTCTTTGATTCCCCCCATGTTTTAAGCAACACTAAAAAAAATAGGGGAATTCCATACACAAAACGATCAAGGCCAGCTAGCACCTCCCAAGAAAGAATTTCCCCAGGCAGCAACCAGCTAGGCTTTGAAGCTGCAAGGCCATTCAATGCTAATCAAGGTGGCCAACTGCAACATTCACACTTGCCTCAAACAGACAAGAGTTCTTTCTCCCACCCTGGACATTCCACAGATATATAAACCTCACTTGCCTAGTTTCCAAAGACCCCACAACCTCTGAGGATGCCTGCCATAGATGTGAGCGAAATGAGAGAATGCTTCTGGAACATTAACTTTTCGTGATTCCAGCTGCCACGAAAGGCTTTGACAACACACTTTCAAAAGCTTATTTTGAAAGCATGGCTATATTTGACCTGATGTGCCTTTACATCCTAACTGTACTAGAATTGCGAAGAACTAAAATTGCGAAGAATATAATCCACCCTAGCATAAGCAACCTACTTTGGCCAAAATTGTCTTAAATTGGAAAACTAATCTAGAAGAGATTGTTAATGTAGACAACACTTCTTTGAAAATACGTTGTGACTGAGGAGATTTTAGGTGTTGGTGTATTAAGTGGGCCTATTAAGTATGGAATCAGAACCTAACAGTAGCAAAGAGGAGGAATTGCTGGTGAAAAGGAAACAGACAAAATGAAAAAACTGAAGTATTAAGGTGAAAGACACAGTGAAAAAACTTAAAAAGAATTTGAAGCAGTGAAATAGCATGTGCTACTTTAAGTTACATAAAATATGCCTAAGTCAATCTTCAAAAAAGTGGCAAAGAGGCTTTGACATTTACAAAAGAAAAAAATAAAATTAACTTACGTTAGTGGAATTGAGTTTATTTTTGACTGCCTTCTACTTTTCAGGGCACGAAGCTTGTCCCCCTGTGTAACTGTGTCTTCTTCATCGCTGTACTGTAAACAAATGGAATGCCATTGGAATTATTTACGTTAAAATATCATTATTGAAACTTCAACGCATCCTATATTATGAGTAAACAAATGAACTTTTAAAAATTAAAATATCAACAGATTTTATGAAACTCTTTTCAGTATTATTATTATTATTAAACTTTATTTGTACCCCAGTAGCATCTCCCGAAGTACTCGATGCGGCTTACAAAGGCCAAGGCCTCAACACACAATATAACAATACAACAACTAAGGCAAATTAAAACAATTAAAGCAATATAAACAACAAGCAATAAACAATACACTAAACACAATAAAACTGGGCCGGGCCAGAGTAATGGGTACAGGATTAAAAGTGCTGATGTGACAGGAGGTATATAAGGCTTATAGGACAAGTGCAGAGTGCAATGTGCAGCAATCTTAGTTCTAATAAAGTGCTTCTAGGACTTGGTATTGGAGATTTCCTAATCTGAGAAGGCACATCGGAATAGCCAGGTCTTCAAGTTCTTTCTGAAGATTGCCAATGTAGGGGCCTGTCTGAGATCTTTTGGGAGGGCGTTCCAGAGTCGGGGAGGCCACCACAGAAAAGGCCCTGTCTCGTGTCCCCACCAAACGTGCTTGCGACGCAGGCGGGATCACGAGCAGGGCCTCTCCAGATGACCGAAGTGAACGTGGGTTCATAGACGGAGATGCGGTCACGCAGGTAGGATGGTCCCAAACCATTCAGGGCTTTGTAGGTAAGCACCTGCACCTTAAATTGGGCTCGGAAAATAAACGGCAGCCAGTGGAGCTCCTTGAACAGGAGGGTTGACTTCTCTCTGTAAGGGGCCCCAGTTAACATCCTGGCTAGTGCTTTTCTTTATTCAGCAATTTAGAAATTGGTGCAAGTATCAGATTAAGATTTTCAGCAATTTAACCTCACCTGTAGAAGACTCTTTTATCTTGCTTATTAGATGTCTATTTTCCTCTACTCTGAACATTATACATATCAATAATAAGAATACAAAGAAACATACAAAAGGAATCTAATTAATTTTGCTTTATTATGCCCACTATTTTATAAGAACATTCTAATATTTGCAACAGCACAACTTTCGGTTGATTACCGGTTCAGACTCTTTCCTGCTGGCATTCTGACTTTTTGAATCATTAATTTTAATGTCATCTACTCCTGAAAGAATTTTTGTAACAGTAATGCTGTCGGTCTTCCTCAACTTTGCACGGTAAATATCCCCTTCCAACCAAAGTTCCGGCTGTTTCCTATTGAGAAGAGAACATGAGTTAAAAATCCATCAATTTAATGAATGTTTAGGAAGCAAATCTATTCCAACTAAAGAAGAGCCACTAAATACATGGACATTTTTGTAAATCAGCATGCTCATAATTGAGACTACTACAATTCTCACAGAGACTAATATTTTAATTTAGCCCTAAATTTATAACCCAACCTACAAGCGTAATGAGGCTGCTTTAAAATATTGTACATCTCTCACGTTACATCAAACTGTGGGCTGTTTGCACACTTGCAATAGGGCAGCTCTTTGCTAGTGGAAAAGGAGATGATTTTGTCCCTCCTACATTATGTCTACATGGCGAGATTAAACTCCCTCTGAAACTGTAAAGGAGACCGCATAGAAAATTATTATTAAAATTACTCTGTATACTTCTATTAGCAAAGGGCTCTGGTGGTTCAAATGTCTGCCTGCAAACAGAATGGCACAGTTGGTGCAACTCATGACTATTAAGAATAATGCTAAATTTCCATCTTGATAGTTTTATTGAAAAGCTGAAGAGAAATTTCAGATAGCCTTGGGCTCTTTATGGCTCTAAAGCCAGCACCCAAGTTATGAACAGATTTGTTTTTTAGTTGAATATGTATGTAAGTCAGAACAGGTAGTTTTTTTAAAAAAACTCCAGCCAAATATATACAGTGAAGCCTTGACTTACAAGCCACCCAAATTGTGAGTTTTTTGAGGTATGAGCTGTGACTTAGTGTCCAGGATGAGGAAGAAGCAGAGAATCTGCATGGAGGGAGGCATTAATTGTGGGTTAAAAAAAGGCACAGATAACCTCCCATCAGTTTCTGTCTATCTAATTTGGATGGCTGATAATTTTTGTTTTCTTAAAAGTACATTTTRCATATTATTGGTTATTTATAAAGTACATTTTTCTTATTTAAAAATACATAACAAAAATGGTGTAGGTTTTTTTTTGGGGGGGGGGGKCGGGGATGACAGATTCAAKGAGAAATTTGCTTTGAGATAAGTGATTTGAGTTAAGAGCTCATCATGAATATATTAAACTCTTAAGTCAARGCATCTCTGTGTGTGTACACATATGTGTGCATGAATGCTTTGGATAGCATAGGAAATGGTTAACATCCATGTTAACAGGGGTTCTCTGTGCTCCTGACAAAATAGACGGAGACGACAGATACAGCATTTTGAACCAGGCTTTCCACACAGTTAAACTGATGCAATGACATGATTTAGAATTGCTGTTCCAGGGGGGTGGGGGGAATGGGGGGAGGGGGGTTTGTTGGGCGATGCATAACTAAGGAATGTATAAAATGTCATTTAAGGAATATTTATTTTTTGGAATAATGTATATTGAAATAAGTCCTGTATGGAAAAATTTTGTTGATTGTTGGGATGTATCAAATTAAAGAAAAAAATCCATGTTAACAGGGGTTCTCTGTGCTCCTGTTCAGAAGATCTCACCTCACTTTCTGTCTCTGTGATCATTGGATTTTGAAAAATGTGGCTTTTTGTGGTAACAAGGTGTGGTGATAAAGCTTCAGTGGAGACACCTTTTCCCCAGGAAAACTCTTTTAGGAGTTAATTTCCCTTCCTGCGGATAGATTTTTCTTACTTTCTGTTGTCTCACTCTCCATTCTTAACTATGAGTTGTTTGTAAGTTGGATATTTAGACCTCATGGACTGCCTGTAATTATACATTTTTTCAAGGTTTCTGATTATACTAGATTCTAAGTGAAACAAGGCAGAATGGAAAGCATACTCTGACTGGTTTAAACATCACAATAATAAACTAGCCTTGTGGAAGACCTTGATTTTAATTCATTAGATGCTTGGTCTTTCCATGCTGGTGATTAAAACAGCTAAATAAAACACAAACTTTGTCTCTAACCCAAGAAACCAAAAAACATTTCCAAAATTTATTCTGGTTTATGGGGGGAAAGACAATTCAAAGTAATAGGTCCTATTAGGTTATGGATATCGCATGAAGCAAATTTCAGGAGGAAGGTTTGCATTTTGTTTAGCTTTTTCCACTTAACATCATGAGTGATCAACATGCTGGCCCAGTCATAGCAAGCCAGAAAAACACTTGCCTGAATGGATTTCCAGCTAGCAGAAGGTAGGTCAGGTAGAAGGGAGGTGGCATGAAGGTGCTGCAAAAGGTGTGTGTGTACATGTTGCCTTGATGGCAAATCGATAGAGTCATTACCAGAACAGGGTTCAATGTTGGCTATGATTTTGCCAATTCAATGACATTTGGTAAATATCTACAGGAATATTTACAATATTTCAGGTTGGTGAGTACCCCAAGTATCTTTGAGATCATTCCAATGTCCTTCAGCAGCTCAAGGCCTACAGATGGGTGGGAGAGGGTATTACTTTTGAGACCCTTTCCCTCCACAAACATTCAGACTTCAGAGGCACTGGATATGGAGTGGCACTGAAAGTTTCTTTGAGTTTGCACTGATGCAGGCCTGAGAAAGAGGTGTACCTTCATCTTTTATCTCCCAATTATGGTTCAAGGTCTACTCACACATCTGTTTCTTCATGCTTGCTGCCTTGTTGAGTGGAATTCCAATAGAAGCTTTTCTCCATCACAGATTCACATTAATATTAACTGTTAAAATATGGCCCTACTTGAATATCATTTCTCGCATTCATTTCTCTGGTTGTATTCTTTAGACATCTAAAGGCCCTCTTTCTATCGTATATCAGACTGTGAACATTAATGATTGGGTGGAAAGAATCAGAGAAATAAACAGCTCTGATAAGATACCGCTGACTGTAGGTTGCTTGCACCATAGCTTCTGATTAGTAAGAATTCAATGTTTCCAAGTTATTTAACCTTTCTCTGTTTGTATATCCAATAAAGAAGGATGGTCATTAGAAATTTGTGTGAAACCAAGGCCTAAGTACACAGATCGCTACTCATTTCATTGCTGAGTCAAGTTATCTAAGCATATGTCTTTACTTACTCTAACAAGAAGTGCTGCTGTGCTCCAATCACAGAACCAGGTCTGCAAATCCTAATCCAAGCAATACATTCAGCAGCTGTCATTCTGTAATGCTTCATCATATAGCAGGCAATCAGGGTGCCCGTTCTGCCAAGTCCAGCTGTATAGAAAACAAAGACATTAATTTGTATGTGCTTACTTACAGGAAGACCCTCTTTCTAGGAGTGGAAAGTGCATGGCTTTCCAGATGTTGCTGGAGTGAAATTGCTCTTCAGTTGAGTCATCAAAACCAACCTGGAGATGCAGCCTAAAAAAAGATAAGTCCTAAAATTGTAGTATGTCCCGTCCCCATGTGAACAAACTGGATTGTTAAGATAACTTGGATAGATAAATTAAATAAGCTCTTCAGAACAAGAAGCCCCTAGCATCTCAGATCACCTAGTTGGGGCAGGGCGTGCAGCTCAGTGGCAGAACATGAACTTGGCGTGCAAAAACCCCCAAACAAACCCAAATGCTGATTTAATCCACAACACAAACTCAAAGTAGAACATTTAGAAGTTCTGCATAAACCAGAGGTAGGCAGCTGTCAAAGGTTAGGGGACTTTATTACCTCCCCAGAGGAGCTTGGTCGGCCACACCTTCCCCTCCTCAGTAACTTCAGCTTTTTAAAAGAGATTTTAGGTTTTATCAATCTTCTTAAAGATACGATCTGAAATATTTCTGAAGTGGCCAAATCTGATTAGGCCATATAGAAGGGACAAATGATAAAAGACCACTAATCAGAACTAATCATTTGTATACCTTTGCAGTGAACTGCTATAGCACCTTCAGCATTTTCACAAATATTTAGGAACGTTCTGACGATAGTATCACTTGGTATACTCCCATCAGCAAAGAAGAGATCATAGTGTTCAAAGCCTCCATCTCGAAACCTTCTTGCATCATAGACTTTCTTGTTCAAGCGGATTACAGTGGTAATATTATGTCTTCTGAAGTAGGGAAAATAAGCCTCAGGAGCATGATGTGGAAAACCTGGAAGGAAGGAAATGGGGAAAAAAAGATGTATATTAGGTAAAGGTAAAGGTTCCCCCTTGACATTAAGTCTAGTCATGTCCGATTCTGGGGAGTGGTGCTCATCTCCGTTTCTAAGCCAAAGAGTCAGCATTGTCCGTAGACGCCTCCAAGGTCATGTGGCCGTTACCTTCTTGCCGGAGCAGTACCTATTGATCTACTCACATTTGCATGTTTTTTAACTGCTAGGTTCGCAGAAGCTAGGGCTAGCAACGGGAGCTCACCCTGCTCCCCAGATTCAAACCACTGACCTTTTGGTCAGCAATTTCAGCAGCTCAGCGGTTTAACCCACTGTACCACTGGGTTACATTTTTTTAATGAAAGGATTATCTCCATCTTCTCTAGGGAGAATTGGAAACATTCCTGTGCCCCGAGGATGTTTTAAGATCATGAGTGCCCTTTTTGTCAACCTGGATGTAAGCCAGGAGTTGTCTTCTTGGTTGAAAAAAACCTCTTATCAGTCTAAAACAGCCCGGTAGCCCCCAAAATACGGGGAAATTGCCTCTCATGGCCGCTAGGTGGCACAGTGAACCTTGTGTCTGTGTTTTGAAAGTAAAAATATTATGATTTTATCGTTATTGTATACTGTCTTAATTGTTTTTACTGTATTCTTATGTTTTGATATTGACTGTAAACCACCCTGAGTCGCCTGCGGGCTGAGAGCGGCGGTATATAAATGTAGCAAATAAATAAATAAATAAATTATGAAGGATGAGACTTCCAAGGGAAGTATCACAAGCCAGGTATTTGTCCACCTATTATGTAGATTTTCTACACATTTCAAGGAAGTTTGCAGTCAGTTCTCTCCCCAAGCCAGACTTCCAAGCTAGGATGAAAAGAAACTGAAATTATCTCCCTTTTTTTTTTTTTTGACAGCGTGGGGATTCCCTTCATGACTATACTCACTTCCTTCTGCCCCATGCAATGAAGGGGAGAAAAGCTAATCAAGTTATCACCAGGGATTTGCAAGCACCAGCTGACAATGGTTCACTCCTCCTCATCACACACATTAGAGAGGGGAAGGAGGAATGAAGCTGAACCCTGATCTTGTCTCCGACAACATCCAACTAACAAGGAGCTGTACTGGGAAGAGAATCCAGCTCCAGCTTGCTGCCTTTCCCAAGCTTGTACTGCTTGGTATAAACATACCATTTTCAATTCGACTTCTTGAATGTGGTCCACTGAAGGCAAGGAATTTTTTGGGTATTATCCAGTTAAAGTCTCCATTTTCTGCTTTCTGTCAAGAAAAGAAAACCATTGTTCAGTTCACCCCTAAAACACCCTGACATCTGTTGCATTTGCTTCAGTGAACAAAGTGAAGATGACAAGGAATGCTGATGTACGATTTGCAGTATAAGAATGTGTAATTTCAATTTCATCTGGGATTATAAAACCACATGCTCTCACACTGTCATGCGACAGCCTTTAAGTGTATTGAAACATCTTTTTGTTATTTACCTTACTTTCCTTGACTCCACATATTTAGATATAGACTATCTTGAAAACAGAAAAAATCAAGAGCTATAAGTAATGCATGCCAATTTTATACAAAGGCAGTATCAGTAGTAATTAAAAATGACAACAATCAAATAGAATTGTACGTACCTCATAATGTTCATATTCGTCGATATCAAATGTGTTGAAATCAAGGAAGCCATACTGCAAAGCCTAAGAACCCATAAAAGGGGAAATTAAACTTGTAGAAGTCTTGTAGTATAATTAGGCATGTCTCATTTACCATCAGTATATTACCTTCCCAGTCTGAACTAAAACTCCATGGCTTTAATACTATTGATTAGTTCTAAGGAGAGTAGAACTAACTGAAACAACTGAGGACGCCTCTACACTGCCATATAATCCAGAATATCAAGACAGATAATCCACATTATCTGCTTTGAACTGGATTATCTGAGTCTACATTGCTAGATAATCCAGTTCAAAGCAAATAATATGAATTTTATAAAACTGTGTAGAAGGAACCCGAGGGCTCTTCCAGACAGGTCCTATATCCCAGGATCTGATCCCAGGTTTTCTGCTTTAAACTGGATTATATGAGTCCACACTGCCAGATAATCTGGGATAAAGAGAAAACCTGCGATCAGATCCTGGGATATACAGCCTGTTTGGAAGGGCCCTGAGTCAGTATTCAACAAAATATTTTATAGGTCTGTTCCACCTGCGACTAACTCTAAGGTTTCCAAAACTTGACAGGTCAGAAATTAACAGCTCAATTTATTTAATTGTTTGATCCAAACAACTTTATATATCTATGTACAAAAAAATTAGTAGCTGTTTGAAAAAATGATATACATACACTGAAATTAAAACATTTTTATTACTAATGGGAATAAGGGAGCATTCAAAAAGAAACAACCAAGAGGTTATTGGTGGTCTGATGGAATGGTCTTTGCTTTGAAATCCACTCTCTTTTTTTCTAAACCACTTCCATGTTACTTTGGCTTTGCTTACGATCGTGTCATTCTGGAAGATGAACATTTCAGTACCAAGTTCCTATAGAAATTGCCTTCTCTTCAGCATCCTTCATTTTGGTCTTAATCCTGAACATTGCACCAGTGTCTACTGAGGAAAAGCATCCCCTGATGCAACCACCACATTTCATTGTGGAGATTGTGTTCTCAAAGCAATAAGTCGTGTATCTTTTCGTCATGTATGACAATTTTGGCAAGGTCAAAAAAACTAAACAACAAGACCAGAGAAAATTTTCTCACATGTTTGTAGTATCTCCCGCATGCCTTTTTTGCAGGTTCTAGAGGAGTTTTTTGTGGATTTTATTCATCAAAGACTATTTCCTCACCATGCTTCCAAAAAGCACAGCTTGGTGTATTGTCTGAATGAAAGTTATCGCATGGATAGTTTCTGTCAACTCAAATGTAAATGTCTCTCATGCCATCAAAATTATCATCAATCTCTTTGTTTCTTCTTGAATGTCTCCTTTTTACTTGTCCTTTTTTTTTTGGGTTGCACTTTACAGCACTGAATGTTTGCTGTTGTTGGTTGTGAACCATGCTGACTCCCCATTTATTATTCTTATTCTTTAGGCAGTCACACTTGTGCCATACTCTTTCCAATTCATTAATGGATTAATGGATTCAACAGTGCTTCACAAAATGTTCACAGCTTTAGGTTTTTTTTTGTTTTGTTTTGTTTTTTTTTTAAAAAGACAGCCCCCTGGTGGCACTGAGCTGCTGAACTTGCTGACCGAAAGGTCGGCAGTTCAAATCTGGGGAGCAGGGTGAGCCAACCTAGCAGTTCGAAAACATGCAAATGTGAGTAGATCAATAGGTATCGCTCCAGCAGGAAGGAAACGGCACTCCGAGGTATCTATTGACAACACCGGCTCTTTGACTTAGAAATGGAGATGAACACCACCACCTAGAGTCGGACACGACTTGATTTAATGTCAAGGGGAAACCTTTAACTTTACCTTTAAATTTCTGCTTTCACACATATTTATTCCAGATTTTTCTGAATATGTATTTGATCTATATGATGCTGATTGCTTTGTTATGCTCTTGTACAAACTTTGGGGCCTTCTGGAAACAGCTCTATTGAATCTGAGGTCAGGAGGTGCTTGAGCTGCACACTAATTGACTCCATTAAAATACTTCTGAGGGTAGTGGGTTGCTCCAGAAGAGAGCGGTCCGATTGCAAATATTTTGTTTTGTGTGGAAAATGCCCTCTGAACCTTGTAATTCAACTAACACATCCTTTCAATTTGTTACATCTTTCTTTAATCTCAACTGTAGAATTTTAAATTTATAATTGTTTGGAGTTCCACACAAGGCTTTGGATGGTATAAATAGCGGAAGCTAGGAAAAGTTTTGTCATTCAAAAATTTTGGCTTATAGCCCCCTTAAACCCCACCCAGTATGATGGTGGAAGTATTAGTCCAGGCTATTTTAATATTCAACACCCCCTCATTCCTGAAGTACATGCTTACAGATCAGAAAAACAGGGGTTTTACTAACCTTGTTTACTCCATGAAAACAGTCAAGCAGTGTTAGATGAAAATTGCATGTACCAAAAGCAGCATCCCTGCAAGGAACAAGTATCAGATTTCAATCTTGAACTTTAATCTGTTTTTATATATATACACACACCTATTATATCAAGAACAATGAAAATATAATAATTCATCATTTGTTTAGTCAATTGGTGGCAAATGTTTCTTGTTATAAGTAACTAATGTTATGACTGGTTGGTTTCCTTTACACTTATCTTTTTAGAACTCAACACTGCTGGACATCTAGTTAAAGAGCCCTTGTTCACATATTGGGGGGAGTGGAAGAAAACTGTTACTATAAATCAATCATACTGATTATGATTAATCAGTTCATTTATTGACAAGGCCCCGCTAGCCTAACTCATTGACTGGTGTTGTAGGACTTTATTACCCGCCCCACCCTTACAGCTGTATTGCACTAGCCCTTGCCTCGCCCTCCTAAATCTGAAAGCGCCCACTGTTCTCGGCTACTGGTTGATGGTTATTCTTGTTCTTATGTTTTTATGATTCCTGTTGTTTGGTTTTTATTTGTTTTAATTATTGAAATGCAATTTATTTTAATTTGTGCTATATTTTATTTTTGTTTCTGTTGGACTTGGTCCCCATGTAAGCCAGCCTGAGTCCCTTTGGGGAGATTGTAGTGGGATATAAATTATTATTATTATTATTATTATTATTATTATTATTATTATTATTATTCTAAACCCAATTCTGACAGTTCAAGCAATATCATTTTTCCCGGCAAAACGGAAAACAATGTAGTCTATTCAGTGTTTCCTGTGAACCAACATCAGATAGTTATATGTGGGACAAAAATGGGGGAGGTGCCTTCGAGTCACCCTGCCAACTTATCACAACTCCATGATTTTCTTAGGCAAGGAATACTCAGAAGTGGATCTATGAATTCCTTCTTTTGAAATATTGCCTGCAGCACCTGGTAATCATTGGCACTTAAACATTTTCTAATTTTGTAGCATTTGTTTAATACATTTTTAAGAACAGTTATTGCAAATTGCATGGCATTTTCTCATCATTCTTCCTTTATGTTTATCTTTTTAAGGATTGCAGGGACTCAGCTCTACAAATTACACATAAAAAGATGCAAAAATGTCAAATGGTCAGGCAAATCAGTATTTTCTCACCAGGGAAAAGCCATTAATAATAATACTAAAAGTGTGGATGATTTGAATACCATTTTTATTTACCTGAAAGGAAGATATGATACATTTCCAAATAATAAGCGCCTGTATACAGCTTCTGGAGACTCTCTCAGATATATCATCTATTTCAAAAAGAAAGGGCAAGGGAGACATTCATGATAACTGCAAGATAAAATTATTTATTCCCTAAGCAAATTTATTCCTCAAACAGATGAAATGCATACAGTCCTATAAGGGGCTGTTTATTAACATAGTGGATAACATGAAACCAGTAGCAAGGTTAATGAAACTAAAGTCATACTTCACATATTTCTCCAGGTACAGAAAGTTTTATTACATTGTAACTAGCATTACAATGTAAAATTAAATACCTATTAAATACATATTTAAAACTTTCTGGACACTCCATAAAACTGGCTCAAGAAATGCCTGGAACTCTAAATTTGTGAAGCTAATAGAATTGGTTAAAACAGAATATTGATGGAATCATCTGAACACCATTTCACATACTGCTGTCATCTAATACAGGCAGTACCTGAGTTACAAACATTCAACTTAGAAATGACTCATAGTTTAAGAATGGGGGTGAGACAAAGGAAGTGAGAAAATTTTACCCCCTCGGAAGGGAAATTCATTCTCAAAAGAGTTATTGCGGGAAAAATGTGTCTCCTCATTTCCACAACAAGCCAAATTTTTCAAAATCAAATTGACACAGGGACAGAAAGTGAGCGAAATCTTCTGAACAGGGGCACAGACAGAAAAACAAACATCACAGGGTATTCACCCTTCTCTATGTTATCCAAGGCCAATATATACTCTGTGTATCTGTGGTTGGAGTTCCACTGAAAAAAATGTACCTGTTCCAACTTACAAACAAATTCAACTTTAGAAAAAACCTATAGAACCTATCTTATCCATAACTTGGGGACTGTCTATAGAGTTGTACCAGAGGTGAAAACACAAAATATCCATAATATCAGTTGGACCCACTGACACGCTCAGCCTCTACTCCATCAGTTACATCTGTATTATTTGCTTTACAATGCAGTTAACAACAGACTTCTGGGGCCCTTTCACATTACACAGTGATATTCTTGTTATTCCACTTACCTGCCATGGTTGCGTACTATGGAATCCCGGGATTTGTAGTTTGGGGTAGTGTATTTAGGTCTTTTAGCCAGTGTAATCTAGTGCCTCAGCAAACTACAAATTATTATTATTATTATTATTATTATTATTATTATTATTAACTTTATTTATACCCCATCTTTCTCTCTGTGGGGACTCAAGGCATCTAACAATCCCATACTAGAAAGGTTTAAAAAGTGCAATACAAAAGTTAAAAAAAACAATTACATAGTAATAGTGTGGCAAAACCAGAATCAAAATACAATAAATACACTTAAAATTGCATTTAAAACAATGGCCTTTAAAACAAAGTCCGGGGTTCCACAGGAGGTAGCTATGGCACTTAAAGTAGAATAAAAGTGTTATAATTGAACAGTGTGTATGAGCGCCCCGGTAATTTAACAATGACTTTGTCTGACAAACACATTGAATATTCACTTAGTAATATCAACACATTACCACAACACCATTTTAAAGGGATAGGCTGGCGTTCAGTATTGCAGTTATGAATCTGTGACTACTCTATATTCAGTAAGACTGTGTAATCTTACTGTAAGACTACATAAATGTCCCCAAATCACCCTAAAAGCTAACAATCATACTGAGCTCAGGAGACCTTATCAGCTACTGACAGAGGTGCAAGGAGAGTGGTATTTCGCATCTGCAGGCAATGCTGTGACAATCAGAAGCACTACTCATATCAGAAGTCTTTGCTTAGCCTTGCTCACTGATGGGGATAGAGGTAGATGGAGACATCCTCCTCCCTCCAACCTGATCAGCAGCTAAACAAACCTTTGCCTAATCAGGCTGCTACCTATTAAGATGGGCTGGAATGTGGATGTCAGATCAGGAGATGTTACATAAGTAGCCAATATAGAATATTTGTGTAAATCATTTAAAATTTTAAATTATCTACAGCTATAAGCCCCTATTGAGAAAAAATATGTCAGGAAGCATATATTTCATTATGTTCAGCACCTTCAGATATCTAGCCAATAACAATATCATAACATATAGAATCTGTATGTCAGGTGTTATAATTTTGCAATTCAGTATCTCCAACAACTATATGTTCCTAGTAGGCTACACAAAGGCCACAGTTACAAGAGATAACATAATTCAGTAGCAACAAGTCTTAATTATTCAATTAGTGTTCCAAAGACAATATAACAATAAAGAAAGTAATTATCCATTACATGGACTAAGCAGCAGGCCATATTTCAACCATGTTCTAATTCTGTTTTGATTAAGAGATGCTATAGTCCAAGGCACAACATAATATTATCTATCTTGAAGGTGCCATTCACTGGTTATGTGCATCAATATAGTTAGTTATCATACAATAACAGCCCCCAAAGAACCTATAGCAGTGGTTCTCAACCAGTGGGTCCCCAGGTGTTTTGGCCTATAATTCCCAGAAATCCCAGTCAGTTTACCAGCTGTTAGGATTCTGTGAGTTGAAGGCCAAAACATCTGGGGGCTCACAGGTTGAGAATGACTGACCTAGAAGTTCTAAACAGGGTGATGGTGGGAGATTATCCCTGAACCAGTAAATTAGCTATAAAACAATGCTGATATCTGACCCACAAGGCAGAATTATGTAAAAGAAAAATGCTATAGTAGAAATGGGTCAACACTCGTGTTTTTCTGCATCTGAGTTGGATGGGCCAACACTCCGTTCTTCTGCATCTGAGTTGGATGGCAAGTTCTTGTTTACTTTATAAAATGGTAACATAACATCACAGTCTTCAAACAAAAAAATCTCTATAGTGAAAAAGCTGTACTGGCACCATAAACAGAGGAAAACAGATTTCTCAGCTTCTGGAAGGAACAAAAGAAGCAAGCAAGGAAGGAAGCAAGGATTTCCATCATTATCTATATACAGTACCCAAGATTGCCAAGACATCAGAGAGGGTTGGGTTTTTATAAGTATTCACAGGCCCACCTATTACATGATTTCTTTGAACGTAGTTTCATTTACACAGAATGAGGTTTGATTATTATAGATTTGCTGGAGGATCTGGATAAATGATGTCTAGAGAAGAGTTCTTTCTAAACCTCCGGCATGATTCTTTGATCAACTTCCACTGAAGGCCCAGAGAGGACACTTCTCTAGGTATCACTATCAGGCTGTGCTGTTGCACCGCGAAAGGGAAGGCTTGCAGGACTGCTCATGGCATCCCGCACACTCTTCCTCCATCACACAGTGGGGACAGGACAAGGCACCCTGTGCCCATCAGATGGCAGAAAGGGTGGCAAATGCAGCAACGAGCATTGCCCCGCTGCCCTTTCTGCCATCATATAGCAAAAAGGGGAGGAAATGCAGGTAGCTCCATTAGATGTAACAAACTACTTTCTTCCCTGTAGTGGTGGACCCTCCATTTTGGGAGGAATGTGGGTGGGGCCTGCTGTGCATCTTGTGATGGTGCACAGCAGGGCCTGTTCTTGCCAAGAATAAATGTGGTGAAATGGGACAAAAATGCCTTAGGTCCACCAGAGTGAATCTATAATATTCAAAGCTTTAGCCAAAAGCTCTAGAGATCTTTCATTTCAGATAAGAAAATTAGGGATTATGTGCAAAGTATATTGAAAAGATTCCAGCACATCTTATGTGGGCCTACTGTACTCCATTATACTCCTTTCGATGTGGCATTTGTGGTGGCTGTTCTTGCTTATCTTTCCAAAACTCAAGTATGGGCTCTCAATGCTTAAGCATCTTTTACAGGAGGGTTGAGCAGCTTGTTGTCCTGTTATTCCTCCCAGTTGTATCTAACATAGCTGAAAGTGAGGGATGATAGAAGTTGCAGCTGGAAACACTTGGAAGGCCGGCATTAAGTTGCTTAGTTGCAACATGAAAAATACTGCAACCTATAATATATGCAGCTGGATGGGATACCAGTATCATGCTGATAATCTTCCTCCCTTCCCTGGTAAATGCAAATAATGTGAATGGAAGTATATATGCATATTCAAAGACAATGTATGTGGAATATGTTAGCCTTTTTCCTCCAGTAAAGGAAGGAAAAACAAAGCAGCTGCTGAGTCCTGCTGTGTTTATTAAGCTAGATAAATGAAGATGACTGGTTAAAAAAAAGGCTCGCTCTCCCTAGAGGCAGGCAAAACAGTTACCAAGCTTTGCCTCGTTTTCCAACCACACAAATATAGTAGTCCTACTCCCTCTCTCTCTGGATGTAATGGTTTGTTTGAGAGTATTATTTATCAGCCAAGTAATGCTTTTGTTAAAATGCTGTAACATTGTTCAGGATTGTGAGAGAACAAAATCACTATTTATAGTGATCAATAAATACAATTTTAAATCAATAATTATCACTTCTACAAGCCCTTGGTGGCACAATGGGTGAAACCCTTGTGCTGGCAGGACTGCTGACCGAAAGGTCAGTGGTTCAAATCTGGGGAGCAGGGTGAGCTCCCATCTGTCAGCTTCAGCTGGGCGTCCCTGGGCAACATCGTTACAGACGGCCAATTCTCTCACACCAGAAGCAACTTGCAGTTTCTCAATTAACACAAAAAACTTCTATAAGAAACAAATGGCATATCGAACATGATAAATAGATAGTTATAAAATAAAATTAAGTATTTGCAAATTTTATCATCAAACAGAAGAGAAAAGACTTAGCAACAATCTTTTTGGAAATCTTCATTTTTAAATTGCCAAATACCTATTTTTGGCTCTTTCTTCTATTTAGATAGATAGATAAAATATATATTTCATTCTAATTTCATTGTGCTTATTACATGGCATCCCCAGAGGTCTCTCTCCCAAATAAAAGTCCACAATTACTGAATTTTAACAATGTTTTAGCAAAATAAATTCTGTTGGGTTGGGAAGTATATGTTCTCTGTGTGTGTGTGTGTGTGTATTTCCCAAACCAGATACACATAAACACATCACATATCTTGAGAACCAGTTAAGTTTTTAAAATCACACTGGATCAAAGTACACACTGCAAAGTAACACACATTTGTAATTTTA